GGAACCAGGCAATTTAAGTAAAAGTAAATTTCCTTCTTTTTTTGGTTGATCACTATCTATAAGAAAAACGCCCCGTTGGTGGAATCTAGCCATTGCTAAAGAGTTGGTGGAATCTAGCCATTGCAAGGTGTTTGGAATAGGAGAAAAAAAAATTCACCCGGAAAATAATTTTGTCGGAATGTGATGGGAAATATTTTTTCCCAGATAAGTTACGAAAATGTGTTTGGTTGGTCAAAATTTGTCTTGCGAATATTTGGGTAAGTTTCTGAGTTGAGGTTTGGTTGACCAAAATTTGTCCTACGAATATCTGGGTAAGTTTCTGAGTTGATGTTTGGTTTACCAAAATTTGTCATGGGAATATTTGTGTAAGTTTCTGAGTTAATGTTTGGTTGATTGTGAAATAGTAGTAAGAAATGTGTTCAGATTGAAACTGATTTGTTCCTAGTGCTGTTTCAGTTATCAGGGCAAGTGTTCCAAAGATGGAACTAGATTCTGCTTTTGAACAGAAGAATGAAATTGCAAAAGTAGTCGAGGAAGAACTTGAAAAGGTATTCTTTTTTTTTTTTTTTTGTGTGTGTGTTGCAAACTAAGATTGGCGTAGGACATCCATAATTTGTGGGCTTTTGGCCTTCATGGGCTTGATATATGTGGACTTTTTGGTCCTGCTGGCTTTTAAACCCAAGCCCATATTAACTGATGTACTTTTAACCAATTCTGTGTTACAAGTACTTCAGTTTAACTGTTTTATACAACTACTGTTTGTCATCTCATTCTTATGTGACTCTCAAACCTCAAATCATGTTCTATTAATTGAATCTGAAAATCTCACCCAAAATAAGTCTTAAATGTTTTTGTTTTTGAATTAATGACAATTAGCATTTTCGTTTTGATTCTTTTGAATATTGAACAGAAGCCAATTGATGTGTTCTGTTGGTTTTGTTTTAGCTGATTCAGTTTGGGGTTTGGTGAATATGGGACAAGTGTTGGGTTGTGTTCAAGTAGACCAGTCAAGTGTAGCTATCAAAGAAGTTCTTGGGAAGTACGATGATGTGCTTGAACCTGGTTGCCACTGTGTGCCATGGTGTTTTGGCAACCGGGTGGCTGGTGCACTTTCGTTGCGTGTGAAGCAGCTAGATGTTCGTTGCGAAACAAAGACAGAGGTATGTTGCACTATGACTTCTCCTTAAGATGGCTGTCAAGCGTTTCTTTCTCAACCTTCATTTTTATTTATCAAAATTGTTTCTTTGTAATCACTAAGATAAGTCTAACAATTTTTTTATTTATTTATCACCTATATACATTATCCACTCATTTTGTCAACAAGAAATAGCACATGTATGTATTATCTGACTGACCGTGTTGCATTACATCACATCAGGACAATGTTTTTGTCATTGTGGTTGCTTCTATCCAATATCGAGCACTGGTAGAAAAGGCACTGGATGCTTACTACAAACTTAGCAATACCAGAGCACAGATACAAGCCTATGTTTTTTATGGTGGGTATTTGTGAATCTACTTAAAAGAAATTTGGTCTATGTATTCAGATCTTCAGATTGAAACTGATTTGTTCCTAGTGCTGTTTCAGTTATCAGGGCAAGTGTTCTAAAGATGGAACTAGATTCTGCTTTTGAATAGAAGAATGAAATTGCAAAAGCAGTCGAGGAAGAACTTGAAAAGGTATTCCTTTTTTTTGGTGTGTGTGTGTGTTGCAAACTAAGATTGGGGTAGGAAATCCATAATTTGTTTGCTTTTACTTCCTAAGCTATGTCAGCATATGGGTATGAGATAGTTCAGACTCTTATTGTGGATATTGAGCCAGATGAGCATGTGAAGAGAGCCATGAATGAGATAAATGCTGGTATGTTTTCTAGATGTGCATATGCTTGTTTCAGCTTGAGTTACTCTTGTTTCTTTTTCAAGCAAGCAAACGAAATAAATGTTAATTTAGTGTTCTGTCTGGGGATTTTCTTGCTGAGAGGTTTTAATTTGCCAATTAGACAAAATGTTTGACTTTCATGGAGCTAAAAAGTCTGAGTAGTGAATAATTTTTCATTATAGAAACACTTTCCAAATTCCCAATGTCATTAGCATAATTATCTTGAACAACATTTCAAAGTTGACTGAAAAAGTGTATCTTTATTGATGCCATCTCAAATACACAACCTTTCTTGTATTTGACAAACGATTTTAGCTAAAGATTTATCTTGTTTGAGCATAAATTTATTTAATGCATTCTTTCTCTTTCTTTTTCCTGTATACTCTTTACCTTTTGTTTAAACCTTTACATATAGCTGCGAGATTGAGGGTGGCTGCAAATGAGAAAGCTGAAGCAGAGAAGATATTGCAGATTAAGCGGGCAGAAGGGGATGCAGAGTCAAAGTATCTATCAGGGCTTGGAATAGCTCGTCAGCGCCAAGCTATGTAGATGGGCTGAGGGACAGTGTGCTAGCTTTCTCTGAGAATGTTCCTGGGACAACATCAAAAGATATCATGGACATGGTTTTGGTGACCCAATATTTTGACACGATGAAGGAGATTGGTGCATCCTCAAGGTCCAATGCTGTTTTCATTCCACACGGACCTGGTGCTGTTAGAGATGTTGCTTCACAAATTAGAGATGGTCTTCTCCAAGGAAATGCGATTCAACCTTGAAGACTGACATAATATATACCAGGAGGAGTTTAGCTTCTCAACTATATATATATATATATATGGGTAATACTTCTCTCATTTACATGAGAGAAGTTTTTTTCCTACACTAACAAGAAATGTGGAGCCCACAAGTTAAAGAAAAATAAAAAAGAAAAGAAATTGCAAGCACGTCTTTTTATATCTCACTAACATGAGATAATTATCTCCTACAGTTGGAGAAAACTATTTCCGTGTGTATATATATATATATATATATATATATATATATATATATATATATATCTTCTCGATCATAACTCGTTTGGTTTGTTTATATGTTGTTGCCCTCCTATATCCACTGTCTTGCAATCCAGCTCAATCTTTAGGAGTTGTGAATAGTACGTTCAAAGCAAATAAAGCTATTTCTTTTTCTTTTAAATAGTAATCATAATCATAGTGGGCGAAGTTGCTTTACTCGGGTTTTGTGCTTTGTGTTTGATTTTATGTTATGTATGATTATCCTTGCCTTTATCTACTATCAGAATTAGTGATAAGCTATGTAGATAGTCCATTCAAAGCAGGTAAGGAGTTTGCCCTACGAAAATTTGAGAGTACATTGTCCCGTAGCCAGGATGTTGCCTGATGCAAAATTATAGAGAAAATAGGCTTTCAGAAAAATGGAGAAGTTTTCTGCTATACTATTATTCTTTTAACAATCAAAAGTCGTCCCTTATATCCTCCTAACCGGCCTTTTAAAGGCAATACAAAAAGTAACTGATAACAAAGGACCATCAATGATCTTAAAAACTAATACAAAACGGAAATAACCATAAACAAAACATAAAGTCATGCAAACTGAAACGTCTGCAATTATTAAAATCCATAAAAAGCTTTAAAACTGAAACCTCTGCAATTATAATAATTTATGGTGACTTAAGTGCATCATCCTCTCCCACTAGGAAAAGATTCGCCCTCGAATCTACAACGTCTTCAGGTGGTAATCCAGGCGGCAACTCTTCTGGTACAATATCAGCAAATTTCCTAATTAAGATTAGGACTTGGAAATGCAATTTTTTGACATGCTTGGTATATTCATTTGTAGTTTGGATCAATGATCGCATCTGTGATCCGTCATAGGAAAACTTTGTCTGATGTACCAGCAAGTCCCATTGCCCTTGACGATCTCCAATTAAACTTTTACCAAATGCTAAATCTTTATCTCCATGGAGCATAAGGTTGTTATGCTCGTTGTCCCCAAATTCATAATACTTCTTGCAAACTAAAGACTTCTTGGATGAAGGATCATTCTGCATGATATCTTTGGGTAGAACTTCATCTTTGTCAGAGATATTAGAATTTCTAATAACTGACTTCCCATCGGAATCACTACAAGAGATTTCTTTCACCTCTGGATTCTCGTCGTCTTGCTCCCAATCATACTTATCATAGATAGGGAACTTGTCATAAATTGAAGCATCCATAACAGGATTCTCATCATCTTGCTCTTCATCATATTCATCATAGATTGGGACCTTCTGGTCTTCTATCAAGTCTATGATGTCAAAGACCTTTTCGACGGTGTGTGACCCGTCGATAAACTCATCTGGATAAGTAGTGCCTTCGAATTCCGGGATCTCAATCTTCACCTCAATATTAGCAAAAAATGATTGATTTCCAGGTCGACTTCGTCCTCGTCCTCGTCGCTCCTGGTTTCGGTTCCATAATCTCCTTTCCTCCTCATGAGATGATCTTTCAAATTCCCATCCTTCATCTGACTCGTGCAACTGTGCCTCTGCAAGCAGTTGTTCGAGTTCTTGGATCCGTCTGTCCTTTTCCTCAATTTCAGCATCTCTCGCATCAGTATAATAATCACCATCGGTAGGTTGACCGCGTCTGTCGCCACGACCTCTTCGTCCACGACCACGACCTCCGTGATTTTCCTGCTCAGCCATCTTTAAGGCAACCTGAGCTTTAATACCAAATGATGCAAAATTATAGGGAAAATATGCTTTCAGGAAAATGCAAAAGTTTTCTGCTATACTATTATTCTTTTAACAATCAAAAGTCGTCCCTCACATCCTCCTAACTATTATTCTTTTAAAGGCAATACAAAAAGTAACTGAAAACAAAGGACCATCAATGGTCTTAAAAACTAATACAAAACGAAAATAACCATAAACAAAACATAAAGTCATGCAAACTGAAACGTCTGCAATTATTAAAATCCATAAAAAGCTTTAAAACTGAAACGTCTGCAATTATAATAATTTATGGTGACTTAAGTGCATCATTAACATTATTAGTTTGATTGGTCAAGCGACAATAAAATTGTTCGTTCCATGTGGGATACCTAGATAATATTTGAGATCCACGAGTATGCCACAAAAAAGATAATAGCAAATGATTCCAAATAATAGCAAATGATAGGCTCCGAGGATACAATGCATGGGAACATGTAAACACTATTTCTGAATATAAACATGTTGAAGTTTCACTATGATTCATTTGGACTATAGAATCGCAGTTACATTTGAAAGTTCTAATTTTAAATATGTTAGAATTGCAATTAATTGTAAAAGAGTTTAAGAGCTAACTATAATAACAGAGGCACTTTCTTTCTAAGACAACAAATAAAACGTCAACTGCCTGTCTATACATTAGTATATTCCAGATATAGATTATTAAATTCAACCCCTCCTTTTTTTTAAAATAAAAGAAGAAAATAAAATATCTTATAGATACCAGATTGGTATTATTTTAATCAAACATTTGACTTCTTCAACTTGTTGAATGCTGCAAAGCCTCCATGGATTTGTAACCAAACCTTCTGCATTAACTTCATTATCTTGTATCAGGGCAGCTTTGTTTAGAAACCTGTGCAAAATCAAAGTTACCAAAAAAGTTTGTCCTTAATTAGATGAGGAGTAAATATTAAAAAACACAAGTGAGATTGAGGAACATTACCTAAGTTGTTTGGTTAAAGGTATCTTGATTGCTTTATCATCTCTTAGTGGGGGATCATAGTAAACAACTTCCTCTTCATTTGTTGGGTTTTTGAGGTGACGCTTCTTATAAGCTGCAACAAACACTTTTGCAATACCAACTGATATGTTCCCTTCTGCTGGAAGGTTAACATAAGTTCTTTTTCCGACAAAAATTGTGATTATTGCACCTAACATGAGAAGGGCTAGTATCCCAAAACCAATGGCCCAGTTTTTGTTTAGGATGTAAACTATTATAATATTATTGATCAACAGGACCAGTGTCTATGTGGTGTAGTACCAATTTAACAAACGGCTAACTCCTTTGCTTCCATTAGGGGAAGTTGTGTCAAATTGATCAATGGCAAAGGGAATACTGCATGGATTAATTCCACCTGTGCCTATACCCAGCAAAGACAGCCCCAAAATTACGATGGCAAACTGAGTAGTAGTTAGGGGGAACACATGCTTGGTGCCGAGAAGAGCAACTTGGAGGATGAAATTGTGGCACCCATGCTGTCAGTGTTAATATCATCATTCCCTAATTAATCACCAGCAAATGATTAATTGACGCTCACCCATGCATATAATCAAGATTGCAGTAACAATTATTTAAATTCAGTTTGCCCTTATGATATCACTTAGCTCTGCTGTGATTTCATAGTCTAAGTATTAGTTATTTCCTTTTCTTTTCTTTTTCCCTACTATGTCAACTAAAAACTTCTTATTTATGCTATATTACGTTAAACCAACAAGGCTATACATCAGATACGTCCATTTTACGCACACAAAGACATAAAAATATATCCTTAATGGTGGAGCCAAAATTTTTTGTTAGGGGTAAAGGTGAAAGTCAATTATACTGAACTTTACTTTCGCTCTTTTTTTTTCTTTTCTTCAAAGAGACTAATTTTCAAACGTCTTTCAAACTTCTGACATTTTGTTACAAGAACAACTGTACTAACTTTACTGGTGCTTCAATTAATGCTGACCCTAGTATTTTTCTATTTATATGGAAAAAAATAGCATAGATGGTACTCACAACTAATATGAGATGTTAGTGATGGAGATTGTGCCCTCATAAGCTAACCATATTTTTTAATCATTTTTAATTTGTCAATTTATTATAATGTTTCAAATATTTAACAAAGAAGAAAAATATCTCCAAGAGAATAAAGAAACTTTGGTTGGTTAAATTGACGCTAACAATTAAGGTCTTCAAATTAAAATTGACAAATCAATGAGTGATTGTACTGTGTGTTTTAAATATAATAGAGTAGAGCATACCACAAGTGTTCCAAATGATGCCATAGCAATGGTTTTGAATTTTTCTAAATAGGCGTCAGCAAGAGAAGCACCAATAATTGGTATGAAATTGCTCACTGCAGACCATATGATGATAACTTTTGCAGCACCAACGTGACTCAAATGGAACACTTTCAACAAATACACCATGAAATTTGTTGTCATGCCGTATGTCGCTATCCTCTCGATTGTTTCATTTCCTACAAAATATAATTAGTTAACTCAACTTGATAACAAATTATATATCAATAAATATTATATACATATGCACATTTTTCTGTTAAGATAGGGACCTATGATGAAAAGAACGGCCTTCCATCCAGGCTTTCTCTCCATTGTCCTTGCATTTAAGGAATCCAAACCATCTTCTGTTGTTGACTGTCTCCTATTCTCCACCTCCATTATTTTTATCTGAAGTATCCTTTGTATGCTTGAACTAGGTTCCTTCGAATTATAGTGTAGCAATTGAGAAGTGAGCCCTAAGGAGCATGAATTGAAGTCAGCAATGACATGAAGACAATTAATCTATTGCACTAATGTTTCTTGCATTAATCAAAATATGAACCTAAATATAAAAATTTGCTAATACATGTGTCTTTAAGGGCAATATCTTTAGTTATTATACAAACTTATACAGTAGAGCAAGTACAATAACTGAAGATATAAAAGTTCACACGTGTTTGGGCAGTAGCATGCGTGTCTTTTTCCACAGTATATTAGCTGGGCACGTGAGTCATTGGGGCTGCCATGGTGACTTAAGTGAGTCACGTGCTTTGTAGCAGCGCCGTGATTATTGTGAATGAGTTGGGCTGTTATACTAAGCCCACTACGTCTTTCCCCAACCCCAAATCCATATTGGACCCATTCATTTATTTGCGTTTACTATATTGTGCTGTGTGGTCTTTTGCTGTAGTCGTCTGTAGAGATGAACAACTTGGATCCATTCACGGACGACGATGATGATATTTTAGTATTTGTGTTGTGTAGCTTGACATAAATGCCATAAGGATTTGTAAATGATTGCTCCATTGGAAATCGGGTATTATGGTCATTTAGTTGAACTTGTTAGGTGTGAGATTCTTCCGTCAAATTGAGAGCGAACATTTTTTTTTTTTTTGAGAGCGAACATTTAACGAATATGCGTTGGCTATACCCTAAGCTATTTATTGCACAGTGGAACGGAGCAACACTACAAGTTCATATAGAGTCACCATAATGGGCCCAAAATCACCGACCAACCCATCTAATTTATAAACTTGCCCGCCCAAGTTTGATAAGCCCAAATTAGTTGGCTCTTTCTCAAGTCTCAACTATATTCTCAGGTCTCATACAAAGCAATATGTAGTGCGTAGTCAGTAATTTGTACCAAACAAATGCTTATTGTGATGCTCCACATAAACTTATTTTGATGAATTTGTACCATTGTCAATATGATTTCCCAGAAATTAATCTATTTGAGACAATTAAAAAATAACTTAGAAGTTCATGATTTTTATTTACCTAAAAAATGAGAGAAAAGATAAATTTACATTGTACTCAGTTCTTGGGTGTTATGGCATTGGAAACCATAAGATTACGCAAAAATAATGACCAATTTAGACATGTAGAAGGCTCAAATTCTAATTGTTCAAAGTCTAAGATGTTTCTAACACCATCAACAGAAGGGAATTTCCAGCCAAACTCCCATGATGAAGTTTCTAAATTTTTTTAAAAGGAAGGACAATAGATTAAAAGTGTGAATTCCATTTTCTTCCTTCCAATACATATCACACCATAGTATACCATTTACTTACACTATTAAGTATCAACAACCAAAGAACTAATATCTTGTAAAAAGCAAAACCAAAATACATGCCAATAAGCACAAGATCAGAACTGAAAACAGTAAACAACCACGAAATTCCCACCTAATTAGAACTGAAAACATGTAATTATGGACAATTCTTTTAACACATGCTATTCTCTGAGCTAGCTTTTTTTTTTATATTTTTTAAAATAACCTGTAACCTGTACCTTCACAGGTCGGGTTCATGGGGTGTGGTTTATTTTTTTTAAAGCAATATTTTCTGTTATTAGTTTGTCGAGGAGCTATATAAATTAAAGAGAAGTAATAATTTAAACTAGGTTGGACCAACAGATACAGTGTGCAATTTTTGTACTTTGAACAGGGCGGTGGACTGGAGTTTTGGAATAGGAAAAATCCACAATAGATTGAAAATTATGAGGATCAAAATCTTATTTAAACCTAAGTTCAAATTGCAAACTTGGGTTAGTCGAATTTGGTCTCTACCATCCCTAATTTTTTTCCCTCTATCTTAGCAGCCTCATTAATGGCCACGTGGACGTGCCAGCAGATCTCATTGGATTAGCTGGCATGCGAAAAGGTGTAACCACGCTCTCTGTGGATGACACGTGTATAAGGGAATAAGGTAATCACCTATTGGCTTCCACGCGGTTAAGGTCAGGAAAGGCTTGGTGGGAGTTGAATGTTCACACTCTCATTTACGCGTGCGGGGTGAGGCGTTCATTGAATGCCAACAATGCCAACGATCTCTTGCATTGCACCCGACCCAAATCAATGACCTTCTAAAAAATCCTTGTAATCCATAGTTCCACCATTCAAATTTATAAAACCATTCCCTGATCTTAGTTTCTCCACCTTTCACCGGAAACAACTACCATACTGTTGTAGAATTGAAGTTTAGCATATTGAACAAAAAGAACGTAACAAATTTTGTAGGAGAAAGATACTATTCTTATGATTGGGCCATCGAAAGTATTTCAACCAGGGATTTAAATAGAGGACTGCAAATAGCCACCAAACAGAGTCTCATAAAGAGAGCAAATTAGATTTTATTTGCCACATGACTCATAAGCAATAGGATCAATACGTTGACGTTAAAACATTAGGGGCTGGGACGGGACGATGTGGAAGTTGAGCCCCTTGATCATATGAAAGATGCTCAAAACCCGAAGCTGTATCAAAAAGTCAGGTATGGAGATTATTTGAGGCAATCCATGAAGAGGAAAATGGAGGGAAAAGCACACACTCTGCACACATTGTCAAGAATAGACTGTTTCTTATGCGGAAGCAAGAAGCAAGAAGCAAGAAGTGGATACCAAAGCCCAATATGAGCTCAGATACTTACATATACTTACATTACTTACATATACTGAACCGGGTCTAATTTAAGGTGACTCGTTAAAACTTAACAACCAACCCTTCTCTGCTTTCTTTGACTATTTTTCACTGGACCATGGTACTTTCTTACATATACTTACATTACTATATTACTATATTAGCTTGAAGATGCTAATCAGAGCAAAAATCGCCCCTCTTTCAACAATAATTATGATCATTTTCTATGCAAACACAGACACCAATCGGTTCATTCATGAGGACATCTACCAGATAGTTACACAATAGAAGATACAGTCACCACAATCTGAATGAATGCAGCAACATGTACATGCAGTGAGATTAGATTTACCGATCTTCGCTTGATCAGCGAGCGCGTGAGTAGCTGTGCTTGACCGTTGCTCGATTGGCTTCGTTCCACTTGGATGCTCTCCTAGTAATTGATGCGGTGTGTTTGCTCTCACCAAGAGAAATGACAGAGAGAGAGAGTAGTTCTGATTCTGAGATATTAAAGGAATGAATTGAAAAAATTAAAAAGGAGTGAAATCAAAACTTAATATATTTGAAATTAGAGGAATGAAGCAATTATCACACTGTAATCTCAGTACAAACATGGAGCAGTTGCATAGAACCAAAGAGTTAGGATTTTACAAAATAAAAAAATAAAAAACAAGTTGTTAGAAGGTTGTGTGAAAAGCTCATAAGATAGTTAGTTAAGGAGAAAATTAACGTTGATGGGGGCTCTTTTCTAACCGACGTAATAACTAGGGACGTGCATGGAGCGGTTCGATTATTGCCAAAATTTAAACCAAACCAGTTTTAAACGGTTTAGATTTTAAATCGAACCACTTTTTTTTAAAAAAACTGGTTTTTAATTTGTCCAAACTGATTTAAAACCGATTTCAAAACCGGTTTGTGGTTCATAACCGGTTTTGATTTAAAACCGGTTTTGAACCGGTTTTAATTCAAAACCAGTTTTAAATCAAAATCGGTTATGAACCACAAACTGATATTCAAAATTAAAATCGGTTTTATAACAATTTTTTTTAATTGTAACATTTTTTTAATCCCAACCACAAACCGGTTTTCAAAATTATAACATCTTTTTTAATTTACTAATAATTTTATGTTAGCTTATGTTTCACTATAAAGAAAAGAAAAATAAAAATTCTTCTCAGAGATGCCTTAGTATTTTAATTGTAAACTTCTCTGAAAATAAAAATAAGCTAATCCAAACATGATTTCTTTAACCAATAATAATAATAATAAAGAGTTTAAATTTTCTGTCACAACACAATCACCGGAAAAGTTCTTCCAATTTTTCTCGGGAACCAAACAAGAACAAGAAAAAAAAAAACATACAGGGGGAGTTGAGTAAGCCTCAAAGGCGAAGCCAGCTAGAATAACCGCAAGATTGATATCAAACGGAGGCCGTTCATCATCTTCCTGAATAGAAATTCTCTCAACCTCGGAATCGGTTTTCGAGGAGGAGCAGCAGATTAAGAAAACTTGTTTTCCTCTTCTTCGTCTTCTTCTGTGCTTCATCCCATCGAATCCTGTGAAAGAGAAAACACGAAACTTTCTGGGAAAATGAGGAGGGAAAGGGAGAGAAAATAAGGAGGTGGTGGAGCAAAAACCCCAATTTGGTTGGGAATGGGATGAATTTTCCCCTCAAAATCGAAAAAGAAAACTAGGGTTCATGGTCGAACAAGAAAGGGTTCAAATGAGGGGTTCAAAGTTACTTACCCTTAAATCGATTAACGCGTTTGATTGTAGATGAGTCCGCTTGACACAAAAAGAGGTATAAATTAGGGCATAAAGCAAAAGAAAAATCAAGATCTATGGTGATATAACCTTTGATGAATTTGACAATCAAACTGAAACCATGGATGTATGGCCCAACCACCATCTAAAATGAAAAATAGCAGAAACAGAAGTTCCATTTTTCTTACATTTTCTCGGTAAACAAACAGCCAGAGGAATTGGAAATTTTAAAAAGGAAGTGAAGAAAACATGAGAGAGAGAGACTTGTACCTTGGAAATGAATTGCTGTGTTTAGCTTGGACTAATTACTGATAAATCTTAAACTCACCTTGAGAACGGGAATTTGAGAGAGAGAGAGAGAGAGAGAGAGAGTGTGAGTGAGTGAGTGAATGAATGTGAGTGAGTGAATGAATGGGAATATGAGAAGAGGTGGTATTTATAGAGAGGATGGGTTAAAGAGGGAAAGTGGGGGAAAGAGAGGGAGCTGAAGCTTAAGGTCAGGGGCAAGCAATTTCTCAACACTTTTCAGAAATTGTATTAATTATTTCATCTTTACTCAATTTATTTCATCAATTTATTTATGCTAGATTTGTCTTAACATGGTACTTAATTGGACAAAACGGAACCAGGCAATTTAAGAAAAAAGTAAATTTCTTTCGGCGTTGGTGGAATAATCTAGCCATTGTTGCTTGTTGGGGGAATCTAGGGAGCGGTTGTCACTTTAGCAGTTGCTGAGATTGTAGGGTTGGGAGAAAGAAATCGTATACATGTGCATATGTACACATTAAATACGTAGTAATTTGTGGATCTAGCTGACTTTATATTTACATGACCCATAACAGAAAGGGTTTTAGTAAGATAGTTATTTTACGTGACAGAGAGAAAATGGGTGGGTCTCACCATTACAAGAAAAAAAAAAAATTGGAGTGCGAAAATCGAAGTGAAAAAAAAAATGAGATAAGTTACCTCAGGTAAGAGGAGAGTAATATTTTCCTAATAGAAAAAGTTAAACATGTAGAGAAAAGGTTTACTTCTCATGGGGTGTGAATGTGAATGTACACTTACATCTTCTGTCTACCATGTGGATTAACCTTTAGATATTCTGATGTGAATGCAATCCACCAATCTGATTCTTTCTCTTTTTTTGCCCCCCCTTCCCCTCCTCCTTCTCTCTCCCCTTCCTTTCCTCATAGTGCTGGATTAGCCTATCTCAGTAAATAATAATAAAAAGCTAAAAACAAAAAATCGGAATAAGCAATGTAATAAGTGGACCGGTGATTGGACCGGTGAAGGTAACCGAACCGGGTCTTAATCTAGTCCATGAGCTTATTAAACCCTTAAAAAAAGTGAAATTAAAACCGAAGTTAAAACTTGTGATAGCTACATCAATTGGCTACACTTGACTGGTCCACTTGAACACAACCCAACACTTGTCCCATATTCACCAAACCCCAAACTGAATCAGCTAAAACAAAACCAACAGAACACATCAATTGGCTTCTGTTCAATATTCAAAAGAATCAAAAGGAAAATGCTAATTGTCATTGATTCAAAAGCATACACAAGCTGATACTGATAGCAAGATCCAGTATGCCAAGGAACAGTGCTGTAGCACGAAATAAACACAAAGCCATAACAAACCCAATGAATCACGGTTGCACTCACCTTGAGAATGGGAATGAGAGAGTGAGTGAGCATCAAGTTAATTCTAGATTTGTCTTAACACGGTACTTAATTGCACAAAACGGAACCAGGCAATTTAAGAAAAAAGTAAATTTCTTTCGGCGTTGTGGAATCTAGCCATTGTTGGTGGAATCTAGTCCTAAAGAGGTTATCTTTTGACGGTGCCTTGCTCCCTCCTCCTTTTTTTTTTTTTAAATTAAAAAACCCAAAAGAGAGGGAGAGAAGCTGTTTTTAATTTGTTTGCAAAGTTGTTTTTCCATTGATCAGAGGCTTCTGCATTTAGAATTGGAAAAAGAATATTGTCAGTGCATGCAGCATTTTCCAAACTAATGAGCCATAATAACCTAGATTAACCATAGAACATAAGGATATATTACCTTAAAGTTGAAGAGGATCAGTGCAAGTTGTAGTCCATTGATTTATGATGAATCCTTACTTCGTGTAATTATTTTTGTTGTTTTATGTAGTAAGCCTAAGTTTAAGATTGCATGATCGGATATACTAGGCAGGATATCTGTTGTGTTTTTTTTATTATTATTTACTTGTCTGCTCCTGCTGTTCATAATTATTCTGAGGCTTATTTCCTTCCTCCATATCTAGTATACTGAGATAGGGTGTTAGACTATCAGACAGTGCAAACAAGAAATACAATTACTTAGCTGAGCTAACTATAACAGAAAATTGACTCACTAACAAACTGACAGCGAATTCTACTAACTGATATTAAAACTTCATCTATATATAGTGTAATATCAAAGCAGAGAGACAAAAAGAGAAGTTTCTGAAAATGGAAAAGTTGCATTTTCAATTGATAATCAATCTCTGATACAGGTTACAATATATACATACACGTAGCTGACGTGGCACCACTAAAACAAGAAATACAATTACTTAGCTGAACTAACTATAACAGAAAATTAACTCACTAACAAACTGACAGCTAATTCTACTAACTGATATTAAGACTTCATCTATATATATACTGTAATATCAAAGCAGATAGATAAAAAAAGAAGTTTCTGAAAATGGAAAAGTTGCATTCTGAATCGATAATCAATTCCTGATACAGGTTACAATATGTACACGTAGCTGATGTGGCACCACTAAAACAAGAAATACAATGTTACGTTTTACAGAGAACAACCCAAGAATTATCACAATCAGCAGAGAAAATAGAGACACAACCACTCTTTTGTATTATTCAGATGCAAAATAACGCTCATAAACAGAGTTTGATTCATCTTAAAGGAAAATTACATCAAAACTAAACCCAGCAAATTACAATGGAAATGAAAAGATAACAATGAGACAATTATAGAGGTCCCACACTCTCCTAAGCAATTGCTTCTTCCATATCCAGCCTACCTCCCCCATTCCTTCCCACACTCTATATAACCAACTCATGGCACAACATGCACTAATCAGTTAAGGGGTATTCTTGTGACTTCCTACTGCTGACGTGGCATTATCACCTGAGAGCTGCTCTTCTGAAGCATTTGGGCCTTGCTTATCTTTGATCCATACCCGTCTTGCTTTGTCCCTTGTATACATCTTGGGCCTGATTGTATCAATACTCCCCCCCATTTGTACAACCTTGTCCTCAAGGTTGAATTGAGGAAACTGACTGTTGATAACTGTAAATTCCTCCCACGAATTTTCAAATGTTGGTAAATGACACCATTTAATCAACACTTGAACTGTGTTTTGGACAGAACGTCTCACACCCAAAATAGCTTCAGGTTCCATTTTTAATTCCCAATTATCATTAAGGACCGAGGGGAGAGGTTGGATAACAGCAGCTGCCTTGACTGCCTTCTTAAGTAAACTAACATGAAAAACAGGATGTACCTGACACCCAGATGGGAGATGTAAACGGTATGCTACCTCCCCAACCCGCTCCAGCACTTGGTAGGGACCATAGAAACGTGGGCTAAGCTTCTCATTGATGCGTCTAGCAATCGTTTTAAGATGATAGGGTTGGATTTTGAGGTAAACCCAATCCCCCACAGCATATTGGACTTCTCTACGGTGTTGGTCAGCAAAGTGCTTCATGCGATCCTGTGCCTTGAGGATGTGATGCTGCAGATCTTGCAAGATGACATCCCGCTCTGCTAAGGATTGGGAGACAGCATCAACCGAAGGAATAAACGTCCCACACTTGAACAAAGTAGGTGGATCTCTGCCATACAAAGCTCTAAATGGGGTCATGCCCGTTGTATCCTTGAATGTTGTATTGTACCAAAATTCAGCCCAAGGAACCCATTTGGGCCATTCCTTGGGTTTAGTGCAGCAAAAACAGCGTAGATAGGCCTCTAAACAGCGGTTAACGACCTCCGTCTGGCCATTGGTTTGCGGATGATACGCTGTGCTATAATGGAGCTTGGTAGCTGCACACTTGAAAAGTTCCGTCCAAAAGTGACTTAAAAATACCCTATCACGGTCTGAAGTGATAGTAGCAGGAAAATCATGTAACCGTACGATCTCCTTGACAAATAATTCAGCCACTTCCTTAGCCGTATAGGGATGTTTGAGGGGAATGAAGTGAGAATATTTGGTGAGCCGGTCAACTACTACCAACAACGTATCCACTCCCCTTGATTTTGGGAGCCCCCCAATGAAGTCTAAGGAGATATCCTCCCAAACTTGAGTTGAAACGGGTAGTGGCTGTAACAGCCCAGCCGGAGTCAGATTGAGGGACTTACACTGTTGACAGATAGCACAACCTGCGACATACTCCTTTATATCCTTCCTCATCCCTTCCCAATAGACTACTTCAGCCAACCGTTTGTAGGTGCGAAAGTACCCTGAGTGTCCACCAACCCCAGAATCATGGTACTCTTGCAATAAGGAAGGGATAAACTGAGAGGACTTTGGGAAAACCAACCGTCCATTATAAAAGAGCTTCCCTCCCTTCCTGGAGAATCCCTTATGCGCATCAGGTACGATCAGCAAGTCCTGGAAGATCCCCTGCAACCTTGCATCGTGCTGTATCTCTTTTTCTAGCTCATCCAATTCAGACCACTGCACAGTAGATAAAGCTGCAAAAATCATTTGTCTAGACAAGGCATCAGCTACTTGGTTATCCTTCCCTGGTTGGTATTGAATTTCAAAGTCAAACCCCATCAGTTTTGATATCCATTTCTGTTGATTTTCACTCAGGATGTGCTGCTCAGTAAGGAATCGTAAGCTCCTTTGGTCTGTCTTGATGATGAAATGATTACCCATGAGGTAATGTCTCCATTTCTTGACTGCAAATACTATTGCCATAAGTTCTTTCTCATAAACAGATTTGGACTGAGCTTGAGTAGAGAATCCTTGACTCATAAATGCAATCGGTTTATTATCCTGAGTGAGGACTGCTCCAATCCCCTTCCCTGACGCGTCAGTGACAACTGTGAATTGCTTGCTGAAATCTGGTAAAGCTAACACCGGTACTGAGCTCATCATCACTTTCAATTGTTGGAAACTGTCCTCTGCCTCCTTATTCCATTGAAAACCATCCTTTCGCAATAACTCTGTAAGTGGTTTTGCTACTTTCCCATAATCCTTCACGAACTTCCTATAATATCCGGTTAGCCCCAGGAAACCTCTCAACCCTTTGACACACCTGGGTTTCAGCCAAGCCACCATGGCTTTTATTTTTTCCGGGTCAGCTTTGACCCCTGCAGCAGACACACAGTGTCCTAAGTACTCGATAGAACTCCTGCCAAAGCTGCATTTTTTTTTATTTGCTACTAACTGATGCTGCCTCAATACTCCAAAGATGGTTCTCAAATGACCCAGGTGTTCCCCCTTATTCCTGCTGTATATTAAAATATCATCAAAAAACACGAGGGCAAACTTCCTCAAGAATGGGCGAAGGATTTCATTCATCAGAGCTTGGAATGTGGAGGGAGCATTGGTCAAGCCAAACGACATGACCACATACTCATAGTGGCCTTCATGCGTTCGAAAGGCTGTTTTCGGGATATCTGCTACCCTCATTCTGATCTGGTGGTACCCAGCCTTTAAATCCAGCTTCGAATACACCTGTGACCCGCCCAACTCATCCAGAAGCTCATCCACCATTGGCATAGGAAACTTGTCTGGTATGGTAATCTTGTTTAAGGCCCTATAATCCACACATACTCGCCAACTCCCATCCTTCTTCTTAACCAGAATAACAGGACTCGAGTACGGACTTGTGCTATGACGTATCATGCCATTTTTGAACAGCTCAGCTACCAACAACTCAATTTCAGTTTTCTGGTAATGGGGATACCTGAATGGACGGATGTTGGGCACCATGCTCCCTGGTTTGAGGTGTATTGCATGATCAATTGCTCGAGCTGGTGGCAGCTCTTTGGGTTCCTAGAAAACCTCCGCGAAGTCAGAAAGCAACGGCCCAATCTCAGCCCACTGTGCTTCTTCCTCCCGAGCCTCTTCTTCAGTGGAGCTGACAAAAAATCCATGTGCCTGATTCTTTAAGGCCTTAGTGATGGATCTGTAAGAAGCCTCCGACCTAGACAGCGACGGATCTCCCTTAATGGTTGTCTCCTTCCCCCTCTCTCCATATTTAAGAGTCATCTCTTTGAAGTTTGCTTTAATTTCCCTCAATTGAGTGAGCCATTCTAACCCCAACACTACATCAGCGCTACCCAATTCAAAGAGATACAAATCTTGTTTGATTTGTGTCCCCTGAATATTGATGTCGACCCCGTAGCACACCCCTTTGCACCCCACCTTACATCCATTTCCGATTTCTACCTGATAAGATAGAGTATCAGTTATGTCCAGTCCCAATTTTTCCACCACCTCTTTTTTTATAAAATTGCTGGATGCCCCACAATCCACCATGACCACCACCTGCTGACCCCTAATCTCACCCCACACCTTCAGTGTTTGGCTTGAAGAGAGCCCTAATAGGCTTTGTAGAGAGAGTAGAAGCGGTTTCTCCAACTCACCAATGTCCACAACCGGAATCTCCTCAACTTCTTCTCTTTCTTTCTCACCATCTTCCCTAATTTCATCGTCCACCAACAGCAAATGCAACTGACGGACCTGGCACTTGTGGTTGGAGTGCCAACGATCCCCACACTTGAAGCACAGCCCCTTGTTTTGACGATCACGCCATTCCGCGGTTGACAACCTCCTCACCTGACCGGAATCGTTTTCTCCGGTACGGATCTCAGCACCTGGGGTCATTGTCTTCGTGTTCGCTCCTTCGCTAGGGCTCCCACGAGCTGCATTCCCTTGACCCACACTCGTTTGGCTGGATCCGGTAAACGATTGGGTTGAATTAACCCTGTTGCTCGCTCCTGAGGTTGCGTTTTGGGCTGTCCAAGACTTATTCTCAGTTGGGCCAGCATTTCTTGTTTGGCCCACTGAAAACCGGTTGAGTCCAGTAGACTAATTTCGCCCCAAAGGCCCTAGCCCCTCTTCCTTCCAAGCCGTGTTACGTCTCTCCACCTTGATAGATAGCTTCATCATCTCTGTAAGACTGAGCTCCGGCAACATAAGCAATTCTTCCCTGATACTGGTACGAACTCCGTTGAGCCATGCTCCTTTGAGCAGATCTTCATCTTCGAAACGAAAAGCCCCAACCATCTTCTCAAATTGGGCACGAAAATCAGTCACGCTCCCGTCTTGTTTAACGGTGTACAAGGCCCTGTATGGGTTGTCCAGGGCCTCCGATTGAAACCGACTGAGTAGTTCTCACCGGAAAACTCCCCACGTCACGTTTGGATGGCTTGCCTCCCACCAATGGAACCAGTGAAGAGCCTCCCCTTCCAACACAACCAACACCGAATTTACTTTCTCAGCCTCGGTGACCCCATTAACCACAAAATAACGTTCCACTTTACTCAATCAACCAAAGGCATCCTCCCCTGCGAATGTGGGAACTTCTAGGCGTCGGTGAGGAGGTCCATTCATATTAAATCTCCTCCCGTTCCTTCTTTCGTAATGACCTGAACCATCCTCCTCATCATTTTCTCCGTCGTGAGATTGTCCGTGTCTTCTCGCAGCCAGCTCATCTAACCGACGGAGTATATCGGTTATGCCCAATTTGTTTGCTCCCAGTCTACGCAGCAGCTCGTCATGTCTAGCGTCACTTGCGTCTAACCTCAACAGAACTTCTTCCTGCCTCGCACACCCTCTGCGCAATCCTTCCTCAATTAAATCCATTCGATGTTCCATTTGTCGCGTGATTACCATACCACAGAGCTCCAAGATCGGAGCTCTGATACCAATTTGTTACGTTTTACAGAGAACAACCCAAGAATTATCACAATCAGCAGAGAAAATAGAGACACAACCACTCTTTTGTATTATTCAGATGCAAAATAACGCTCATAAACAGAGTTTGATTCATCTTAAAGGAAAATTACATCAAAACTAAACCCAGCAAATTACAATGGAAATGAAAAGATAACAGTGAGACAATTATAGAGGTCTCACACTCTCCTAAGCAATTGCTTCTTCCATATCCAGCCTACCTCCCCCATTCCTTCCCACGCTCTATATAACCAACTCATGGCACAGCATGCACTAATCAGTTAAGGGGTATTCTTGTGACTTCCTACTGCTGACGTGGCATTATCACCTGAGAGCTGCTCTTCTGAAGCATTTGGGCCTTGCTTATCTTTGATCCATACTCGTCTTGCTTTGTCCCTTGTATACATCTTGGGCCTGATTGTATCATACAATTACTTAGCTGAACTAACAACCATAACAGAAAATTAACTCGCTAATAAACTGATAGCTAATTCTAATAACTGACATTAAAAATTCATCTATATACTGTAATAGACTTGTTGCCCCATAATCTTTACTTAGCACTATTGTACCTACCACTTGTGTTATTTCTCTAAGTCAATATAAATAGGGTGTCTCATTATAATAAAACTACCGCTCCCTATAAGTCTGAATTAGTGTGTTCTGTTGGTTTTGTTTTAGCTGATTCAGTTTGGGGTTTGGTGAATATGGGACAAGTGTTGGGTTGTGTTCAAGTGGACCAGTCAAGTGTAGCTCTCAAAGAAGTTTTTGGGAAGTACGATGATGTGCTTGAACGTGGTTGCCACTGTGTGCCATGGTGTTTTGGCAACCGGGTGGCTGGTGAACTTTCGTTGCGTGTGAGGCAGCTAGATGTTCGTTGCGAAACAAAGACAAAGGTTTGTTGCACTATGACTTCTGCTTAAGATGGTTGTCAAGCGCTTCTTTCTCAACCTTTATTTTTATTTATCAAAACTGTTTCTTTGTAATCATTAAGATAAGTCTAACAATTTTTTTACTTGTTTATCACCTATATACATTATCCACTCATTTTGTCAACAAAAAATAGCACATGTATGTATTATCTGACTGACCGTGTTGCATTACATCACATCAGGACAATGTTTTTGTCACTGTCGTTGCTTCTATCCAATATCGAGCACTGGCAGAAAAGGCAGTGGATGCTTACTACAAACTTAGCAATACCAGAGCACAGATACAAGCCTATGTTTTTTATGGTAGATATTTGTGAATCTACTTAAAAGAAATTTGGTCTATGTATTCAGATCTTCAGATTGAAACTGATTTGCTCCTAGTGCTGTTTCAGTTATCAGGGCAAGTCTTCCAAAGATGGAACTAGATTCTGCTTTTGAACAGAAGAATGAAATTGCAAAAGTAGTCGAGGAAGAACTTGAAAATGTATTTTTTTTTTTTTTTTGGAGTGTGTGTGGCAAACTAAGATTGGCGTAGGACATCCATAATTTGTTTGCTTTTACTTCCTAGGCTATGTCAGCATATGGATATGAGATAGTTCAGACTCTTATTTTGGATATTGAGCCAGATGAGCATGTGAAGAGAGCCATGAATGAGATAAATTCTGGTATGTTTTCTAGATGTGCATGTGCTTGTTTCAGCTTGAGTTACTCCACAACCTTTCTTGTATTTGACAAACGTTTTTAGCTAAAGATTTATCTCGTTTGAGCATAAATTTATTTAATGCATTCTTCCTCTCTCTCTCTTTCCTGTATACTCTTTACCTTTTGTTTAAACCTTGACATATAGCTGCGAGATTGAGGGTGGCTGCAAACGAGAAAGGTGAAGCAGAGAAGATATTGCAGATTAAGCGGGCAGAAGGGGATGCAGAGTCAAAGTATTTATCAGGGCTTGGAATAGCTCGTCAGCGCCAAGCTATAGTAGATGGGCTGAGGGACAGTGTGCTAGCTTTCTCTGAGAATGTGCCTGGGACAACATCAAAAGATATCATGGACATGGTTTTGGTGACCCAATATTTTGACACGATGAAGGAGATTGGTGCATCCTCAAGGTCCAATGTTGTTTTCATTCCACACGGACCTGGTGCTGTTAGAGATGTTGCTTCACAAATTAGAGATGGTCTTCTCCAAGGAAATGCGATTCAACCTTGAAGACTGGCATAATATATACCAGGAGGAGTTTAGCTTCTCAACTATATATATATATATATGTCTTCTCGATCATAACTCGTTTGGTTTGTTTATATGTTGTTGCCCTCCTATATCCACTGTCTTGCAATCCAGCTCAATCTTTATGAGTTGTGAATAGTACGTTCAAAGCAAATAAAGCTATTTCTTTTTCTTTTTCTTTTAAATAGTAATCATAATCATAGTGGGCGAAGTTTCTTTACTCGTGTTTTGTGCTTTGTGTTTGCTTTTATGTTATGTATGATTATCCTTGCCTTTATCTACTATCAGAATTAGTGATAAGCTAAGTACATAGCCCATTCAAAGCAGGTAAGGAGTTTGCCCTACAAAAATTTGAGAGTACATTGTCCCGTAGCCAGGATGTTGCCTTATTAACATTATTAGTTTGATTGGTCAAGCGACAATAAAATTGTTCGTTCCATGTGGGATACCTAATTAATATTTGAGATCCACGAGTATGCCACAAAAAAGATAATAGCAAATGATTCCAAATAATAGCAAATGATAGGCTCCGAGGATACAACGCATGTGAACATGTAAACACTATTCCTGAATATAAACATGATGAAGTTTCACTATGATTCATTTGGACGATAGAATTGCAATTACATTTGAAAGTTCTAATTTTTTTTTTGGTAATCAGAAAGTTCTAATTTAAATGTGTTAGAATTGCAATTAATTGTAAAAGAGTTTAAGAGCTAACTACAATAACAGAGGCACTTTCTTTCTAAGACAACAAATAAAACGTCAATTGCCTGTCTCTGCATTAGTATATTACAGATATAGATTATTAAATTCACCCCCTCCTTTTTTTAAAATACAAGTAAAAAAAAAGAAGAAAATAAAATATGTTGTAGACACATTAAGAAACAATTACACTTTCCCTCTATTTATTACCTTTTAAGTTTCCTTTCATTTAACATTCTATTTAATTTATTAAAAATATTTTTAAAAAAATTCGAAGATATTTTTAATTTTTATTTTATTTTCAATCAAAATAAAAATTAAAGATAAAGAATAATTAAAGCAAAGTATAAACATTTCTACCAAAAGAATAACCAGTGATCTTAACCGTGTATGAGAAATTAAAAAAGTATTTAAACATAGCTAGTATTAGAGAATAGAAAAATTTACATTTTATTCTTTTATGAAAAATTTTAAATATTTAAAAAGTAATAAAATGCATTTATAATTTTATCCTACTTATATTTTCTTTAATAAATGAGTAATTGGTAATGATAAATTTTAAAAATAAAGAACATGAATTAAACACCAATAATGTAGAATCCCTTTGTAATAATATTATATATATGGTTAAAATGATTTTATATATAATAATACACAAAAACGTAGCAAGCCCATCGGTAGAAAGCAGATATTCATGTTTACCAAAAACAAATATAGTTACAAGAAAAAAAAACTAAATATTAACTTGGCCTCTAAATCAAAACTTCGAAAAAACAATAAACATCATAATTGCAGAAAGATCACTTTCCATGATCAAAACTTTACTCAACGGTGTATCAATAGTTGACGTTCGAGTGGATTGGTTGAAACTAAAAGGACTAGTCTTAAATTGTTTGTGCTAATTATTTTTAAAACCCATTCCCAACAAAATATGAATAAATCAATAGCTCCGGAATAACGGGCCAAAAGGTCACATCATTTGGGAAAGTGCAACCCTAAATCCATCCCGAGGCGCAGAATTTCACTCGCAAAATCACCAAGTTTAAGGCTTAAGGGCCAAAGCAAGACCAATCTTTGCACTCTTGTCAATGGCCCCCGTGTCCACCTCACCAACGAGGGAGAAACGGGTTTTTGGGGTCCAGTCATGCTGGATCAGAGCAGTTGCCCTGCCATAGTTGTTAACACGAGCTTTAACCAAGGTTAAGGGGTCAAGAGCATGCTGTGTGCCAATTGTGAGTTTATTTTCATTGCTTGAAAAACCATGAGAAAACTCCGCACCAACAGCAGTATTTGTCAGTGGACTTACTGTGTGATAATAGGAGGCGTAAAGGGTTTCACCTTTATCATTCCTACATTCATCAACCAAAAACACAAAAGTCACGGGAACAATTCAATTCGTATAAAAGTACTAGATTCTCTTAAAAATTGGAAGACATAAATAACTACGTACAGAGCGAGAGACGCAATCAGGTCGGAATGAGTGAAGTTCAGCCCTGCATTGTATTTGGTTAAGTTGCCAGATGCAGTATCAAATGAAAGATCAGCCCCAATAGAGACAACATTATTTCCAACTACACCAGAGAAGTTAATGATGGGTTTTGCTGTCAATCCAATGCTAGTGCTGATTCCAGCATTCTCATGCTGGTACTGGAGTTCCACCTTTTAAACACCCCAGAGAGAATGAATGTCATCATTGACGATAACTTCAGGTGTTATTATAGACAGAATAAGGCTACTACAAGAAAACCTATAACAATTTACAAGGTATGACACAGAAAATGCTTAGTACCTTGCCAGATTTCTGATCTGGAAAAATAAAGCTAAAAATTGTTTTGAGTCCAGGTGCAGGCTCATCCACAGTGATGGTAGTAAAGAGCTGAAAAGTATTCAATCAGAAATAAGAAATGTAGCATGAGCTATAACTGATCATCAGATATTGCATAAGAGTTGTGCATACAATAGTCAATTCAATCATAAGGGATGCTTAGATTCCTAATACCAATATTATGGGATAGAATTGTCTAAAAGAAACAGCTTCCACAGAAAACAATAATTCTCAACATAACAAATTTGCTAACATTAAAATAATTCATATTGGATTATTCAGTTATATATCACAGGAGAGAAAGCAGACAACAACCTAGTTTCCTGTTTAATTAACTAATTAAGTACATTAGACACATTTAAAAAGAAACTGTTAGGGTTAATGTTGCAATAATAGGACATTAATTAACAGCTCTCCACTTTGCAATTATTCTAAAAGTTAATTACAAGAACATGTAGTTTCAGGCTTAAGAAAATTAAAAAGAGCGGCCGAAAAAGTAGCTCCACGAAATGGCTCAAATATATTCTATTAACTTCATCCACAATTACTAAATATAGCGTTCATATACTAATATTTCAATTGCAAAATGGTCAGGGGATTTGAGGGGTCAGTGTCATCAAAAGTTATCTAGCACATTTAGATATATTGGAGATATAGAACTTCTTGAGTTATTATTTGTACAAAAATTATCATAGCAATATATTTCGACTCACATTTGAGTAAGTGTCCACTTTTACATCAGTTGTGATGTTCTTGTTCTTCAGCTTAGTGGAAACGTCTGCCAAATATACCTCGCCTTTCTTGAAACCAGTTGAAGTGATTTCCTGCAAACGGGAACCAATTCAAACTACAAGAATACCGAAAAATCTCATATTTTATATTAGAACAGTGAACCCAGAATTCATATTAACTATCTAGACAGCAACTATTAGTGAAACGAAAATCTTGAAGTAGCTTCTAGAATCATTTTCAAATGCACAGCCATTATTGCATATAATTAACTACAGACTTAGAGTTTACTGAGAATAATACTTCAAACATAATCAAATATCTCAACATATCAGTCAGCAGACTTCCAAGCCCAACATTTACAATGCTCTTTCAAATAATTTTTGCATTATTTTGAGAAAAATAGAACAAGAACCAAATCCAATCACATTAGGTTGTGCTACTCCAATTTTCTCCACGATTTATTATATTCCTCGTTTCTTGAACGCCAAACGTGCAACCAAACATAAAAACTGAACGAAAATCACAAACAAAATTTTCTCAATCCAACAGAATAACATTTCTATCACCAATTTTCAACGGAAATTCTACCTCAAAAGCAACGATTCATGTTGAAATAAGAAGGAAAAAAAGAAAGAAAGAAGGGCCAGAACTACTCACCGCTCCAGTGGAAGTGTAAGTGGTGATGGTGAATTTGTGGTCGTTCTGGTAATCCTTGTACAGAAGATCTGAATTGCGATAAATGTATAAAAATAATACAGAAGTTAAAAGAAAAATTGAATGAGGTGAATGATGAAAATGCGAGAAAATTCAAAAAATGAAATGAAATAAAATAAAATAAAATAAAATGGATAACCTCGAGCTTTCTTGCCGATTTCGGAGTAGAGACCTGGACCTTTCACCATGACTTCCCCGAGAAAACTGAATCGGAAAATGCAAGAAAATATATAAACACGAGAAGAGCTGAATTAGGGAAAATCTGTGAAGGTGTTGAGAGCACAGTCACAGTGGGTGAGGTTGAATGAGAGAAAAGTCCTGATATTTGGACTCTTGCAACCGTTGGATCTTTGATTGGATCGAAAGTTGCTTTCGTGGCCGTTGATTTACGACACGAGGAAGGAGAAACGCTAAGAGGACTGGGGCATATTCGCCCCTTTCCGATTCTGTATCAACTCTGTTTTTTTTGTTTTTTTTTTTGTTAAGATCAACTCTATTTTTTTGTTGTTGTATGTATCAATTCTATTTTTGAATATTATTGTTTGGGGCATGTATAATGTAAAATTAATGGATCATTTTAACCCTGGTTTGACTTTAACCTCAATTTTAAATTATATATTAATATGTCCCAGTTTGATATTTATTCGAATAAGTCATTTATTCAAGTAAAAAATTTCCTTATTCGAGGAAATATCACACAAATGGGACACATTTTAAAAGTCATATTCATTCGAGTAAGAGTCATATAAGAGGCTCGATTCTCTCTTCTTCTCCAACCAAGTTTTGAAATTGCTTTCCCAACCGATTGAAAAGCTCCAAATCATTTGATTCACTTAACCACATCCCCAATCTATAAGTTTTACATTTTTGGATGGGTTTTTGTGGAAAGAATTTAATTTTCAACTCTAATATATTCCTTTCAGATTTGACTCAAGTTGATTCATTTTTGTAGCTTTCCATCATGATTGGTAGTATCTGGTGACTGATTTGATTATTGCTTTCCCATGGCTAATTAATAGATGCTCACATAAGCGACTGTATGATTCATCCTCTAGATCAGTTAATCTCAACAATGTAGACATGTCATACAATTATTTGTTTTAAAATAGTAGGTGCCAGACAAGTCATTTTATCTCCAATTGTCTTCCCTAGGCCATAGTACGTATAGTCGAAATATTTGGATTCAACATTTTTATTGAGCGAGGGAGGGGGGAGGAGGTTCAATATTGCATCTGTTCTTGACCTCACATACTTGAGAATGCTTGCGAAGATATTTTATCCGTATTTAGAGATGATGGTGAAGGATTTTTACAAAAATTTAAGCTACTTTAATGGAGACCTCACATCCCACGATATGTGACATTGATATTGTCATGACTTTTGATATTTGAACTGCTTTGCTTGATTATGATTTTGATGCCATTAGGGATGTTGTTCCTTGTGATGTGGAGAATCGACTACCACTGATGGTTATTGGCATGCTAATATTGTGCTTGAATCAAAGATGTGCGATGTGAAACTTGCTTAGTATACACAATTTGGTGTTGGGTTGCTGACTATGGATGCCAGGATATTATTTTATATTATGACTCATTTTTTTCCTGTAACCTCATAATAATGGAAAGATGATAATGAGTGACTTAATTGCCATATGGGTCGTCCTTAATGAAGTATAGGTCAATTGGAGGCACTATATTGGTTGCCTTACATGACGTACTGCTAGGAAGGTGCGCTTCCATATGCCATGCTTATTCAAAGAATTAATCCCAGGGCTTTTACAGGTACCCATGTATGGTGATACTTTCAAGACTGATAGAGGCTGAAACTAAAGGTTCTCGAGATACCTGCTCAAGCAACGTGGAATTACTAAGGTAGGGAATGCATGGCATTGGAAGTATCATCTTGAGCCTGGAGTCAATTTATGGATGATGCGGATGCGAATACGAGGGAGGTTGGTATGGGGAAGGAGATCCCTATATCTGATGTGGGTATGACGAGTCTCTAATTTACTATGTATTAAGGGTCAATATGAGCATGAAATTGATTTAAAAGTAATTAAAAGTTATAAGAATTATAATTAAATTATTATTTTATTTTCAATATTATTCTCGTAAGATTTCTTATATTTTACAGTAAATTTCAGCTCAATAAAGAGATAAATTGAAGATATTAATTAGAGCTGATTTGAATTTCTGAATTATTGAAGATTTGTCAAATCTTTGAATATTTATTTCTATGATATAAGTTAAAGAATATGCAACAACGTGAGATGATTTTTACCCTTATATAATATATAACTAAATCACTGTTCGGGCGATTCTTGAATTGTAATTCAAAGCCATAACTATGTTGGCGCTTCATAAATTATGCACAAAAGTAAAAGCAAAAAGGAGAGTGGGAATGAGAGGAGAGTGATTCAAAAGATGCCTCTATGCTAGAGGAGAATGTGAAGGAAAGGGAACGATGTACGAATAATGCATGAAAGGAACAAAATGGACACAGACGGACGCGTGTTGTAGAGGCCGTCAAATGATGATTAAGGTCCATGGAGAATTGATGGTGGCTATGAATGTAAGCACTAAGCACGCCTCATTTTCTTTCTCTGTTTAATCACACATTTTAACAATTTTTCCATCCTCTCTTGATTCACACGTGGTGCCGCTAGCATAAATCCCATACACTATTTTGGTTCCTGCCAATACGTAAAGTGATAGTATGATGCATTAGTCTGAAAAACATTGAAACAAACATGGTGTTTCTTAAAGTCATACTTGAGAAACATAGATATCCGCTGAAAAGTCTCTCAACCAAGATGTGGTGATGTTCATATTCATTGGTTTCATCTTCGAGTTACGGGCAGCTGATTATATTTAATGTAATTTTAAATATCTATTATGAAACTAATATTTAATAAATATTTAACATATTATCCAGATATATCATAACAATTCTTAATTGCCGTTTTATGCTAGCTTCGCCTGGTCTTTTTCGCTGGACTCAACTAAGGCCTAGCTATTATGCTCCGTTAAATATATATTTTTTTTGTATAAATGAGTAATTTCACCATGCTAACCATTATTGAAACCATTTTTTCACAAAACTTTCTTTTCATATTCGATATAATTTTTATTTTAATTTTCTAAAAAATTGTCTTAATGTTGTGTCATGGAAATATTATTTTCAGAAATTTTTTTAGTTTCTCCACCTATTAATTAATTATTTCTTCAAGGGCTATAAAACTCTTCATTTTTTACAGAGCTCATAACAGTGTTTAAAAACTCGGTTCGGTCATCAACTCAACGAAGATCCGGGGTTATTGGTTCAATTAGAAGGTCACAGTCTCACACAGACACTTCACTGACCTGATTTTATATATTAAAAAATATAAATATATATCTTATATGAAAAATTAAAAAAAAATCAAACAACAATCATAAAAAATATATTTAATATAATTCAACCAATTACATTCACAAATCAATATTACACAAGCTAATCAAAGTATCAAACTATCAAAGTATAAAACACATGTTCTAATGCATTTAATGAAAAAACACATAATGCAGTTAATGAAAAGTTATATCATCAAACTCAGGCCCTTATTGTCCTTCTCACACACCTCCAACATGTAAAAGGAGATCTCCTTACCCTAGAGAGAGTGGCTAAGGAGAGGTGGCGGCTCGACGAATCAACGATAGAAAGAGAAGAATCATCACGACTGAAGAGAAGGAGAGAGAAGACCGAATATGATAGAGGAACCACCAGCTGGCGAAGGAGATCACCACATCAAGTAGATTGGGTCCACAAGAGCAGAATAAGAACAATTCAAATTTCAGATCTAGTTCTAAATTTAGATAGTAACGAGTTTTTTGTTTACACATCAAACTACGTCTTTTGGTGTGAATATATTTTTTTTTAAATGCAATGACCCGGAGTCACTAAGTGTTTTCGAGGGTCAATATGCATGTGTAGTCTAACTGATCCCAACTAGAAAGGATCAGTGACAAGTGACAGGTGGTTCGACTCTAAGATGTTTGTCATTTGTCATTTTAAAAGATATAAAATTATGTAATTTTAATCAAAATTACAGAGAAGATTTACACCATAGAAATTATGCGAAAAAATGAGAAGTTTTTTTTTTAAATTTAAATATTAAATAAATAATAATTTGAATAAAATATTTGGTCCGTTCCTTATAAGTTAGTTGTTTTGAGCAAAGAGCCATGGCAAAGTTGGTGGTACCATCTCCTTTACCTTCCTTCTTCTTCATTGCCTGCAAAGCAAAACGATCATGTCGACCATTGCCTTAGAGCCACTCTTCCACCTTCCCCGCAGAGAAACTCCAATTCACCGTTCCAAACCAAACAAATTCAAACCCTTCTTTCTCACTTGCTCTTCTAACCCCACCTTCCGCCAACCCCATCACACGCCTCTCTCTCCTGCACTTGCAGCTTCCGTTACAGAAACACCTAACCTCCACTCCCTTCAATGCTCTCACACCTTCTTCACCAAGACTTTCCCAATCAACCAAACCCAAACGGTCTCAAACTTTCCCTTCCCATTTATATATATATATGCCTGTCATTCCTGTCTGTATGTCCTGTTTTGTTTCATAAGAAAGTGTTGGGAAACACCCAAAAGGGAAAATTTTTGATTTTTGTATTCTCAGGAAAACGTTTGGTTTCAGAGGAAACAGAGAGAAGAAGTTGATGGGTATCAGAGTTTTTTTTTTATTTTTTTGTATTTTTTTTCCAAAAATGAAAAAGTCGGAACTTTTGAGTCAGCTCAATCAATTTTGTTATTATATGTTTTACTTTTGGATGGGGAGAGGTTATGAAGTTTTCTGAGGAATCAAACGGAATAGTAATGGTAACAATCATGTTTTTTGTAAACACTTTTTAAAACGAAATAAACGGTGCATGATGAAAGAGAAAAAAAGCTGCTTTTTTTGTTTTGTTTTGTTTTTATTTGTTTTCTTTTATGTAACTAAACATATGTTTGTGTTTGGCATTGATGGATTGTTTTGTGTTGATTGGAACGGTCTATTTTAGGTGGAGGGAAAGATTATTGTGATAATAGATCGCGAGAAGGATTTGAAGGATTGGGTGCTTCGGGTGGGTTGCAATCTACCTGGAAAATGGATTCTTCATTGGGGAGTTACCCATGTTGATGATGTTGGAAGGTACATCATGTTGAACAAAATGTTTGAATTTTCTCTCTTTCTGATTTTGAGGTACCTTGTTATTGTACTTTAATTGATAGTAGAGTAAGAGCCAAATCTTAATGTTAAACATCCAATAATGACGATGTAAACTTGATTCTGTAGGGAATGGGATCAACCTCCTCGTGATATGATACCCCCTGGATCTGTTCCTATAAAGGTAGACAATGGCTTCATGACTTCTCATGGATCATGATCACATATGGCCCGTGTTCATGCAGAAAAGTTTAAGTTGGAAGTAAAATTTTCAGGACTATGCAATACAGACACCCTTGAAGAAGTCATCGTTATCGGCTGAAGGAGATACGTTTCATGAAGTCAGGATTGATCTTAAGCCCAACAATGAAATTTCAGCAATTAATTTTGTTCTCAAGGTTCATTTTTAACCATTAGCAATTGAGAGTGCTAGTTCTTAGTGTTTGTTTATGAGTACCTTCTGACTCAATATTGTTTTTGCCTTTTATCATTTCTCTCTGCTTCTCATTTTGGGTGTTCCTGTTGTTGATTAAGGATGAGGAAACCGGAGCTTGGTATCATCACAAAGGAAGAGATTTCAAGGTTCCTTTGGTCAACTACCTTAAGACGGATACTAATATAACTGTATCTAAAAGAGGCTTTAATTTATGGCCAGGTTTTTCAAATCATTACACATTCTGATTTATTTGCTTCTATAAAAAAGTCTATCCTGTCTCTTTTCTTAATGCACTAAGAGTGTCAAATAAATCATAATCCTGTGATACACAGCCTATAATTTGTGGTACTATTTCCTCAATCATAGGGAATTTGTGGCAGATATCTAACATGCTCCTCAAGTCAAAAGCAGGTCAAGATGACAGCAGTGAATCCAGAGGTCCAAAACAAAAGAATAGTCAACTAGAAGGTTTCTATGCAGAAATGCCAATTACAAAGAAGGTTTCAATCAATAACTCTATCAATGTCTCTGTTAAGAAATGCTTTGAGTCTGAGGCAGTTAAGAATCTTTTATATTTTGAAACCGATCTACCTGGAGATGTCATCCTTCACTGGGGAGTTTGCAGGGATAATTCAAGAAAGTGGGAAGTTCCACCTGCTCCTCATCCACCTGAAACAGGAGCATTTAAAGACAGAGCTTTGAGAACTCAATTACAGGTATAGTATTGTAGTTAAATGCCTTTCTTTGTTTTTTATGATATATTCACTTATTCATACGGTTTTGTAGCCAAGAGACAGTGTAAAAGGATCTTCAGCACTAATCACTATAGGAGAAGAATATTCAGGATTTCTTTTTGCTCTTAAGCAAAATGAAACTACTTGGTTCAAGTACATGGGAAGTGACTTTTATATCCCCCTTTCAAGTTCTAGTAGTTTACATAGTGGAAAGAGAGAGGATAAGTCAAAAGGGAGTGAAGTGACTGAAATTGCAAGTCAAGAGACTTCTTTCTCTTCATTTAACGGTGGAATAATCAATGAAATAAGGAATTTGGTGATGGACATTTATTCTAAGAATAGTCCAAAGACAATATCCAAAAAAGCACAAGAAAGCATTCTTCAAGAAATTGAAAGACTGGCTGCCGAGGCCTTTAATATCTTCAGAAGCTCCATTCCAACTTTCTCCGAGGCAACTACTGTGGCACCCGAGGCAACTACTGTAGAACCTGAGGCTGCTATGGAATCAGGGATACTGACTCTGGATCCAGAAATACGCTCAGCGACTGGCACAGGATACGAAATACTATGCCAAGGGTTTAACTGGGAATCTCATAAATCTGGAAGATGGTATATGGAGCTTAAAGAGAAAGCTTCAGAATTAGCATCACTTGGTTTCACTATGGTTTGGTTACCACCACCTACAGAGTCTGTTTCACCTGAAGGATACATGCCAAAGGATTTATATAATTTAAATTCCAGGTACTAGATTAAAAATAGTCTAATTATTTTGTAGTTGTTGATGTCAATCTTCTCTCAATATTTTGATATAAGGCCCAATATTATGCAAATTGCTCACATTAAAAAGCATATACCATATGCTGGACTTTCAAAATAATATCATCCCTCATTAACTTGAGCAGCATTGCAGCTTACTCTCATCTGCTGATTTATATAATACATGTGAATATATATATAATATGTATATCACAGGATAGACTATCGTAACATCATCATGAAAAGGAACTTGTGCATTTGAATTGTTAAATATAATTTTTTTTTTAAATAAATATCAGATATGGCAACATTGATGAACTGAAGGATTTGGTGAAAAGTCTTCATGAAGTTGGGATCAAAGCCCTAGGAGATGCTGTTTTAAATCATCGCTGTGCTCATTATCAGAATCAAAATGGTATTTGGAACATATTTGGAGGCCGTCTCAACTGGGATGATCATGCAGTTGTTGCTGATGATCCACATTTTCAGGTTTGTTTGTATAGGTTTTGGATGTCTGGTTTCACAATATTGATAATAATCCTAAAACAGAACAACGTAGATAAAAGGTTATTAACTTTCTCTATAACATAGCTAGTTTCTTTTTACGGTTCAAGATTAATGACCTTCCATTATGTTTCCTTGTTAGTTTGAGTTATATTTCTGGATAAATCTAGAAAACATAATGGATATCCTTCCTAACATACAGGGTAGGGGCAACAAGAGTAGTGGAGATAATTTTCATGCTGCTCCAAATATTGATCATTCACAGGAATTTGTGAGAAAGGATCTCAAAGAATGGTTATGCTGGTTGAGGTTGATATTTCAGACCCAAATTTTCTTTAGGTTACTACTAACAAAAAATGTTTTGTCAGAAGAAGATCCAATTAATTTGTGAGTAGATCATAGATTCTAATCATGTTGTATTAGGAGTCATGGTTTTGTTGCTATGATTGTTATGCTGGAGAGCCAAGACATTCTGGTATAGAGAATGAGTTTTAAACCGTCTTTTAGATTTTTGTAAAATTTCATGTTAGAAGTTTTATTCTTCAGATTTAATTCTTGATGTTAGTTGTAGATGTCATAGCAACTATCACAATGTGGCTTAATTAGTTACACAATTTTCTAGTTTCATGTAAAGATTTTATATGTATGCATTGACTTCATTGATATAAGAGGAGTATTTCAACTTCTTTCATGAAAGGATGCTAGAACATGCTCGAGATATAGCAGATTAAGTGCTAAGTTGGTTTCTTATCAGCACCCATTGGAGGGTGTCTTCCTCTGTCTCAGACATCTCATGGTAATATGGAATGCCAGTCCTTAGTTTGTGTTCCAGCCATAGCATCATGCTTATAAGTATCCTAGTTTTTTGAGTCTGATCCAATTCTTTGCTTCCAGGAGAATGAGCAATTTTCCTTAAAAGCTCCTTAGCTGTAGGGTTCAGCTGACCTGTTCAGAAGATATCTGACGAAACTAAGTGTTTTGTGCTAGACATATTTTCTGTGAAAGACACTCATTTATACAAAACCCTTGTTGCAATCCCTAGTTTTCAGCATCTAGAATGTTTTATTTTTCCTCCTTAATCTTAGGAGTTTGTTTCGTTATTTGTTATTTAAATTCCTAGGATTAGTTTGTTTCTGATATTTTTCCTGTTTAGTTAAAATAGGATTCAGTTTTCTAGTTTTATCTCTTTCCCTGATTATAGGGATTTGTTGCACTGGAATATTTCTGGTGTCTATTTATTGTACGTTTTTTTTCTTTTAGTTTTAATGGAAAAACTGGTTCCATCATTCAAACTTTCTATATGGTATCAGAGCTTGATTTTTAAGGGACTGATCCACCCATGGCTACCAATGTGCCACTCTTTGGCACCATGAGAGCCTACCAAACTACTTCTTCCAATACCACCGGTACAAATACCACTCCAACAACAACCCCACTCAATGTTTCAGCATCAAACCAAACCAACAACAACTCAGCAGCTGTCATTACCAACGATAGTCCAGCATTAGTCATCACTGGTCATCGATTCAATGGAGACAATTATTTGTTGTGGTCACGCAGCGTTCGTATGTTCATTGGAGGCCGTGGCAAGGGAGATCATCTCACCGGTACGGGTGATGCTGCTCCTCTGGAAACCAGTCATCCACAATACAAGAAGTGGTCCATTGAAAATAACCTTGTGATGTCTTGGTTGCTGAATTCCATGGTGCCTGAAATAGCTGAAACATACATGTTGTGCTCCACAGCCAAGGAAATTTGGGATGGCGTGAAGGAAGCCTTCTCTAAGGAAGATAACACAGCTGCCTTGTTTCACATCAAGGGGATTCTTCGTGATCTCAAACAGGAGGACAAGGATGTCACCAGCTATTATAATTCACTCCTAAAATTCTGGCAACAATTGGATCTTTATGATCAACATGAATGGACTACTCCAGCCGATACTCTTCAGTATAAGAAAATTGTTGAACAAGACCGCACCTACAACCTTCTTTTGGGACTCAATCCAATCTATGATGGAGCTCGCAGCCGCATCATGGCCACTCGCCCTCTGCCATCCTTGCGAGAAGTTTTTTCTGAATTAAAGTGGGAAGAAAGCCGCAAAGTTTTGACCAATAGCATCCCAAAAGTTGATGCACCTTTGGAAGCAGCAGCCTTTGTCTCTAGACCCAACAATGCAGACTCCAGACCTAGGCGAAATGGTAAGCTCTGGTGTGACCATTGCAACAGAACTGGGCATATTCGGGATACATGCTGGAAAATCCATGGCAAGCCAGCTGATTGGAAGCCAAGACAAAACAGAGACTTTAATCATGTTGCTGCAGTTGTAGAAGATGTTCCGCAAGCAAAATCCGAAGGCCATACATTTACAAGGGAACAAGTGATAGCCATACAACGCATGCTGCAAGATTGCAATAAGGACAAATCTAATCCCTCATCTGATAGTCATCAATCAGGTACATTCCATACAGCTCTCCAATCCGATCTTGATAAATGTGATTCCTGGATGGTAGATTCTGGGGCTACAGATCATATGACTGGTAATTCCTCTCTTCTTTCTGAATACTTTCCCATTTTCAAGGCAAAATCAGTAAAAACAGCAAATGGAGGCTTAGCCAAGGTTCACGGAATTGGTGTTGTTCACCTATCGTCAACCATATCTTTAACTGGAGTTCTCTACGTTCCATCTCTTACCTGCAATTTAATTTCTATTACCAAATTGACCAAGGATTTAAAGTGCACAGTCAAATTTACCCACGTTGATTGTATTTTTCAGGATTTGGCATCGGGGAGGACGATTGGCAGTGCTAGGGTCTCTAATGGTTTATATCAACTTTACACAGCCGCGGTTATGAAGACTCAAGACAGCACATTTGCAGCAACTAGCAATTTGAATAAGGCTCTTTTATGGCATTTTAGATTAGGGCATCCAAACTTTCAATATATGAAAAAGATGTACCCTTCTTTATTTAATGAGAATTCGAATTTTCCTTCATGTGATATATGTCAACTTGCAAAACAAACTCGGTCTCATTATCCCTTACAAATGCATGTTCCTTCTAAACCATTTGCCATTATCCACAGTGATGTGTGGGGACCTGCAACTGTTAAAAGCCTTACGGGTGCTCGTTGGTTTGTCACATTTATTGATGATCATACTCGAATGACATGGGTGTACCTATTAGCCAATAAATCTGAAGTCACATCCACCTTTAAAGTCTTTCACAAAATGATCCTTGCCCAATTTCAAACCCAAATCCTTACCCTTAGATCTGACAATGCACGTGATTATTTTAACTTGGACCTTTCAGCTTACCTAAAAGACCATGGCATCATCCACCAGAGCTCTTGTGTCAATACCCCACAACAAAACGGTGTATCTGAGAGAAAAAATCGCCATTTACTTGAAGTTGCTCGTAGCCTACTCTTTGCCTCAAATACATCCAAAAATTATTAGGGGGAAGCTATTCTTACAGCCACTTACCTTATCAACCGCATGCCATCTCGGGTATTACACTTCTCCTCACCTTACCAAACACTCCTCACTGCATTCCCTTCATTGACCTTAACCCCAAATCTCCCACCAAAAATTTTTGGTTGCACCGTGTTCATTCATAACTCTCAAGGTGGTAAATTGGATCCTCGGGCTCTTAAGGGCATCTTTCTTGGCTATTCCCCTACTCAGAAGGGGTATAAATGCTTCAGTCCAGCCACACATCGATTCTACATTACTAAAGATGTCACCTTTTTTGAACATCAGCCTTATTTTTCCCAAACCGCCATTCAGGGGGAGATCCCTAATTCCAAGGAATGGTTGTTTGTGACTAATACTCCAGAAAACTCTGCTTCAACAACCCCTACACCGATCTTAGGTGAATCTCAGGAAAATGACACTTCATCTAATGGCTTATCCTCTTCCGGCCCGCTCCAGAAACCGCCTGAACAGCAGCCCCTGCAAGTCTACACGCGACGGCCCAAATACAGAACAGCTTCTGAGATGCTTGAACATGTTGACAAACAGATTACCTTGGCTCCTGGTCCAACTGAAGAAACCATTAGTCCTGCACTTGACCAAACTGAATCCTTGCTGCCAAGTTCTGATGATGCTCTGCACATGCCAATTGCACTTCGTAAGGGGGTAAGGACATGTACAAGTCATTCCATCTGTAATTTTATATCCTATGCCAATCTTTCCTCCAGGATGCAGCATCTAGTCAAGAACATTGACAAGGAAACCATTTCTACATCCTACTTTGAGGCATCTAAGACTACTGAATGGTGTTCTGCTATCCAGGATGAATTGCATGCACTCAAAAAAAATGGCACTTGGGAGATAGTTACCTTACCACAAGGAAAATCAGTGGTTGGCTGTAAGTGGATTTTTACCATCAAATATAATGAAGATGGGAGTATTAATCGCCATAAAGCAAGACTTGTGGCCAAAGGATTCACTCAGACACAGGGCATTGATTACCAGGAAACCTTTGCTCCAGTAGCAAAATTTAATTCAATTAAAATTCTTTTGTCCATTGCTGCTTGCCTAGATTGGCCCCTTTGGCAAATGGATGTGAAGAATGCATCCTTAAATGGTGACTTAGAAGAAGAGGTTTACATGGAAATTCCCCAAGGAGTGGAAGATGGTCAAGGATCTCGAAAGGTATGTAGATTATTAAAATCCCTTTATGGTTTGAAGCAATCTCCAAGGGCTTGGTTTGATAAGTTTACTGCAGTTGTCAAAAATCAAGGGTACTCCCAATGTCAAACTGATCATACTATGTTTGTTAAAACTGCACCTCATCAGAAAATTACAATATTAATTGTCTATGTTGATGATATTGTGATTACTGGTAATTGGGAGGATGAGATAAAGCAATTAAAGGAGACGTTAGCTCACAAATTTGAGGTCAAGGACCTTGGAAAATTACGATATTTTCTTGGAATGGAAGTGGCAAGAACTAAGGAAGGAATTTCAGTTTCTCAAAGAAAATATACTCTTGATCTGCTGAATGAAACAGGGATGTTGGGATGTAAACCTTCTGATACACCAATGGAGGCGAACTACAAGATAGGACTCAAACAAGAATGTGCTTCGGTAGACACTGAGAGATATCAAAGACTAGTTGGAAAACTCATTTATTTAGCCCACACTAGGCCTGATATTAGTTTCCCTGTGAGTGTGGTCAGTCAATTTATGAACAGCCCAAATGAAGAGCACTTGGAAGCCGTCTACAGAATCCTACGATACTTAAAGATGACTCCTGGTAAAGGATTGTTCTTCAAGAAAAATTCCAGCCGTGATATTGTGATTTACACGGACGCTGATTGGGCAGGATCCATTATCGATCGAAGATCAACCACAGGCTATTGCTCATATGTGTGGGGAAATTTGGTCACTTGGAGGAGTAAAAAACAGTCTGTGGTAGCCAGAAGCAGTGCTGAAGCCGAATACAGGGCATTGTCCTTAGGCACTTGTGAGGGAATGTGGATTTTAAGAGTCCTAAAGGAGCTACACCTCGAATACAAGGATCCTATGAAGATTTTCTGTGATAACATGGCCACCATTGGAATTGTCAATAATCCAATCCATCATGACCGTACCAAGCATGTTGAACTTGATAGAAATTTCATCAAGGAAAAAATTGATGCAAATATTATTGATCTAAGTCACATTTCCACAGGGTCCCAGATTGCTGATATCTTAACCAAGTCTTTATCAAGAATTAAATTTGAAGGACTAATTTCCAAGCTGGGAATGCTGGACATCTACCACCCAGCTTGAGGGGGAGTGTTGCAATCCCTAGTTTTCAGCATCTAGAATGTTTTATTTTTCCTCCTTAATCTTAGGAGTTTGTTTCGTTATTTGTTATTTAAATTCCTAGGATTAGTTTGTTTCTGATATTTTTCCTGTTTAGTTAAAATAGGATTCAGTTTTCTAGTTTTATCTCTTTCCCTGATTATAGGGATTTGTTGCACTGGAATATTTCTGGTGTCTATTTATTGTACGTTTTTTTTCTTTTAGTTTTAATGGAAAAACTGGTTCCATCATTCAAACTTTCTATAACCCTTGTAACTGGTAACTGGTAACTGGTATGCTAGGGGGAGGGGTGAAGTGTATTATCCAATGTTTCTTTTAAGGAAGCTAAGGCGAGCATTAAGATACAGATGCTTCGAAGGAGGCTCTTTCTTATACATACCAAATGATCTGTGATCACTTTTACCTTGTTGCCTATTAGCCCCAGGCAATTCTTTTCTTGTATCCTAATTAGTTTCATACAATGTTTCTGTGACTTATTTTCAGAATTTATTTTTTGTCTGCTGTGATAGAGTGTTACAGAATTATATATTTTTCTAATATTGTGACTGTGATCTTCAGGAAAGAAATTGGGTATGATGGATGGAGGCTTGACTTTGTCAGAGGATTTTGGGGTGGTTATGTAAAGGATTACCTGGATGCAAGTGAACCTTACTTTACCGTGGGAGAGTACTGGGATTCCCTCAGTTATACATATGGTGTAATGGATTATAATCAAGATGCTCATAGGCAGAGAATTATTGACTGGATCAGTGCCACTAATGGTACTGCTGGTGCATTTGATGTTACGACAAAAGGGATTCTTCACTCTGTAAGTACTAACTCTGGTACATTTTTTCATATCATTTGTTAAATTTACATATTCTATGTACTTCTTACAAAGTAAATTATGTTTTGAAATTATTACTAGTTTCATTTATTTGATCTCATACTCATTGGTGATTAGCTGCTTGCTGCCATGCTTAGGATTTTCAAGGTTGTTCAGATAAGTGAGAATCATATTGCGGCTTAATTATATGGAGTAATTACCAAATAGAAAGAATTGACATAAACTTTTCATAAGGCGCTCTTTTGCTGATAACTCTTCCCTTGTCATGACATCATATATCTTCTTGCTATTTCAGAAATAAATGCAACTGTACTGTGATGTAAACAACCTTACCTTAGCCTCTTAAATAGTTTGTTTTCCAAAACATGGACCTCTTGTAAAGAAATACTAATATGCATGCTGTTAACATGGTTGCTTTTCCAGGTTGTATGTTTATTCTTTAATCTTGAAATGTTAAATTCTTTCTCAATATAGGTATTGGAAAGATGTGAATATTGGCGATTGTCAGATCAAAAGGGAAAACCCCCTGGTGTTGTTGGCTGGTGGCCATCTCGTGCTGTTACCTTTATAGAGAATCATGATACTGGTTCGACCCAGGTATTAACTTCCTCTTTCTAAAAATATCATGATACAGCTTGACATTTTTTCTAGATTTAATCTCAAAGAAAGAAATTATACTCAAATGATTTCATGTAGAGAAGGGTTGTTAACTTTGCTTAACCTAGTAAGATGAATGATGCCACTAGCATAATTAGATATTTTCAAATTAGTCATTTTCCTGGAGTTTTTTCAGATTGTTTATTTACATTTATATATCTACTTGTAAGTCTGTAGTTGACTAGTTGTGTAACTATAAACTTTTGGAATATTTTTCACAGAAAAATATTGGTTGATAAATGATAGTAATGCCGAAGCAGTAACCAATTGGCTAAACAGAAAGAAGAACAAATACAAGGATGGTGAGAAAATACTATTTCTCTTTTCTTAATTTTATTTAACCAAAAACAACCTCCTAACAATAGGGTTCTCTAAGCCTTAAATAGGCAAAAATAAAATAACAAAAAAAGTAAATAACTATAATCATGCGCAATCAAAGAAGATAACGCACAATCAACTCACACTCAAACATAATCTAAAATAACAAAAAGGAAATAACTAGCAATTATTATAATTCCCTAAATAAAGAAATAAATAACCTGGTGCTCTGATACCAAATGATGCCGAAAGCACATAGAAAAGTGGCTAAACAGAAAGTTGGGATTTTCTCAAAAGAATAACCCTCAAGTTCTCAATTTCTAATTCTCAAATATCAAAATTCAACTCCTAGAATAAGGGTCATAAGCACCCTTTTATAGACTAATTACAAATTGATTCAAAATTCCAAAAATAATAAAACTTCCTAAAATAAATATGATAGTAATTAACATCTAAAAATAAATAAAAAATTACAAATAGATAATTCAAAATACATCCCAAATCTTTAATTTCAAATCACGTCAAATATGTTGCTTTCTTTTTCTTCCTAAACTAATCACAATCACATATGCTGCTTTGTTGGGACTTGGATTCGATTGTAATTTGTTATATTTCAAATCATTGCCTCTTTCAACAATTGGGCCATACTTATTAGGCCACAATTCTAGTTGACTACGAGTTTCTTGAATCAATGATTGGGCCATGTACAATGGACCAACTATAAGTGCATCAGATAGGATTGAAGTTTTATTTATCATGATATGGTATTATAAGTGAACACCACTTAACTGTTTCAGAGCTGTTATTAAGGTAAAGCAAAATTTTGAATTTCAACATAGAGAGAGCATATATAACTGAGAAAGCTGTCTGACATCCCTTTGTTCTGTAGGCGCCCTTCTCGTCTTGCAGGCATCCATTTTGTTATGCTTTTCGGATTCATTGAAGTATCAACTGTCATTTACATTAATCAAAATTTCTTTAATATTTTCTCTTGTAGGGTCATTGGAGATTTCCCGGTGGAAAAGAAATGCAAGGATATGCTTACATTCTTACTCACCCAGGAACCCCATCAGTGTTCTTTGACCACATTTCCTCTCGCTACAAAACTGAAATAGCCACTCTTATATCTCTGAGGAAGAGGAATAAGATCCACTGCAGTAGTACAGTAAGTATCTGAAGAAAAGAAGAAGTGGAAGAAGTGTTTTATCTGAATAATACTTTCTTGATTCATTGAGAGACCCAATGGGTCCTTTTTATATTGAGTATATCCAACTACCTCAACTACTTTAATAAATATACAACCACCAACTACATCAATAAATATACAACTACCAACTAAATATACAACTACCAACTAAATATACAACTACCAACTACATCAATAAATACTATCTAGAATATTCTACACTCCCCCTCAAGTTGGGAGATATATATTGATCATTCCCAACTTGCTGATCAAATTCTCAAAGGTCGGCTTAAGTAATCCTTTGGTGAGGATATCCGCCGTCTGTTCCTTGGTAGGTATATATGTCAAGCATACACTACCGTCTTCTAATTTCTCTTTGATAAAGTGACGATCAACTTCCACATGTTTTGTTCTGTCATGATGAACAGGATTTTGAGCAATGCTGACAGCAGCCTTATTATCACAATATAATCTGATAGGTAGGGAATAAGAGATCTTCAGCTCCTCCAGAAGCCTTCGTAACCAAATTCCTTCACAAATACCATGGGCTAGAGCCCGAAATTCTGCTTCTGCACTGCTTCTTGCAACAACAGTTTGTTTCTTACTTCTCCAGGTCACAAGGTTTCCCCAGACATAAGTACAATATCCTGAAGTAGATCTTCGGTCCATTGCAGAGCCAGCCCAGTCTGCATCTGTATAGATTTCAATCATCCTTTTGTGCCCTTTTTTAAAGAAAATTCCTTGACCAGGGGTATTTTTGAGGTATTTGAGAATTCTATAAACAGCACTAAGGTGTTTTTCCTTAGGAGAATGCATGAATTGGCTAACCATGCTCACAGCAAAAGCAATATCAGGACGAGTGTGAGACAAATAGATTAATTTTCCCACTAGTCTCTGGTACTGCTCCCTATCAACATCTTCCCCGTCCTCAACTCCCATCTTGATATTAGCTTCAATTGGAGTCTCTGCCGGCTTGCACCCAAGCATACCTGTTTCTTGAAACAAGGTCTAGAATGTATTTTTTCTGAGTTAAAGAAATTCCTTCCTTCCTCCGAGCAATTTCCATGCCAAGGAAATATTTGAGAGATCCAAGATCTTTTAGTTCAAACTGGTCAGCTAAACATTTTTTTAAAGAGGTTATCTCCTCGCTATCATTACCAGTGACAATTATGTCATCAACATAAACGATCAGAATAGCAATTCTTCCTTTGTCGGAGTGTTTAAAAAATAAAGTGTGATCAGTCTGAGCTTGGGTGAACCCTCTTCCCTTAACAACTTGAGTAAATTTCCCAAACCATTCTCTGGGAGATTGTTTAAGTCCATAGAGAGACTTCTGCAACTTGCACACAGAACCATCCCCCTTTTCAAAACCAGGAGGTGGATCCATGTAAACTTCCTCATGGAGATCACCATTCAAGAAGGCATTCTTAACATCTAACTGTTGCAATGGCCAATCAAGGTTGGCGGCAAGAGATAGCAGAACGCGGATAGTGTTAAGTTTGGCAACAGGAGCAAATGTCTTCTGATAATCTATCCCATGAGTCTGAGTAAATCCCTTAGCGAGGAGATATTCTTATGAACAAAAACCTTACGGAGAGAAGGTGAGTAACACTTATAACCTTTTTGATTAGGGGAATATCCTATGAAGACACATCTGATGGATTTAGGGTCAAGTTTGGACCTTTGATGTGGAGGAATATGCACAAAAACCACACAGCCAAATATTTTGGGAGGAAGAGAAGAAAGAGCACTGAAAGAGGGAAAAGATTTAGTAAGACAGGATAAAGGAGAATGAAAATTTAGTACCCGAGAAGGCATCCGATTAATGAGATAACAGGCTGTCAAGACGGCTTCCCCCCACAGATATTTAGGGACATGCATCGTGAATAAAAGAGCTCGAGCAACCTCAATTAGATGTCTATTTTTCCTTTCAGCCACCCCATTTTGTTGAGGGGTGTTAGGACAAGAACTTTGATGAATAATTTCATGCTGGTTTAGGTAATCTCCAAGAACTGAATTAAAATATTCAGCACCATTGTCTGTTCGCAGAATTTTGATAGAAGTCTGAAATTGAGTTTGAATCATAGCATGAAAGTTTTTAAAAGTGGATGCTGCCTCAGACTTATCTTTTAAGAGATATACCCAACATACCCTAGAATGATCATCAATGAAAGTAATAAACCAACGAGCACCCGAGACATTTTTTTCACGAGCAGGTCCCCAAACATCACTATGAATCAATGTAAAGGGAGAAGATTCATGATATTTCTTAGGAGAATAAGTGACATGAGAGTGCTTTGCAAGCTGACAAATATCACAAAGAAGGGAACTTGGCTTTTTATTGATAAATAAGTTCGGCAATAACTTCTGGAGATAAACAAAATTTGGGTGTCCCAACCTACGATGCCATAACAAAACATCATTACAATCATCTGATAAACATAGAGAGTGGTTCGAAAAAATCCTCTTTTCACAATGAACATCTGTAAAATAGTATAGCCCTTCTTCTTCTCTAGCACTGCCAATCATCATCCCCGAGTCCTGTTCTTGAAAGATACAAGCATTTGCAGAGAACTTAGCAACACAATGCAACTCAGCAGTAAGTTTGCTAATAGAGATGAGATTACAAGTAAGAGAGGGAACATGAAGTACCGAGTTCAAAATAATATGCTCAGAAAGTTTAATGGATCCCTTTCCCGCAATAGTGGAGAAATTCCCATCAGCTGTTCTTATTCGTGACGGGTGATAGTAAGGGGTATAGGAGAAAAATAAGGTTGCATTACCTGTCATGTGATCAGAGGCCCCTGAATCAAGGATCCAACGATTACTACGTTCAACATGGAATGCCATACCTTTTTGAGCAACATGACTAGTTGCCTCAGCAGGTTGAGACATCAATTTCTGAAAAGACGAATTTTCAAAATTTTCAACGTCCATGGTTTTCTAACAACAGGTACCCAGAAAAAAGTTCCTCCAAATACAATGAGAGCAATCTTGGCTACAGTGAAACTGTAATTGCTACAGTAATGAACAGTACTGCTACAGTAATCTGTGGGCTGGCTCAGAATCTTGTTCTGAACCTAATGGTGGTCTTGGTTTCGTGGTTGGAGGTGTCTAGGTAAGGATTCTGGCTTGGGCAGTGGCTAAAACGAAAAAAAAGGAATAGGAAAATGACTTAAAATTAAATCAGAACGAGGAAGAGACTAGAATATAACCAGCTCTTGATACCATGAAGAAAAGAAGAAGTGGAAGAAGTGTTTTATCTGAATAATACTTTATTGATTCATTGAGAGACCCAATGGGTCCTTTTTATATTGAGTACATCCAACTACCTCAACTACTTTAATAAATATACAACCACCAACTACATCAATAAATATACAACTACCAACTAAATATACAACTACCAACTACATCAATAAATACTATCTAGAATATTCTACATATTCTACAGTATCAGAATATTGTCCTGCATGCTAAATACTAGTATTGTGTACCCAATATTTTCTGGGGTGGACGAATAAGAAACTTTTTCCTTGCATGTCAAAGCAAATCAATTTTAGTTCTCGAATTAGGCTAAGAGAGTGAAACTTATATAACTCATGAATCATAATACAGGAAGCATGGCATTCCTTAGAATGTATCTATTATTTGGCTGCAGCTCTCTTTAGTGGTGGGAGTTAAAAAATGGGAGCATATAATTTTCATAATACCATATGCATGCGCATGTTTTCATGATTTTCTTAATAAAACTGAGAAGGAGTTCTTTAGATGGGCATTCAGTGGCAAATTGATATAATGTACAAACATTGATATTGTTGGATCACTAACCTTTTCTCTTTCATGCTTAAGATTCAAATTAGCAAGGCCGAAAGGGATGTTTATGCTGCCATCATCGATGAAAAAATTGCTATGAAGATCGGACCTGGACATTTTGAACCACCTAGTGGTTCCCAAAAGTGGTCCTTAGCAATTGAAGGAAGAGACTATAAGATTTGGGAAGCATCATAAGATAATTATTACTCATTAGTATATATCTTGTACATTTGTAGTCCCTTGTAAATTCTCCCCCTTGCAAATCTCCTTGCTACGCTAAATGCAAGCTCATCTGGAATGAGTTGTAGCATCCCTACTATATTTACAAAGCATGCTATTTTAAGATATGTAAATGATAGAAGGTGAAGGTTATATTTATAAATTTTTTGTTTACAAACTCTTATAAATTACATTATATATGATCGGTAATACACTCTTGAGTAGAGTATTACCGGTCAGACATAGTGTAATTTGTTAGTTTGTAAAAAAAAAAAATTGTAAACGAATCTTTTCATGTGATAGAATGTATTCATTAACCGGGATTCACGGTGAATATTTCTCATGAGGGCTTATGGACAAAGATGGCAACGTATTATTGTATAAAATAAATTCTGAATTCTAGTCACTCAATTTTCACCTGTTCATGCATATTATTTCTTGATTGCTAGAAGACAAGCACGACCTAATGATGTCAGATATCAGATTAAGTTAAGACAACCGCAATAGTCATAAGTATTTTCAACTGATCATATGCATGATAGAATCAGTGTACAGTAAAATTGGAAAAATATTGATTTAAAAATTTATAATTATTCTTGGTAGTTGCTAGAGACTTTTTTTTGTTTTCTTGGTCGATATATCATAAAGCTAATGTTACCTAGCTCGAGTTGCTAGCATCTGCTTATTGTTTTCATTTATACTTTACCTGTTTCATTAAACTATTCGGGATTTAAATATGTCAACGTGATATTTTTACGTGTTACGTTGCTATAATGAGAGGTATATAAAGACTTTGTATGAGATAAAATTTGTCAAAATAGGGGGTGTGGGGTCTCTTTCTTTGCATAATTAACTTAGTCGTATCATGTCACATTAAAAATTCAATAGAAAATATAATAATATAATGTTCTAGACATCCTCAAAACCAAAAGTATATATTTTTCTTTAATAATTTTTAAAAATTATTTTGAATATAAATGTCGCAAACTGATTTTCAGAGTAGAAGAACAATAAAACTTATTTAAATATAATTAGATTTAAAGTTATCAAGAAGTTGTATTTATTTATAAAATACTATTAATAAAGTTTTATAATTACAAAATTGATACTGTAAAATAATTTAAAATTCAGAAAAATATTTCTGCAGTTACTGCAGATAAGTTATCTGTATTTACTCCCAAAACGACGTCGTTTTGAGATTGAAAGATTAAAAAATTATAATTATAAAGACTATAATAATCCTCAAATAAATTAAAATTATAAAAATACTATGATTTTCACCCCAAAACGACGTCGTATTAGACTTATTGCAGATAACTTATCTGCAGTAACTGCAGAAAAAACGAACCCTTTAAAATTAAAAGAAATTATATTTATTTACAAAGATGCCATTAATAAATTATTATAATTACCAAATTGCCATTGCAAAAATAAAAAATATTATAAATGGATATTACTATATTTTATAGGAAATTAAATGTATTGTAATCTTAGGAGATGAAAAGACTAAAAGATAAAGAGTTCCTATTCTTCCTTCACCTTCATCTTTATATAGAGGTGGTACGGCTTGTATTCAGATACACTTGATGTCTTTTTTTATACAAATAAAAATTGAACGCATAACTTAATACAACCTACTCAAATCTCTCACCACTAGACTAATCATAGTGGCTTCAGATACACTTGATAATGCAATTTTTGATCTCTTTTCCCTTATTCTCTCTTATAATTTCTCTTTTTTTGTCTTATAATGAGTTGACTTCTTTTTTTCACAACATGTTATCAGCACGAATTGGTTAGAATTTTGGAAGTTGCTCAAGGTGACAAATTATGTTCTAAAATATTTTATTATTTTTAATTGTTGATTTTAACATGATAGCTTCTATTTAATTATGACATATATTGGCATGTTGTTATAACAGTTATTTATTTATTTAGCACGTCAAACATTACAAAGAAGGAGTTTACAATGTTAGATATTGCCGGAAGTAATTATCTAACACGGGCTTTTGATATCAGGATTCATCTAGCATCACTAGATGTCAATGAAGCCATTATTCATGAATCTAATTGTGCTTTTGCTCGGAAGGCCAAAGATTTGATCTTTATTTGTCACTATTTGCAAGAAGTTTTAAAGGCCGAGTATTTAACTGAAAGAGGACCCTGCAATTTTATAGCAACCCCTGAAGAATTGCTACGACCATCAACAAGATGTTGTCCTTCCCCAAGTTAGATTTGAATGGATTAATCTATGTTTTCATGATTTAAAATCCGTAAGGGAGTATAATTTTGCTATTCATCGAATTATGTCCCTAACGAGTCTACGTGACTAGAAGATTATAGAGACTCAAACGTTGGAAAAAAAATTATATACCTCGTATGCTAGTAACCTTATACTCTAGTAGTAGTATAGGGAAAAAAAACTATTCAAAGCATTCAACGCTAATTTCTACATTACTTGTGGTTGAAAAACATAATTATTAATGCGCAACCATAACACTTGTCTTGTTGGTTCTACACCTGTGCCAGAAGCACATGCTACACAACGTCATGGACAAAAATATTGCATAAAATGGAAAGAAAAAAGGCACAAAATGAAATCACAGCCATAGAAAAATAAGAGTTCAAATGGCCCCTAGAATGGTCTACAAAATAATGCAGGCCCAGTAGTGCCTACTAATTCTGCTCCTAATATTTGTTTTAGATGTGGGGTTACAGGTCAAAACACCTAGTTGAACTCTATCAAAAGGACAAAATTAAGAAGAAAAAGGAAGACAATTTTGCTGGTGAATAAAGGTCCCTCAATGGATAATACCCCTATTGACATAAATCAGTTTAGGGATTCTCATTCCATTGACTTTGACCGATTTATGGATTTTTCTTAGAATTTTCTCTATTGTACTACTTAAGTTTATTTTAATGTTTTTTTTTATGTTTATTTTAGCTTTCATGCTTTTTATGTTTCCTTTGTAAACATTGAACTTTTGAGAAATATTTGTCCTTATTATTAAATACATTGTAATCTTAGTAGATGAAAAGACTAAAAGATGAAGAGTTTGTATTCTTACTCCGCCGTCATCTTTATACAGAGGTAGTAGGGCTTGTATTCAAATACATTTGATAATACAATTTGTGGCCTCGTATCCTTACTCTGTTGGTCTTATAATTTCTTGAGTTGATTCTATTTGTTCGTCGTTCTTTTTTCAGAACAAAAAAACAATTTTGAGAACATTCTAATTTTGTTCTCCATTTTGAGTTTTTAAAACTACGAAAATTGTTTTTAAGAATAGAAATTAGGCATTCCCATTCACTACCAAAAATATGGTGTTTAACCATGTAATATTGTAAAATAGTAATAGTAATAATAATAATAATAATAATAATAATAATAAAGAATAAATAAAATATAAAATATAAAATATTTCAAACAATTATCGTTACCATTTTTCTTCTGGCTTACAATTGCAGAAAAAAGAAAATAATATGGAGTGAAACAATTTTGTGTTGAATTTTAACATATTTTCAAAGAATTTCTCACTGTTTTTCCTAAAATTGAGGGGAAAAAATGACAAGAAAAATATCACTTGTTCTTTTCACTTCCGCAAAGAATTACAGAAGTTACCATCTTGCTTGCTCTCACTATCCTCTCCTATGCAGAGGGCTCTTCTTCATCAATGAGAGGGATTAAAGGAAGATAATGGTGAAAGCATGTTAACATGGCTTGCCAACTACGCATTTACGGCTGCCAGCATAGCGAGTAAGTCTAACCACATATGAAGCAGGCTTAGCTGTCATCATGTCCAATCTTGAGAATGGTCTGCTGCTTCCTAGTTCCTGTCCAGCTTGTCTGAAAAATGCTCCATTCATGTACAAATCGTTGATTGATCTCCATTGCCAGTTATTTCTTTAAAAGTTGTGATGATGTTGTTACTCTGCCAAAAAAAATTTATGAATATTTTCTACTTTTTTACTTTATTTTTTTTTATATTTGGCTTTGTGAATTTGATGAATTTACTTAATTATATTAGATATGAGAATGATCTTGAATCAAGTTTATAGAAATTAAAGAATTTCTTTGGTACTAAATGAATACTAATAGAATATGTAATCTTTTACTAAATGATTATGATGTGATTGACCCACAAGAGGATCAAAATAGTTATAGAATAAGGGATGTCTTATCATGACTGAGTTCCACCATACAAAACTTTTCACATACAAAATTCACAAAATTTGGGCGCTCACATAATTGAGCATTAATTATTTCAGTTAAAGATTACATGTTCCTATATATGACTAAATTAAGAACCCACAAATGTTTGGGCTTATATTTATAATTTATTTATGATATTATTTTCTTATTATAAATTTATTTTGTGAGAATAATATTTTTCATTAAAGTGACTGGATTGGTTATAGTTCAAAAATCTCAATATTATTGAGATTTATCTCACGTGTGTTTGTTTTTATGCTAACCTTTCCAGAGTAAACAAGCTAGTATGTGTAGCTTTGGAATAGGGTAAAACTCTCTGGTTAAAGACTTTGAAAACTATACGGAGTTCAGTGGAGCAATTAATAGAAAGAAAAATGTTTCTTTTTCGTCTAGATTATGGTGTATTTATGATGTAATAATAAACTTGACTTTTGTATAATTAAATTTTAAGAATATTTTGTCATATGACGTATTTCATATCAGCCGCGTTAGAATTTCATTATAATTATCGTTCTCTTATTTAAAATAAGATTTAAAAATTAATGTGATATGCTCTATGCTAGTGAGCTATGATGCACCGACACTTCAAAAACTCTGACGTGTCGTGTCCGACACTCTCCGATACTCCGACACTTCAATACGCGTTGCAGAGACTCAAAAAAAGGGTTCAAAAGTTGCATTGCATTGCGCTTTTAGTTCCAACTATTAGATTCGTTAAATTACGATTACCATTTTATTGAGTTTAATATAAATATTTGGGATATCTTATATTTCCTTACAAAATTTATGAGTATTATAAGTTTATCTTCATTTTTTATTAAATTATTGAATATTAAATATAATATACATTACATAAATTAAAAATATTATTTAATATCAAAACGTGTCCTAACGTGTCAAAATCTAATATTTTTTAGAAGTAACGTGTCGTGTTGTGTCGTATCGTATCGTATTCAATGTCCGGTTGGTGTCCGTGCAACGTAACTAGTAAGTTGTAGAGAATGTTACAAACCACATGGGTTTAACCACATTTAATGGGATGATGGTAAAAGTACAAAAATGGGATTTGCATTCATCATTTAACATGACACAAAAAAGTTTCCTACCCACACAATATTTTGTGGGGCTCACACTTTTTGAAGCAAAAAAAAAAATACGGCACGCAAAACGAATCTCTATAACATTACACAATCACTTTTCCTACAACATAACTCTTATAAAATCCTTCAAAAATACCCTAATTTTGCTACATTGTTTGCAAACGTTGCAACCCACCACACAGTACAAAAAATTGCATTTCCACAATCATTTATGAACAGGGCTCAATATAACGCCACGAAAGCTTACTTTTTCACCCCAAACATGAATATTAATTACAAGAAAAATTAATACAGTATGGGAAAGACAATTGATGATATTTTTAATTTAAATTTTAAATAAAAATATTAATTTATATCTTTTTCCATATTTTCGTCACCATTTTTCTTCTGGCTTACAATTGCAGAAAAAAAGAAAAGAATATGGAGTGAAACATTTGTGTTGAATTTTAACATATTTTCAAAGAATTATTTCTCACTTTTTTTCCTAAAATTGAGGGGAAAAAATGACCAGAAAAATATCACTTGTTGTTTTCACTTCCGCAAAGAATTACAGAAGTTACCATCTTGCTTGCTCTCACTATTCTCTCCGATGCCGAGGGCTCTTCTTCATCAATGATAGGAATTAAAGGAAGATAATGGTGAAAGCATGTTAACATTAACATGGCTTGCCAACTACGCATTTACGGCTGCCAGCATAGCGAGTAAGTCTAACCACATATGAAGCAGGCTTAGCTGTCATCATGTCCAACCTTGAGAATGGTCTGCTTCCTAGTTCCTGTCCAGCTTGTCTGAAAAATGCTCCATTCATGTACAAATCGTTGATTGATCTCCATTGCCATTTACTCCACTCTTCCTCTGGTGCGTAATCTCTCTTTGTGATCTTCATCAACACCAAAATAGCTATATATGTCAGACTTAGTTTCTTCATTCATTCCACTTTCATAAATTTCATTTATACCCTTATTTGTCCAATCATGTTATTTAATATGAATGATAATATATGCATATTAGTGGTTAGATGAAGACACACATATGATTTTTATATTATTTCTTTACACACACTTCACGCAAAGAGCCTTATAGGATTGAAATGAGGATATCCTTAAAAAATCACTTCAACCTAAAATCTTAAGGTGTTAGGTGATAGTCTTTTTAATACTTTATATTATTCTCTAACACGCCCCTTCACGCAAGAGCCCTTTAAGTTTGAAGCATGGATATTGCACAGGCCCAATTTTTTGATTACCTTTTGTGTTTTTTTTTATTTAATTTCACAAATGGGGGCGGTGAGGATCAAACTTGTGACCTTTTGGTAAGCTCTGATACCATGTAAAGAATCAATTGCTGGGCCGTGCACGGGGAGCTCATGGCGGAGAGAGACCGCCAACCATGGGCCAATCCACCATTAGCTCTGATGCCAATTGTTGGGTCGTGCACGCGGAGCTCATGGCGGGGAGAGACTGCCAACCATGGGCCAAGTGAGCAGCAACATTAAATGGGCTCGGAACACCACAATCAAATCCAAAATCTTAAGGCGTTGGGTAAGGGTCTTTTTTAATGATTTTATATTATTCTCTATCATGCATCAAGAGTCCTTTTAGGAAGGTTCTCATATTATGTCTTAATACTCTCAAAAACTTAAGTTGTGAGGTGAAGAAAAATGAATAGTTTTTATATTATTCTTTAACAAAGAGACACCTAGAATTTGTAGAGCATGGATGAGCATGACTTATGAGTATATATAGATGCATACCTCTTTGGCATGAATGTTGTTAGGGGCTATGAATCGGTTACCCTCACTAATGATGGTAGGATGCTTGCTACCACCAATGGCATACATTTCCCAATGAGTGTAGTCATTGTTAACCACATGGACAAAACCATATCTGCACCTTGGCATCCTTTGGATCAATCTCTTACCAAAGTGGTTGAATGCAACTGTGATTTGCATTATCTTATCACCATCGTAAGCATCACTGGCACCAAACAACATCACCTGCATCACATGTAATATATATAAACCAAAATCAGGCTAAGAGATTCTTCATTTCAAAACTTAGGAATTAAAAAATCTAAACAAACAAAGAGCTGATGAAAGAAATTAATCACCTCATTGTGGTCAGTGAAATGGTTATTGGAGATGGTAATAGCAGTGGATCCCTGAATGGCATCAATAAGTCCATCCATGCAGTTTCTCATGGAAACATGATCAATCCAAATATTGCTAGAGCCAAAGATGGAAATTCCGTCACCATCACTCCTACCCCTTAGACCATAGTGGGTCTCAGAATCTCTAATAAGTCCACCACTGCCAACCACAATGTCATAGACCCTGATTCCATGGATGATCACATTCCTGACGAACTGAATGGTAATACCAGCACCTTTAGTAATGTAAACAACAGCTCCTCTGCCATCAATGGTCTTGTCACTTGTCATAATGAGCTCCTGGTTGAGCCTAATGTTCATGCTACGAGCAAAGATAATCCACAAGGGACCAGTTCTTGTAACTGCATGCCTAAGGGTACCTGGTTTTGGATTCACCATATCATTATCTGAGGAATCGGTTACCACATAGAATGGACCATTCTTTCCACCAATAGTATTTCTGCCAAAACCTTGCGCACAATCTGCAAGCTTCTTGCGGTTCTTTGCCCAATTGGGGTCACACCTCCAACACCTGTCAATGGGGTTAGTTGCCAAGCATGTACCGTCGCGTTTTCTCCCCCTCAAGTTCCTTCTTCCTGTCTGGCTGCCAGCTATGAATCTATTTGTCAAAAAAATAAAATAAAGTTTGTTGCATGAGACATAAAAACATATAAGTTTGTGAAATTCCTCTTATGAAATTGAATATGGTATGATATTAGTGTAACCATTGAACGAATATGTGAAATTCCTCTTATGAAATTATTGGGGTGGCAATTCGAGTCAACACGACACGAATACACTTAACCCGAACACTACACGAATTTAAAATTGGGTTAAAACCTCGACATGAACACAACTCACTTATTTTGTGGGTTGACACGATATGATACGAATAACCTGCGAACTCATAATGTATCGTTTGTTATGCTGTTGACACGACACGATACTAATAACCTATCAATCCCAAATTATATTATCTATTATGCGGGTGAACATCACACGATAAGACACAAATAATTTATTTACGACACGACATGAACAACTGTAAAAAAATTAATGCGGGTCAATTTCGGGTTCTTGGGTTGACACGCGACATGACACAAATTTTTTCGGGTAAGTTTTTGTCAACCCGAACACACGAATTTGAAAACGAATCAACCCGAACACAAATTTTTTCGTGTTGTGCCAACGGATCATGTAGAAAATTGTCACCCCTAAAATTGAACATGTTGTGGTATGATATAACATATAAGGGTAAACATTGAACAAATATGAGAAATTGCTCTTACGAAATTGAACATGTTATGGAATGATATAATATATGATAAGGTTTACTCGTTAATAGTAGAAGACAGGTTGCCAGTGAGTGCAAATGGGTCAGGATTAAAAGCTTCAAGGTTTGCCTTTTCAGCAATTACTGCTCTTTCCTTCCAATATGAATCAGCTTGTTCAGCCTGCTTTTCAAAGTATGCGGTATCCTCTTTCACATTGGCATGCAGGGTAGGTATGATGACTAACAAACACCCTAAAAAGAAGAAGTTGGACAATTTTGCCATGATGGTTCTTTCTTTTCTAGTGATGGCCAAGTTGAATATATAATAACCTCAGCCAAATAGAAAGAACCCTAATGAAAAGGGTTCCCAAGTATGCTCAATGGAGAAAATGATATATTTATATTTTATGTTAGGGAGCAATGAAGTGGTTTTACAGTAGAGGAAAACTACAATCAGTAGCTAAATTTGGATGAATTTGGAGAAACACACGGCTGAAATAACGGTTAGCCTCTGTCGATGGACAGAATTACTTGTAATCTTCTATTCATAGAAAACATTGCATATTTCCTTGCCATAGCCATGAAGGAAAAATGGGTTAAATTCATTGTTACCCCATGAAAATGTTAGTAGATATTGCCACCCGATTTTGCTGTCATATAATATTGTTGCTTGCTACTCCTTGACATGTGGACTGGTATCCTAATTCGAGTTTAGAGTGTGCGGAGGTGGTAAGGCATGCACCTGAATTAGATAGTTATGGTTTTGCCATGCAAGGAATCCTTAAACGACTACACGTAATTAAGTTATATTAAACATATATAACTAATCTACATGTGAGCTGAGCTGAAAGATCAAAGATCAAAGATCAAAGATCAGAGAGAGTTTCTGGAACATCCTTTTTTTTTTTTTTTTTGGTGCAGATGATTGAGAAAGTGGTACCCGAACATGTATTCTTACCCTTAAATAATTTTACGATTAATTAAGAAATTATTATTATGTTTTAGATATTATTTATATTATTATTTTAATATTAAAAAATATTTTTAATTAAAAATAACAAAACTACTTGGGATAGGATATATTGACCGCATAGCTTTGCATACTGTTTTATTTGCCACCAATAAATCTGATTAATAATAACTCAATTGTAGGTTGATTAATGAACTAATAAGCGGTAGGGAAGAATTAGCACAAATGAATAAAATGATAATTTTGTACTAAAAAAAATGATAATTCATTAACATGCAAATGAGCTCAAGACCATATTTTAATATAAAAAAAGATTTAAGTAATAAATTCAGTTATATGGTTTCTTACATTACTAACAAATATGAGACTTTATTACCCTGCAACATTGAATATCATTCCATTTTGTCAATGTTATTTATTTAGGCCAAAGGTATTTGATTTTTCAAGTTTTAACTCAAACTCGCGAAAGTAACTAAAAAGAGAAGAGTTATTCTTGGTAAATTCTCAAACGCCAGAAGAAAAAGGTAACGAAAATTGTTTGAAATATGTTTAATGGAAAAAATGAGAGAAAGACACAAATTAATATTTTCTAGGTCCCCTTTGGTTTGATACAGGCTAAAAAGCCTTCATTTTCTTTTCTGGGGTAGAAAAAAATATAATTTTTTTAACTAATACTCTTAAAAAAATTGCGTAAATCCATCAAATGTTGTAAGAGATACTAATTATTATTTTTTTCAAAAAATTTAGTGGGATTTTTATTGATCTTCAGCATAGATAATTTTGAGCTAGAAAGGGGATTTCTCAGGCAGTGGAATGAATGCTAGCTTTTTTGTTACTCCCTATGTACTAAGTTGAGACTTTGACGCAAATTGACAAGCAGCAAACGGATAAAGTACACATTTTGGAAGGAGATTACTAGGAGCTTACTTTACAACTTTCATAATTGACCAATTTTGTTGTGCACATTATGGCACTGACGACAGAATCACTTGTACAGTTGTACTAGTTATCCCAAACGACATAATAAACTGCTACATAGATATTTTGGACTCATTTTGTAGCAGCCAAACCCACTTTACTCACTTTCTAGACAATATTTTGATCCACCAAAAGTTACATCGTCACTACAAAAAACACGCCGTTTAGCCACGTTAGAAAACGTGGCTAAATTTAACAATAAATGTGGCTAACACAGACTACCACACTTTTGCCAAACGTGGCTAATCCTGGCGTGGCATTTATTTTGCCACATTTTTCTTCCAACTTTGCTACTGCTGTCATTAGTGTGGTAGCATTATTGTGGCCACGATTATATTGACACTAGCCACATTATAAACGTGGCTAATTTGTAGGGAGAAAATAAAAAAAAAATAATACGTCCAATTTCTTTTATAATAGGTCTCTACCGAAATTCTAGGATTTTTTATTTTATTTTATTTTTTTTGCTGTTAATTAACCTTTTAAATAAAGGAAATTTCTACCCAAATTTCTTAATTAGATCTATAAGTTGAAATATGATAAAAGGAAAAACAGAGATCCAAACATGAACATCTCCCAATCACATATCCTCTTGAAAAAGAAAGCAGTAACCATATCCACTGAGAGCAAAGTATAGAGAGAGGGGTAAGGCTGCAAAATGAATTTTTTGCATAAGTAGCATCGACCCCAAAATTGTCTTCCCACCCATTCTAATGAAGTCCACAATTATTCATAATCACTTTATGCCAAAGAAAATTAGGTTCCAAAAGGAAGCACCACTACCATAGCCAATATATTTAGACAATAGATCCACAGGTACAATCCAACTTCCTACAAAGACTTGTAATACTATGCTGCACAGAGACTATTTCAAAAACATTTGACATTTCACATAGACTGAAATTTATAAACAACAGTTTAATTTCCCTAATAATTGTTTACATAACAAACAATCTGAGCTCAATATCAAAGAGACATTCTGATTCATCATGAGCTTTTGCATTCATATCATCTTCTCTATGTGACTCATAATGGTCACCATCTTATATAGCCTGGAGCTCATTAGCCCATGAAAGCATTTTAAGCAAATTAGGATTAAAAAGTCATAAGCAGAGATATTATAGTAGCCAGAGAGAGGGAAATAAAAGCACCCACCAATAGTTTCTGGCTCAGAGACATGTAATTCTTCTACTTGGCTCTCACATGCACCATTTGGCATTTGATGCTTCCACCAACTATCCAAAATAACAAACCAAAGATACATAAGATTGTAAGTTGAGTTAGTTGATGTCTTTTTGAAAATTGTATATGGGTATCATGTTGTTTGGAAAAAGAAGATGCAATTGACTATATTTATGTTAGATGCTCATACATATGGCTTGAGACAGGATCATGTTCATATAAGGATAAGATGGTGAAAGACAAGCATTGTCTCTTTCAACCTTTGCCATTTCATGTCCCCATAGTTTATAACTGTAACTACTAACTAGAACGAGCTAAAGTGGTTAGGTTTTGGTCAAATTAATGATAGAAGATAACGAATTGTATATTCCTAAAAGGAAGGGTTGGTTTAGGCTTTAGTTTTTCAACATTCCTTTCTCCTATGAAACAAGAATGAATCTTCCATGAGATATTTCTGAAATCCTTACTAAGTTGGAGGAAATATCCATGTACAGAGTGACGTGCAACAACTATTATTAATATTAATACAACCTCATAGACAAGTTAAAATTTAGTAGTGTTTGTTACCTTGCGACTGTATGCTACAACAACTAGGAATTTTGATGCACTCCAATTTTTTTCGGAACTTAACTCAGTTCTTACTGAAAGCATAGAGCAGAACACCATTATTATACTCATTTGTTACGTCTACCTGCTTCACAAAAACTGAACTTGCCTTTATCAAACGGGATGAGCTTGGACCAAGCACCAGGCGAGAATCCCCATAAAACCCATACATGAGACTGGCTGAAACTGAATATATAAGATGAAAAAAAATATGGCATGATTCAGTAAGAGGAATCAAGTGAGAGAACAACTATAAGATGATGAAAAATTACATGCCACAAATATACTCAAACTCTATTGTCCACAGCAAAAAAAAATTAAAAAATTAAAAAAAATGAAAGGAGTTAGCCTAGTAACATTAATGGTGATCGTATGACAACAATAACTAAAAAGAGATAAAAAGATTTAAACATTTTAACTATTGTCCACAGTCACAATGTCTTTAGAACACTATTGTCCAAATGAAGTAAATACTGAACAAATTTCATTTAGCTGGCTAAATTCAACAGACATAAGGTTAACACACAATAATAATTTAAATTGACAAAAAATAATTCTACTAATCTCCTCTTCAAGTTTAGTCCGGTCCAATATAATACAGCTACTATCTGATACATCAAGTACGTGAGTCAACTAGTGGGAAGTTGTTTCACCTTGATCTTGTGGTCATGAATTTTATAAGTTTGCCGCTCTTCTATTCCCGCCCAGCTTAATTGGTGCCTGTTGGTGAACAAATACCAGATGGTTTATACCAAAAAATAAAGAGACTTCTGAGTTACACCAAATTAACATATCAGACGTTGTGCTAACATCTTCGCAAGAGGTCATGCATAAATTAACTACTATTACTATCAGCAAAATAAAGAAAGAAGTCTGTGCATATATTTCATTGTGCAACTCTCCTTCAAGTGTACGAGATGCTTTATTCCCACATATAAAAGGGACTGCATGTGTGAACGTATCTGAATTAACTTAAAAATATTGTATTTTCAACTTCCTTAAAAAGTTTTTTCTTTTAAAAATAATTATTTCTCCAGAACAAATTGTTATCGAACATGCTATCAACATGTGATGGAAATGAAAATTGAGTGTTTAAAATTCGCTTTGGGTTTCCAAACTTCCAGTTGTGCTGGAAACTTAGTTAAGAATCTTAAACAGTATCACCGCGTAAAAAGGAAAACAGTATTATGTGACGCTAGATAAACAATTTATCCTCATGCATTGGAGAGTATTCCTGAGGAGATGGAGAAGTTATAGGTTCCATGTGATTTGCTAAATGAAGAGTATATCTGTTTCTAAATGAAGAGGAAAATTCTTCCACATTATAGGTTCCATGTGATTTGCTCAATCTATAAACTCTTAAATGCAAAAAATATACAACAAATAAAGATAATGAGCCAATTGCCTGTTTGTGCTATCACTCAACCCTTCCAGTTTAATACTTTCTTATCAGCTTTTACAGATGGTGCTAAGACGCATGCCTGAAATCAACACAAGATCCAATGTTCAATGATGAATATTTGAAAAGAGGGCAGGGGGGATGAGACTGAACTTATGTTTTGGAAGAGATTAATACCAAGAAAGATGGTGGTAGAGCAAGAGTGTTTCTAAAAATTAAATGAAGAAATAAATAAATGAATAATACCTCTCCATAACTGATATAGCACCATTGCAACAAAGATCCTGATCTTGCATCAATTCACGCGTGGTTAGATTCGCTTACTTTGTCTTTTTCTTTTTTTTCTTTTTTTGTTTTATAAAAACCACAAGTATTACTATTATTCACGGGATGACACATGAGAGCTGAAGGTGAGAGCATGTATTCGATTCTCCCCGATACCATCTTTAAAATGAGTTTAAAATCTTAATTTTGAACCAGTCCCAAATAAGATTGCTTAGTTTGTCATTTTAGGATGAGCAAATGCAAACTCCCCATTTTTTGTGTTTATTGAATGAAGTCTTATTTGAGAACATAAAGTTTTTTCATGATAAATCAATTATGGAATTGAACTTTTATTATTACTAGTTGGATATGAACTTTATTGAAAAATATTTGTTAAAAAATTCTGAAATTAATTTATAGCATGAATAACATATGAATAAACCTAAAAAAATTTCTAGGTGATAATTGTATTAAAGTTTAGATTCTAAGTTGGTAATTAAAGTGAAATTGATACCCTTAATTGGTAATTTTTTAAAAATATGGTCCTTAACTTGCTTTTTCTTTTTTCTTTTTTCTTTTACTTTTGGTATATAAAACTTTAAGGGGGACTTTTCTTATTGTAAGATTAGAACAAACCATCATCAATCCTAAGATTGCCTAAATATGAGTTCCTTAATTGTATAATTTTTAATTTTATTGTAGTAACAAGTAACTATGTAATGTATGGGATAAGTTATTTTAGCTATTTTCTTCTGTCTATCTTTGTTTACCACCCTCCAATATTGTTAGATCAGAATCTCAACTACCTTTATCATTTCTCTCTTCTATTGAAATTCTGATATAATAATGTTAGAAAATCGTAGGCAAAAAAAAAAAAAAAAGTAGGTAGAATAACTTATCTCGCCTTTATCGAAAAAGAAAGAAAGAATAACTTATCCCGCAATGTGTATATAATTCAAGGGTTTTTTTTTTTTTAATTTCCAAATTTACCTATACAAAATGTGAACTATTTCCCTCTATGTAGTCCTGATTAAGGGCATGTTTGGTGCATAGTATTAAATAAGGCCTGATAGCATAAAACCTGATAGTATAAGACCTGATTATATAAGACCTAATTAAATTTTAATGGTATCCAGCGTTTGGTATGGTATTGTATAAGATAATATCTTCCAATATTTTAAAAATTAATATATTAAAAAAAATTATTTCAATATATTAATATTGAAATGATATATTAGTTCTTGAAAATTGTACTTATAAGCAATATTAATACATCAATCCCTTATCAGGCCTAATCCCTCACTCTTAGGCCGAATTAAGTTATATATCGTTTTGATGTATTAAGTGGTCCTGCTGTATAAGCTTATACTATACGACGGTCACACCAAACAACTGAAAATGTCATAATGTATAGTATAAGCTTGGTCTTATACGTTACACCAAACTGACCGTAAGGAGCTGGGAAGCCAAATAATGGTTATTTGTACGTGAATTCTCTCTAATACTTTTGAGCGAATCTTGTGTTCTCACTTACATGGTAACTGGGAAAAACCACAGTCCTGTTTGATCCAGTTTGTAATGGCTGGAAGTGGACGAGTCACTGATAAATCATTGATAGACTTTGGTTTTATCTAAACATTGGAATAATTCACAACAAAACGTTCTTTCACATTGAACTGGATATAATTTTGTTTGTACATCAATAATAAGCTTTGACTTGCGGTCTCTTACTTGGTTTTATGGGGTGCAGACAGTTTACATTTGTCTCACGGTGTGATGTTATCATCGACAATTCTGTTTCTTTGTTCCAAAAAGAAGTTAAAAAACCAAAAGAACAACTTAAGCATGAAACAAACTTTTTTGTAGCATATATCCTGCCTCATACACACGTTTTGATATTTTTGCAGGTATCTGAATATGAGAAAGAAACTGAGATAATGAAAACAGTAACAAAAGAAGAATATCTTGCTTCATTAAGAAGGTAAATCCCATTTACTAAAGGGATAGTGCCATTAATACTTTTTGATAATTTCTAAGTTCTATGCTATTCTATAATTGTTGTAGGCGAAGCAGTGGTTTTTCTAGAGGTGTATCAAAGTATAGAGGAGTGGCAAGGTCAAATAATTTCTAGCTTACAATGTCAATAAACGTTTGTTGCCATCAAAGCAATTTTATATGCTAAGGTTTTAGTTCTGAAAATTGACTGCAGGCACCATCACAACGGAAGATAGGAAGCAAGGATAGGGAGTGTGTTTGGCAGCAAGTACCTCTACCTTGGGACTTACAGTGAGCTTTCATGTCTTCACCTTGTTTCTTTTGATGAACACACAACATAAATCATTGGCAATTTCACTCTACACCAATGTCTTTTGAGAATATTTTCAAGATGAAGAGCTACTATCTTAATATTTAATCATTGTCTTCCTCTGCACGTACACAAGAAGAGGCAGTTCGGGCATATGATATTGCAGCAATTGAATACATAAGCATAAATAAATGCTCAGTATTTAGAGAACTGATGCAGAGAAATCTGAATTTTGCAAGTGAAGAAGCTGAGGAAATTGAATTGAAAAGCACACAAGAAGGCACTGATGGAGCTGGAGGGATTTTTAAAAATGAAATTGCCAGTGCCTCTTTACATATTGTATTCCAATAGCAACAACTTGCCTAACTTGGAGTCAATAGAAGAAAGCACATTGCCACTTTACCATAGTGCCGTGTAATCTCCCTGTGGAATGGGGCTTTAAACATGTCTAACTGACACGGTTGACACTTAATTCCCTTTCTTATCATCCTTGTGGATGTCAAACAATGGCTAAAATGTACATATTGCAACCTTTTCTGTTTATAAATGGGATTGCTCAATTACAAAACAATTCTTTTTTCTTTTGGTTGGGGTGGGAGGTAAAGACTTGAATTTTTATAAAAGGAGCAAGCTTTCTCTGAAAATATTTTGCATAAATCTTGTGCAGAAAAGGACCACATATTTTCCCATAACTGCAGGATAATTGAAATTGCTTCGGAGAGGAATTAAAGCATCCGTATCCAGATAATACCTTATACATACTTAAGTGGAGTAGGCAAAGTTATACAATAGGTGAAAAAAATAACTATCAAGTAAACATATATTAGTACCTATGTGGCATGTTTAAAACTATACATTTTCAAAATCAATTTAATACGAAAATTTAAGTAAAATACACAAGAATTTCTAAAGAAAAATATGAATGTAGAAATAAAATAAAGCGATTCTTTTTTAATTGTGATGATACCGTACAAGTGCGTATTTTTTTCCATAACATTTATTCGAGTTGATTATTTAATTATAATTTTCGTACATAAAGCTAGTTGTATTCAAAGCAATTTTCCTGCCAGTGAATCGAAGTTAATTGATTCTAACTAAATCAAGGATTTACTTTAAAAAAAAAACACTTTTTTTGAAGACAAAAAAAACTCTTCAGATATTAATAATGAACCATGTTTGTTGCACTAAAGTAATAAAATGAATCGGTTGGAGCAGAGAATTTGCTGCCAAAACCAGGAACACTTGTTTCGGCTGAACTTATCAATCACCAATCAACGTACGCACATTAAAGTGCTGACTGCATTGTTCAAACTCGGTTTCAAATCCCACTAAGCTTTACAAAATTTAACTTGTGGTAAAGCTGACACAGTTTTCATGAATCATCAATTCATGACACCACATCCGCATCATTTATTAGGAGGAGAAGCGATTACAACTTCGGAAATACAAATACTATGAAAGTCATGAATCATATGCCACATCCAAAAAAGCAACTGTCATAGGCTCTTGGTATTTGGTAACCACCAAACCAACATAATCCTTTTGACAGCAAAATTTTATTTACAACATCGAATCACAATTCACTGGCTTGAATATAAAAAAGTTCTTTAGTCTATTGATACAATGTAGAGATTAAGAATGACACAAGAAAATCACAACAGCTACGACAGATATGTTATGCTTTATGAACAAGTGAGTCGAAAAGCTACTGCTGAATAAATAGTAAAGACAGAGCAGACGAAGAAAGAACGCTTAAAAGCTAGGTAGTCATCAATTTAAGACCTTGACATCAACACCGGGTTGTAGTACTCCTGCAAAATCAAAGCATACCCGAATCAAAATAATGTAAGCTTATAAAGCAAAGTCATAACATAAGCACAGGAAAGGAAACAGCAACAACTATCAAGATCCCTTTTTGGGTGAGGGTTATCACAAGTTCCTGAGGTCAATCAAATTTGTCTTCAGCCTCATTATTTTTTGGCTCTTAGGCCACGTCTCAAGATAGCAAAGGAAATATACTTTTAGCAGTCTCATTGCTGAAACTGATACAAATGAATTCAGACGATAGGTTCACAGACCACATCTCCAAACACTTTTAAAAGACACTTAGATTCGTATATGAAATTTATCTACTGTCAGGCTCAGTGCTTTTTATAAGGAAAATATTTGGCTCAACATGTTTTAAAGGCAGTCCATTAATTGAATACTATGAATGAAAGGTCCCTAGGCTACTGGGGCCTATATATTTTGGAATGTTTCTGTGGATAGGGGTGGATCCGGTTCAATTCGGTTTTCTATGTTGAATTGAACCAAATCGTTTTTTTTTTCTTTTTTATTGAACCAGTTTATAAACAGTTCTGGTTTGAGGCAAAAAGACAAAACAAAAAATAAAAAATAAATAAAAATGCTAGCAGTTAAGTAAAAGTGACCCCGTATTCTTTTGGTTCTTGAACCCGTTCTGACAAAGTGGTTCAGTTCTTGAAACAATTCTACATAATGTGGTTCACTTCTTAAACTCGTTCGAAAAAATGTGGTTCTTTTGGTGCAGTTCAATTCGGTTCACAATCTAGTTTGGTTCTTTTAGATTTTTTGCACACCTCTAGTTATGGAATACGTAGTATACAAAATATGTCAACTTTGTCCAATGATTACATTAGATATTTGCAATCTCAGGTTTTTGTGTCTTTACACTTTTGTACAATGCCCTTAATACAAGAGATGAGCTTTAACCCTAAGCTACAATATGTTTTCACGTAAAGAGGTTACATTATCCAAGAAACGTTTAAGTAGTCAGTGAACAGCATGTATTCTTAACAACACGTCAGAGGAAAATTAAAGTGATAATCATAATCACTCTTCAGTCCTCCATAGGGTATATGCCCCAGAAAATATATTCAAGTGAGTTAGAAGCATGCAATACATGCTTCCCACACGGGGTGAAAGGATTCAAAGAACCAAATATGAGTATTCAAACCTCAATAACGGCCTTCGCAGCTGCCCAAGCTTAGCCATATCATCTGGCATGACAGCATCTGACGCTGACCTGTCTAAACCACTAGACAATGTTTCTGCAATGTCTTTAAGACCCTGCAAGTGAAAACAGGATCATTACACATTATAAGAAGCAAATTTCAAATTATGATGACAGTAGGATCCATGGCCTATGGAGAAAACAAAAAGAACCCATTACAAATATATAAGAAGCAAGTATGGCTGGTTGATCAACTTCAATGAAAAAAGTGTAGAGGGAGTACATTTCACTACAGAAACAACTTCACCCAATCATTTGTTAGGCTGGACAAATGCAACAAGACTGAAATTAAAACTCTGCTAGAAAGAGAATTTCATCCCAAACATAGTTGTCATAATGGGATCACTAATTGTAGGAGTATTATTTCTTTCTTGGAGGAAGTGCTATTTTCATGTAATAATAATGATAACAATAATGATCATAATAAATAATCTGAACCAACAAATAGAAATGTTAGTCTTAAAACCATATTAGCAGATGACAGCCAAACTCGGTTATCCACTAGGAAAATAAAAAGTAGAAAGCAAGAAGAACACCTTCAGATTTGGAGTTCCTGGATATGTGAGCAAACTAGGGGACTTCCCTGAAAGTTTCGGTTGATCCTGCTGAATATTTACTAATTAAAATCAGATCATTATATAAACAGGAAAATACAAGAGATATTATTAATAATTAAGCCACCAGAAGTATGAGAAAAGGCATCATGCATCGTAATTTAAAATTCAGCTCTAGATATAAGCTCTTCAAACTCATCTAGGTTCCTTGCTGTCACTTTAACACTCATAGCAGATAGTGAGTGATACTCCCCACCATATATAATTTGCATATTCAGCAACCACAGGTAATTAGAGGGTGACAGACAACAAAAGAGAACATAATTAGAACTGATAAATATAAGAAGTGATCCCAACCTGTAAAAATTCAGGCATTTTCCCTCTTCTTCCATGGACAAAGTCAATGAGATACGCTAAACCATGATTTGCATAATCCTGCAACAACACTATTAAATCAGTATTTCCTTTCGGTGTATCAATAGAAGTAACCATTCTCATAACAAGATCTGTCACGTAGAGAAAACCTTAAAACTTTTACACCTCGTGGTAACAGGACATTCATAAAGAATAAAATTATGCACATATCTTTCAAATAAAGGAAACAATTTTTTTACCTGCTTCCAACTCAATGCAGAAACCCTTTCATCCTAAAAGGGCACAATTATACAAAGTCAGAATGAATCAAATAAATGAGGTGGCATGTATTTATATGAATAAACAACTAACAATTTTGGGGAAACATAAACGTAATAATTCTTTGTCAACTAGACAGATATCTGCTTTCATATGAAAATTAAAAATTATGCCAAAATCCCAAATGTACTTCTTCATAATTCACACTCGCAAGACAAGTAGACAACAATGATAACAATTAACTAGCCAATGCATGAAATCAAACATACCAATGATTCCACCGTTTGTTGCAAGAAACCCAAGTCATCATGGAAATTAGTAATAGTACTTCGAACTCCAGCAACCTGTGTATAGGAGAATCACAATGTTAACCAATGATTTGTTTTCTTCCTATCACGTTTATAAATTATAATACAAATGGATATGGCATTGCCAAACTCCACTTTCAATTCCATTATCCAGGACTGGAACACAAAAAACTCACCAGTATACCTACGTAACTTAATGAAATGATAGGCATATATAAAATTTTTCTATCTAGGACATTTCTAAACTATGTGGAGATCACCAATGAGTAATGCAGAAAAATCTGTCAGCAATCTGATTACAGTAACTAAGTTGCAACCTTCCATGTTGAAAAGTTAAAACTCAAGGATTTAAAATTTAAAATGAATGCTTTAGTGTGTTAGAATGGTTGTAAAATAGTTCAGTATATATATAGTCCCACATCGTATGAGCTCAACCTATTAGGTCTTTTAGTCTCTTTAAATAGAGAGCTCTTGTACATTGTAATACACCATGTGATTATTCAATATACAATTATTCTTTAATCTCAAGTTGGTACTAGAGCTATTTCGTTCTAGGAACCCTCGCTTCCGCTTAGAAATCTTGTTCTTCGCTTTAAAACCTAAGCTCACTGCTTAGGAGTCATCTTTTCTTTGTCGTGCGTCCTTCCGGCAAGCCATCAAGGACTGTAAGTCCTCTCCTGCACGTGTCCACATCCCCAAACAGTCATCGGAGCCACCGTCAGCCACTGTTCAGGCTGCCGAAGTACTTTTCCGGCGAGATTTCAGTCCGGAACGAACGCGAACAGCACCCTCTCCTCCCGGCGACCTGCTCTGTGGAAGTCCGGCCACCATCGGAGTTGTCACGCGCTCTCACGCGCCTCCTGTCTTCTCTGCGCGTGGGCTTCACGCGCCACCTTCTGCCGGCGCGTGATCACTATTCCGGCGGCTTTTTCCGGCCGTTCTTGGACAGAACTTCTCGCCTTCTTCTCCTCTTTCCGGATCTGTGCTTGGTTCTTTGTGGGTCTCACTTTAGACGCGTGGTTCTCCTTGATTGGATATCGTTTGCCTTCGTTTACGACTTTTATATTCTGTTTTTAAATGGCAGCAGCGTCCACTGATCTCTCGGAGGTTAACTCTCCTTGTCCTCCTGTCAAAACTTCCTCAGGAATCATCTCTACTAATATTGGGCCCATTACATCTTCCAAACTGAAGGATTCTACCTCTCTTGCTGCGAATATAGCTCAGTCAGACAATGCATCATTTGGTTCAGTTTCTCTCTCACTTGCGGACTATGCTGCACTCCAAACTCTTCTTAAGAAGGCTTCTCCTCAGTCTCAACCATATACTGGTAATCCCATTGCTTGTGTTTCTCATTCTACATCACTTGGCACTTGGATATTTGACTCAGGTGCTACCGATCATCTCTGTGGTAACAAGGAACTCTTTACATCTCTTACTTATTCTGATCATTTACCTTCTTTTACCCTTGCGGATGGAACCAAAGCCCCAGTTCGTGGGATTGGACAAGCTCATCCGACCTCTACCTTGGCCTTGACATCTATTTTATTACATTCCTGGCATCCCTTATAACTTAATTTCTATTAGTAAGTTGATCCACTCCCTCACTTGCACCATTACTTTCTCTAACCATTCTGTTTCTGTGCAGGATCCGGGTACGGGGGAAATGATTGGAGTGGGTCGTGAGTCACGGGGGCTTTACTATCTGGATGTGCCTCGTCCTTCAGTGGCACTCTCTCTCACAGAATCTCCACAACTTATCCACAGTCGCCTCGGTCATCCAAGTCTTTCAAAGTTGCAGAAAATGGTTCCTCTTTTATCCGGTCTTCAGTCTTTAGATTGTGTGTCATGTCAACAAGGGAAGCATACACGTTCCTCTTTTGCCAGTCGAGTCAATAAACGAGCTGATGCCCCTTTCTCTCTTGTTCATTCAGATATCTGGGGTCCAAGTCGTACCTTGTCTGTTTTAGGTTTTCGGTATTTCGTTACCTTCATTGATGATTTTTCCCGTTGCACTTGGGTCTATTTAATGAAAATCGTTCTGAGTTATTTTCCATTTATAAAAAGTTTTATACTGAGATTCATACTCAATTTGGTGTTTCTATTCGTATTCTACGTAGTGATAATGCTAAGGAATATGTTTCTATTGATTTTTCTAATTTCTTGGCCACACAAGGTACTTTACATCAAACTACATCCATAACAAAATGGGGTGGCTGAACGTAAAAACAGACATCTCATTGAAACTGCATGTACCCTTCTTCTTCATATGCAGGTTCCCCTTCACTTCTGGGCAAGATGCTGTACTCATCTCTTGTTTTCTCATCAATCGCATGCCCTCATCTGTGCTCAACAATGACATTCCTCATAACCTATTGCTTCCAGATGTTCCTCTTTATCCTCTAACTCCACATGTCTTTGGTTGTACTTGTTTTGTTCATGATCTCACTCCTGGTAAGGATAAGTTAACATCCAAAGCCTTTCAGTGTATCTTTCTTGGTTATTCTCGTCTTCAAAAGGGTTATCGTTGTTATTCTCCCGATCTTAAGCGTTACTTAGTTTCCGCTGATGTCACTTTTCTTGATCAACAACCCTTTAATTCTATTCCATCTCAGTTGTCACAGGTTGATCATGTTCTTCCTGTCCCTTTTCTTGACTTGTCTTTGCCAGCTGCAGGTGCTTCTATTCCAAATGAGCAACCTATTGCTTCTATACCTGAGGACCGTCCACTTCTCACTTATCAGCGTCGCAAAACTGTGCCTCCTATCGACTCGACTCTTGCTGACTCATCGCCCACTGCTGTTGCTTCTTCCTCTCTGAATCCTTCACCAGAGACTCTTCCCATTGCTCAAAGGTACACGTACTACTCGTAACCCTTATCCTCTTTATACTTTTTTGAGCTATGACCGTCTTTCTTCACCTCATTTCACCTTTGTTTCTAGTCTTTCTTCTATTTCTATTCCTAAGACCACAGGTGAAGCACTTTCCCATCCAGGGTGGCGCCAAGCGATGCTTGATGAGATGACTGCACTTCATTCCAATGGCACTTGGGACCTTGTTTCTGCTCCTCCAGAGAAGTCTACAGTTAGTTGTCGCTGGGTGTTTACTGTGAAAGTTGGACCTGATGGCCATATTGATCGACTCAAGGCCCGCCTAGTTGCAAAGGGTTTTACTCAAATATTCGGCCTTGATTACAGCGATACATTCTCTCCGGTTGCTAAGATGGCGTCAGTTCGCCTATTTCTTGCTCTTGCTGCTATTCGTCACTGGCCACTCCTTCAACTTGACATCAAAAATGTCTTTCTTCGTGGTGATTTACAAGAAGAAGTTTATATGAAGCAACCACCGGGTTTTGTTGCTCAGGGGGAGTCTGGGAAGGTGTGTCGTCTTCGCAAATCCTTATATGGTCTCAAGCAGTCTCCTCGGGCATGGTTCAGTCGCTTCAGTTCTGCTGTTCAGGAGTTTGGCTTAATTCGCAGTAAAGTTGACCACTCTGTGTTTTATAGGATCACATCTACTGATAAGTGCATCTATTTGTTAGTCTATGTTGATGACATCATCCTCACCGGGAGTGATCAAGCTGGAATTTGTCAGTTAAAACAGTATTTATTCAGTCAATTTCAGACAAAGGACCTCGGGAAGCTGCGTTACTTCTTGGGAATTGAGGTAGCACAATCTAGACAGGGCATTTCTATCTGTCAAAGGAAGTATGCCTTGGATATCCTAGAAGAGACTGGTATGTTGGCGTGTAAGCCAGTTGACACACCCATGGATCCTACTATCAAATTATTCTTTAATCTCAAGTTAGTGATTTGAAGATTCTTTATGATTGAAAGGTTAAAGAGTGCCGAAAAAGGTTAGCAGTAAGTTTTATATTTAAAATATAAAGCTGAATTTAATGCAGAGAATCAATATAACCAGGCTAAAACTATATGGTAGAAAGAGTAAATGGTGAGGAATTGTAAAGATAGAGAAAGTAGCTGGTCTTCTGCGATGAAAAAACTAAGTTGCATGTCCTACTTCCGTGAACAGAAACCAAAACCCAAACATAATGCTCCCAGAGAGAGATAATACAAGAGAGAGAGATGGAGCTTGTCTAACATTTAGAGAACTTCATATTCAATTCCATTATCAATCCAGATTCAAGAATTGTAAAGAATTTAGTATAATGACTAGATATATATCGCAACATGGTAGGCATGTAAGCTACTCCATAACTGATCAGTATGACATGAAAACAGCCCAATGGAGTGTTTTGCTTCCTTACTATCACATATCATTCACTAACATAGATATCCATCAAGACTTGATGACTCTAAAGGAAACCTGATGGTGAGTACTGGTGCATGTATATATGTCTAATTGAAAAAAAGAATGCAAGTATGTGCTGAGAATCTGTTTGATTGCATGTATCTTTATGAAAGTACAGGTGCAAGCATGAAAATCTGTATGTGCCAAAAGACTTACATCATTCTTAATTGACCGTGCCAACTCATTCTGCTTGACCATTTTGTCATCCAAATTTTGAATTCTCTGCGTCAAGTGCTTCTTGGCATCCTGCCATCAAAAAAATTGAGAAAATTAAAGAAGCACCAACTATTGAGTATTATGAAATGTACACATTAATTTCCAAGTTAAATCTTTGAATGCAGAATTGGGGTGGGATGAATATCTTCAGACAAACTATGGATAATTGGTGCACGTCTGACTGTGTAAGAAAAATACGACCACCCCCTTATTAAGGATAGCGGATTGTTATTGGGGGTTTACCTTATTCTAAGGGCACTAAAATTCACCATGTAACTTATGGTTGATTCTTTGTTACAGATAGATGCAGCTTAGTAGGAGGCTTACTATAGTTCCCTCACAAAGCATTCTGTGATGAGAAAGACTATTTCTTCTTAATTATCCAAAGTTCCCTAGGTCTGTAAGTTATTTTGTTTTCCTTTTCTCTTTCCAGTGTTAACAGAGTTATGCACCAATAGGGACTAAATGGTTGAGGCCAGGGTTTGGAGATTACTGCCTCCTGTCGCTGCTAGCTTAAGAAAATCTGGCCAGAAAAGATTAAAGGCACTCCACTCTCACAGCTGTTTATTATTTCTGAACAGGGTTTTCCATGGAGTCAGGAGTCCTTGATGATCATTTTTCTTTCCTGTTTTAAGTCATTTGTAATTGTATGAGTTTAGCAGCATTATATTTGACTCTTATGCAGTCTTTTCTACTCCAACCCTACACAAGTCATCCTGAAATACAAATTTCGACAGTAGTAACCATAATTTTTATCATTAGAAAAACTCAAAGTCAAACTTCTCGCTTGTGAACCAATGATACATTATATTTCAAATACCAATTGAAATAATATCAAATCCTATGTCAAAGGGGCCTCATCCCCTTGGAATAGTGACCAAAATGCCACTGTTCACCAAGTTTTTTACCTAAATGCCACGCGAACAGTGTTATTTCCCAATATGCCACGTGGGCAAGTTCGCTGAGCACTGTAGCGAACTCGATTTGCTGACGTGTCACGTTTCTAATGGACACAAGTACCAAGTTCGCTACTGCGGGTAGCGAACTTGGTTGGAATGTCACGTTTCCCAATTAAAAATTCCAACCAAGTTCGCTACCCCCAGTAGCGAACTTGGTACTTGTGTCCACTAGAAACGTGACACGTCAGCAAACTGAGTTCGCTATAGTGCCCAGCGAACTTACCCACGTGGCATATTGGGAAATAACACTGTTCACGTGGCATTTAAGTAAAAAAACTTGGTGAACAGTGGCATTTTGGTCGGTGTTCCCATCCCCTTCAAGTGCAAGGGTAGATGGTCCAATCACGTGATCAAAACACTGTCACAGGTACACATGTGCCTAACTAATATCAATATATAAAAGAAAATCCCATACAGTAAATGGACACCTACAGCAATGACATCTGATGCATGCTGCAGCTTTTTTGTCAAATCTGAAACAGCTTTTTCCATATTACGTTTAGTCACATACATAAGATCTGAGAATGAAATGCCCTGATATTGGAAAGGAGAAAAAAGAGAACACAGATCAGTATCCCAAATAATTCAGAAATATTAAATGGATATAAAATCATTCAAAGAATTCTGGGGAATCAAATAAGTGAATGACAATTTGTGACCCTTAAATGACAGAAAGATTTGAAACAACAAATACTGGTAAAAGAGAAATAAAATATGAACCATAAAACAATGAAACTATTCAAAGAACACACCAGTATCCAAGCAGTTCCATACCTTCCACCACATGTAACCATAACCCAGAGCGCCCAAGGCAGCTGCTGGAACCACGAGAGATGATAAATTGCCTGCAGAAAAGGACAAATGCTTAAAAAGCAACAAATGGAACAGACATAATACGAAATATGCTATCCCATCTACCCAACACATCAACCTGTTGATACCCCTACATACCAAATGCAGAGAAGCATGAAAAGTAAAACATGGCATCTTAAGCAGAAGCTATATAAGATTGTAGAATAAAATATATATTACTTTGCCCAGAACCACCCCCATTCAGCACTGTAATCGGCCTGTTTGACGCTAACTGTCGAACTTCATTTGCCAATCGACGCACCTAGTGCAAATCAAACAATAGTTTTGTCAAAAATCCTCCTTCACGATAGCATTTTTTTTTTTGCGGGGGGGGGGGGGGATACTAAGACATATCAACCAGTTCGATACCTGAGCAGCAATAGCATCAGCATATTCACCTTCACCGTCACCCTGATCGCTGGATTTTTCCAATCCCTTCACCAGCAACTATGGCAAAAAATAATAATAAAATCCAATTAAAATAAAACCACCATTAGTATAAGAAAAAAAAAATCCTAATACTCAGAATACTAAAAAAAGTGCAATAATCCAGCTTCTCAATCCTATAATCTCTTGCATGAAGGAAAATCTTAATTTGAGAGGACTAAAGAAAACACAGTGACCACTAAAACAACTTATTTAGCTTTAATTCGAGACAATAACTCCAAATTCGTGCGAACCCGAGGCATCTATGATCAAAACTAAAAACGAATCTTGTAAAACCCTATCATCCCGATTTCGCACAAATCAGATATAGAGAAAGAAAGGCAACTGAACAACTTTCGCAAGCGAATCTCAAAAATTAAATTAAAAAAAAATAGATTAATTGATCGAGAGTAAAGTGAAGGGAGTGGAATTAGAATATATGCCTGGAGCTCGGCGAGCAAATCGGACAATTTTCCGTTCTTGATGAGGACAGTTCCGGTGTAACCTGAAGGAAGAGAGTGAAATCAGATCAACGCAATATGCATGCGATTCAGAGAGAGAGAGAGAGAGAGAGAGGTGTACCAGCTCCAGCTATGATGAGGATCTTGGAGATCCCTATTCCGCTTTGCATAGCCATAGACATGGTTGGAGAATGTGAGGTGGGAGTCTCTGCACGCGATGGTAGTTAATTAGTTTTGGTTGGGTTGCTCTATCAAAAACTTTGACCGGGAGAACCGCCTTCCCTGAACCTAAAAAGCTTGTTAAAATCGAGATTCTAAATAAAATTGATTGGGAATAAAAAATCGTAAAACATAAAATTGTAACGTAAAAAAATTGTAAAAAATTAAAAAAGCGTAAAAGTATTTGGAATGTTAGTACAATTGTTTTTATGAAAAAAAAAATTATAAAAACATAAAATCATACTGATAAATTAAGATTTTAACAACCATGCTATATCCCATGACCTATTATTATTATTTTTATGATTATTTTTGGTTGGATATAATGGAATTATGCTCCATGACATCAAATATCTTTAAAAGAAGGAAAGTATCTTTACTTTGTTGATTAGTTTTAAAAATTATTTTACATAATAGAAATACAAAAAATAAACCATTTAATAAATAAAAATAGACACCCCATTATTATTATTTTATTTTAATTTTTGAAAACAAACGGTAACCAAACATGTCTTCAGGTCATTGATTGAAAAACTTTTTTTTTAGGGTGAAATTCAAAATTTAGAGGGTCTTATATTTATGGATTCATTTTTTCTACCGTAAGTCTAATACGACGTCATTTTGGAGCGTAATCATGGTATTTTGTAATTTTAATTTATTTCCGGGCTATTAGAGTCTTTATAATTATAATTATTTAGTTTATTTTGTATATTTATTGTCTCTTTTCATTTATAATATTTTACAATTAAATTTTAATTGTTAATTTTCATTAATTTGATGATTATAATTTATTAAAAATTAATTAATAAATATGACTCATTATTATTAAATTAATGAAAATCAACGATAAAAATTTAGTTATAAAAAGTTATAAATATAACAACTAAGATAACACCGTAATAAGGACATTGCAGAAGAATCAGGGGTATATTGAATTAGGATTTTAAAAGATTTTAATGGATTAATTTTGGACAAAAAATCCATTGATATTCAATTAGAATTTTAAAATATTGAAAAAAAGTCACATGGTATTCGATTAGGATAGAGTTCGTCCAAATACATTGGTATTCAATCAGGATTTTAAAAAAAGAAAAAACAATATTATGATATTTAAATATCTGACAATTTTAATGAATTTTCTATTGTGTGGATTTCGTGAGACTTTTTTTGTGAGAAATATAAATAGGATGCATCTTTCATAATCTCACCCTAACCTCTATGATTTCTAGAGATTTCTCTATTGCAGTGTCTTTTTCTTCCTTTGTCAGGTTGACCTGCTCGAAACTGGGTTCCGTTAGGGGTGTTCGCGGTCTGGATTGGATCGGTTTTGGAAGCAAAAATTATCTCCAATCACTTCGGTTTGATCATATAATCATCCATTCGGTTTGAATTTTTTTTAAATCCGATCCGATCCAATCCAATTTTTTTCGGTTTGGATTGGATCGGTTTTTGGTTTTTTGAAAATCCTAAAATTTGTTTCTTGTTTATTGTGTAAATAACATCTTTTATATATATTGGCTTTGTAATTTTTTTTTGAAATACAAAAGCATTAAGAAATGATAATATAGTTTTTTTTTTTTTGACAATGAGATAGAAGCTCTTCATAGATGAAATTTTGTGCATGAGATGTGACTAAGCTCTCTCTTGGGTTTAAAATTTTTTGGGTTATGATTGGGGAAAGACCCAAGTAAGTAGAAGGAAATTAATATATTGGATCGGTTTTCATCCACCCATCTGAAATCCGATCCAATCCAATTAAAATTTGCGGGTTTTTTTTTCAGTTTTCGGTTTATTCAGTTAACGGTTTTTCGGTTCGGTCACCGCGGTTTGGATTGGTTGATGAAAACCCCTAGGTTCCGCCATGGGAGCTTCGTCAAAGCTCGAAAGCAGCAGATTTTTTAGCGATTTTCATCATAAAACAACACAGAACAAACCAACAAGATTCTAATATAATCCATATAAAAAATAACAGATTTTTAAGCGATTTTTGGGAGCTTTTGAAAGTTTAAAAAATAATTTTTTAAGCTACGGATTGTCATTTTTCTTGGCACAAAAATATGTGATTTTTGTATTAAAAGCAACATAAAACAGTGGGAAAATAATAGGGGAACTAAAACCCTCAAATCAATTTTCGTTTTACATCAATGAAACAATATCAATTTAAAGAAAAATTGAAACTTTCATAATATGAACCCTATATTTTGTAACAATACATTAATGAACAAAATTCATTCGCTATAGGAAACGATTTCAAATAATTTTTGTATCAATAGATAACAAAAATATTATTTTTCAAAAATCTCAAAGCAATTTAATGTTTCAATGTATCGATTGAAAATCATTTGAGAAACTTTCTAAACTTTCATGTAATAAAACCCAAAAATTCATATTCGAAATTTTCTTAGAATACTAAACGAAAACATACATATAATATATGGTTCGAAATCTCTCATCACGTAGAACGAAAATCCTAAGGTTTTCAAAATCAATTGCAAAAATTCCAAATGAAATTTTATCATGAACTTTAGGTTCTATATGCAAATTAAGAATTATTTTATTAAATAAAATAAAATTGGTTCTTATAATCATATATGCATAGCTTTTATACCAAATGAAGAAGATAATTTTCAACACATTAATAAAACCCAAGAGTAGACCCAAGTGTTGTGGCTCAGCTGGTAGCATGGGGATTGATTGGTGGGAGAGGACCTCGGTTCGAATCCCACCAATACCATATGGGGAGGGACATAAGTACCGTGATCCTTGGACTCGCACTCAAACTCTGGATTTGTCCCATAGGTGGCTCAAAGAGTCAAACCCGAGGGGATACCGGGGGATTCTGATTCGCCTCAAAGAGGTAATTAGGATCAGTTTCAAAAAAAAAACCCAAGAATAGAAACGAGAAAATGCTAATGTGTGGAGGAGTAATATAACTTTAGATATGTGGAGAGATCTTACTTAATAATTTTGAATGTTTCTTAAAAATATATTATGTTTTACTATTAAGAAAATTATATTAGGTTTTCCAAACCCGCAACCGAACTCTGGATTAGTTCCATAGGCGGCTCAAAGAGTCGAACCCGAGGGGATACTGGGGGTTCTGATTCGTCTCAAAGAGGTAATTAGGATCAATTTCCAAAAAAAAAACCCAAGAGTATAAACGAGAAAATGCTAATGTGTGGAGAACTAGTATAACTTTAGATATGTGGAGAAATGTTACTTAGTAATTTTGAATGTTTGTTAAAAATTATATTATGTTTTACTGATTAAGAAAATTATATTAGGTTTTACTTTTTTATTAGGTTTTACTTTTTTATTAATATCATTGCATTTCTTTGTTTTTTTATTGACGCTTATAATTTTAAATGTTTGCAAAAGTTCATATGATTTTTAAAAAATTTATAAATCCATATTGTGACATCAATTCTTATAAATTCTATTAAATTTTTTTAAAATTCAATCTTATAAAATCTTGATTATAAAAAAAGTATTTTAATTTTTTTAAAGTTTCATAAATTCTAAATAATTTTTTAAAATCTCTAAACAATTTTATCTCATAAAAATATTTTAAAATCATAATTCAATATACTCCGTTGTAGTATACCCACAAACTGAGCTGAATGATTGCGGAAAGGCAAGCAGCAAGATTACTCCTTCACTAATTTTCTGAGCTTTTTGCATATATATTTTTTTCTTCATTTCTCTTTAAAGAAAAATATTGCAGGAATCAAAAGTTAAAAACTGAAATTATCAATAAATGGAAAATGTTTTTTTTTTTGTGCTGGAGAATTGTCAATTATTTTAAATATTATAAATACTAATATGTAAGTTGGTTTATTCATTCAAGAAAAAGAAAAGGTTGCAAACTAAGGGAAATTATTATCTCCTTCTACATGAGATAAGAACTTTTTCCTACACAAATTCGTTTTCCGTGCCAATTAATTTTTCTTTTCTTTTTTAATTTAAAATGTGGGACCCACATTTAATTTATCTCTACTTTTTTTCTCTCCTACTATCCTACAACATAAGAAAATATGCACCCGCAAACTAAACCCTATTTTAGAGCTTATTTCATTGAGAGAGAAGAAAAGGAAAATAAGAGAATATAAACAAGAAAGGAGAAGAGAAGGGAAAAAGAGGGGAAGAAGATGTTGCAGCTACACTCAATTACCACCAATAAGCCATGCCCAGTCCCAAACCACTGTTATATCACTCCAAAGTCCATTCCTTTAAGGCCTCTTCGTCCTTCTATACACACACCAACCTTTTCCCTCAAACTTCCACCATTCTCTGTCAAATGCCGTCACACTGAGCTCTTCGAACCCAAACCATTCCCCTCACCACCACAACGCCCTCCAGGTACTCTTTTTATTTTATTTTATTTTAATACCCTTCATTCTTCTTTCCATTTTCAACTTCATAAGAAATAAAACCCTGTTTGGTTGCTCGAAAAATAAGCATAATTTTGTAGTTAAAGTGAAAATTAAATTAATAAAAAATTGGGCTTTTTGCTATTTCTTTTGTCAACTACTAATATGGAATAATGGGTAAGTCAAGAAATTGCTTAGGATTGGTGTTTCGTGATTTGCACTGATTTTTATTATTATTATTATTATTTTTATTTTTCAATTGTATTTGTATTTATATGTGTGTTCAGTTGGAGCTTTGCCGCCTAAGGTTTTTGTGGGTCACTCCGTTTACAAAGGGAAGGCTGTACTCACGTTGACTCCTAGGCCTCCGGAATTTGCATCATTGGATGTATGTTTTCTGTTTTGTTTTTGCTGGTTCTGTTAATTGATGGAAGTTATCATTGTATTTTCTATGTTCTGAATTTCTAATTTTTGTGGAATTGTGAATAGACTTATTTAGTTATGGAAAAGGATTTGGTGCGTTTTGCAGTCTGGGGCATTCAAAATATCCAAGGAAGGTTATGTGCTGCTTCAGTTTGCTCCTGCAGTTGGTATGCGCCAGTATGATTGGAACAGAAAGCAGGTGACTTGTGCTTCTTCTGTAACTTGGGGGCGGGGGCGGGGATACCAGGATATCTTTAGATTCTATAGTGTAGTTAGTCTATCTAAAAATGCGAGAAATTCTTATGTATTTGAAGAGTACTACACTCGATATCGATATTAACATCACCTTTGTCCCAAACTAGTTGGGATTTGGGGACAGCCAATAAACCCGTTTAAGAGTAAGAATAGATAGGAAAAATAATTAATGAATAAGCAAACATAATATAATAAATAAATAAATAAATAAAAATATAGAAAAATTCTTAATTCTCCACGGTACTAATAATTTTTCCCATTCCATTCTAAGACAAATCACATGCCAATCATTAAGTCTTGTTTTGCTACTTTCCTCCTTATAAGTTTTGACCGACCTCTTTCTTTTTTCATGTCATGCTCTCGGCAACGAACCCTTTTTCATGCCAAAGCATCTAAGGGTATTTGAAGAACATGTCCAAACCATTTCAATCTATGTTCTCTTATATTTTCTTCCATCGGATCTACTTCAACTTTTTGTGAATATCTCATTTCTTATCTTATCCATCCTTGTTTGAGTATGTATCCATCTTAACCTCCTCATTTTTGCTACTCCTGTTTTGTGCTCATGTTGTTTTTATGCTTGCCAACATTCAGTTCCATATAGCATTGCAGCCTTTACAACTATTTTATAGAATTTTTCTTTTAGCTTAAGAGGGATTTTATGATCACACAAAATCCCAATGCCAGACCATATCATTTAACCTGCTCTGATTCAATAGTTTACATCCTCATCAATGTCTCCCTTTTTGCAAGATCGATCCCATACATCTAAATGTGTCTTTCTTGGATAACACGTGGACAACACAAACATACAAGTTGTTAGATTAAATTTAAAATATTAATAAAATTTAGATGAAATCTTCGTTCTCAAAGCACCTTAGAATTTCTCCTAGAATAACCTGATCCTTAAACTTGGCAAGTTTTGGTTAGTCAAAACTCTGTCTTTGCTCTTTATAGTTGGAAAATATTAGGGGTGTAAATGGGTTGGGGTGGGCTAGGCTTTGGCTTAAATAGGTAAGATCTGTGCACTTTGTAAAAATTTTAAGCCTGGTCTGGTATGTTAACCTGGTATAGGCCAAATTATAAGTCTGACTTGACCTATACTTAAAAAATAAAAAGTCTAACTTAGGTCTCTTAGCCTATTAAGCCTATTAGATCTTCAAAAATTAAAAAATAATTAAAATAATAGTAATTTATTATTTAAAATTATTTAAATAATAATTTTATTTATAATAAATAATATGATATAGGACAGCCTGTAGGCCTATAGGCTAGGCCTTCTAAATATGAGTATGTTCTGATTTACTAAATATAATAGACCAAGTCTGGCCCATAGTTATCAAATGCGGATTGCGGCATGTCGCGGCCAACCCCGAAAAACGCTATAGCGTTATAGCGGGTTGCGATTGTGGAAATAGCGGAATAGATATATGACATAAATAATGACAAAAAGAAATATTTTTTAAAGGTAGAGATTGCAGAAGTGACAGAGAGAGACGCGGATAGACTAAAAAACCCTTAATCTTTTTTCTGTTACACGTTTAAATTTAGGACAAAATTGACATTTTGCCTTATGACAGCAATATGATTGCAATTTGGCCGCAAATGCAATCGCAATGGCCGCTATTGCGTTCTGGTGCGGCGTGGTTTCTTGCGGAGAGGCACCACAACGCCCATAGCGTTATTGCGGCGCAATTAACTACTATGGTCTGGCCTAATATAGGCGAGACCGTAGGCTCGTGATAGGCCGTCTGACCCATTTATATTCCTAGAAATTATGCTAGTTTGATGGATAATAATGATGGTTAATTTCTTACATGTAAGAGGATACTCTGGCATGCCAGATGTGTATTTTTTCATTGAATGGAAATTTAAGTTTTTATTAGTTGGAAAATATGCTAGTTTGATGGATAATAGTGATGGTTAAATTCTTATTTCTAAAAAATTAGTGGAGTAATTGAGCATAAATTGGTTGTTTTGAGAGAAACCCATGCTCTGCTCCTATTTAGTTTTGAATTGGCCTGACTCGAGGGAGTTGCGGACAAGGTCATTAATCTGTAAAAATGAAATTTTATTTGTGCATGTCTATTGTTTATTTTTTTGTTTACGCATGATGAAATTAAGGAACTTTTTATTTTTGTTTTTGAATGAGAATTGGATTACCTCGTACAAGACATTATCAAGTAGATTGTATGACAAATTTTACTAATAGCCATTTCCATAGTTGTCAGTAGGAGTTAGCGGCCGACCCCGAAAATGGTATAACGGTGTAGCGGGTAGCGGTATTGCCGTTACGGTGAAGTATTAATTCCACATACATTATATTAACAGTCAAGAAACGAGGCAATACTTCTTTTAGTATTAATGCTCAAACATAAGAAGTCACACAAAATCAAACACATAATTCCACAATCAATGTCAAATACAAGGACATAAAGGAAGGATCCAAAACTAAACACAAATGAACAATAAAATTGTCAAATAGTCAAGTACAAGAAGTGAACTAATGAAGAAAATCATCATCATCTCCGGATTCTCCATCAAATTCCAACATGGGAGTGGTGTAGCGGTGTAACGGGTAGCGGTATTGCCGCTACGCTACGCCGCTACCTTCCGCTACGGCCAATGTCACGTAGCGTCGCGGTTTGTAGCGGCCGACAGCCGCTACCCGCTACAGTAGCGGTTTAGCGGCGCTACGGGCCGTTACTGACAACCTAGGCCATTTCTTTTCTCCAGTTATCCTACTGCTAACAAGTATCAACTAATATCATTGTCAATCGATGTGCTTTTCAAAATGCATTCTTAATTAGTTTTGTTTCACCAAGACTATCTTAATTATTCTAGTTTTGTGGTTTACATTGCCTTCATTCTTTTGTATGTTTGCCATTGCCAACACAACTGAATGATTTTTTATCCGCTCCTCGGGAGAAATAAAGATAAGATTTCATTGTCCCCTTGAGAGTTGAGACAGCTTAGTTGATGGAGTTATGGAACATGCAAGGAGAGTGTGTGGGTTCAAATCCTGCAATGTACTCTGTCCTCCTTTCCCATTCCCTTCCCCTGTACTCCGTCCTCATGGGGCCTCTTGTGGATGGGTCCTCTTGTGGATGGGTCCTCCCTTGAACCTAAAATAAAAAAGAAAGATATGATTTTGTTGGAACTTATGATTCTGTTGAACTTAGCCTTATTCTTATAGTTCAAAATGTGAGGTGATTGTTCAGTTTGCTTGAATGCAGGTATTCTCACTATCAGTGAGTGAAATGGGAACTATAATTAGCCTTGGTGCAAGACAGTCCTGTGAATTTTTTCATGATCCTTCCATGGGAAAAAGGTAGTTTCTATGTTGTACCTTCAAAATATTTTAATGAATGATCCAACATAACATATCAACATGTTGGAAAGTTTCTGATCATTGCTCGCTTTATCTTGTGATAAAAGTTGAATTTTCTTTTCACATGGGAAGGGGATTCTGGGGGTGCGTTCAAACCATGGAACAAATACAAATATGTAATATGACCCTTATATGTGGATTCATATGTACTAACTAAATCGTTGCACACTGTTCAATATATTTTGCACTTTTTTTTGTGGGTGGCTTGTTCAATGCCATAAGTTATGGCTGCTGTGGTTTTATCGTTTTAAAGCATTTTGGAATTGTCTTGTTATGCAGTGATGAAGGTAAAGTCAGAAAAGTTTTGAAGGTGGAGCCACTTCCGGATGGTTCTGGTCACTTCTTTAACCTAAGTAATATTCGTTCTTCACAAACTTTTGTTGCTGTTATTTTATCAATTTGATTTTACTTCACTGCCATCTTGAAGTTGTTGGGATACTATGCACTCTTGCGTTGATTCAGTCCACTATTTTTTGTGTGAACTGCAAATAGCTTACTTATAGTGATCAGTCTTGATGTAATCACATAGAGGAATAATTTATCTAACCCATGTTTATGCTAAATACCTTCATTATAAAGGAAAAAAGATAAATGTCAGGAACATTTACTTCAGTTCTAAGTTCTAACTTTGTTATGACAACTTTTAAAGGTGTTCAAAACAAGCTTGAGAACACCAACGAAAGCATCATTATTCCTGTTACAAGAGCGGAGTTTGCAGTTTTCAGCTCGATTTTCAATGTATGATTTCTCTCTCTCTCTCTCTCTCTCTCTCTCTCTCTCTCTCCCCTAATTCTCTGATAATGCAACACGAAGATGTAGTAGCAGAAAGTAACTGCTAATCGTTATACTAGAGAAGAAATAATATCCATCTTGTAGTAAACTTTTCTTCGTCCAATAGTAGCTTAACCACCTTAGTCTAGAAAATTATTTGCCTAGCCAAACTAGGAATATGCCTTTGGCGGCAAGAAGTCATGAAATCTTCAAGGTTTATAGAATTTCTGTTTTTATGTCAGACACAGAATTTTTAATTTGGAACGAAAAGTGCCTGGTTATGTTTATTCAATATTGTGATATAGCACTAAGCACTTAAAAACGGGTTGCTTTATACAATGGGTTTTTTGGTTGAGTAAATGCAAAATCTGCCCTTTATGCACTCACCCTGATTAATATTTTTGCTAATTTTGATTATACATTTGGTGTTTTTTCTATGCAGTTTATTATGCCATACCTTCTAGGTTGGCATGCCTTTGCAAATTCCATAATACCACAGGATTCCAGCCGAGTGAATAATGCCAACCCTAGATCCGGAGGAGACTATGAATGGAACAGATAGGGATCACTTCTGCCATATGTCCGAAACTCTATAGGAGGTTACATAGCACAGGGCTTCTCAACTTTGAAACGTGTTAAATCACTTCATTCTGTTAGAAATTTTGAGATATAAGTATCATTATTAGAACACTCATTTTTAATTTAATTGTGTCCTAAATATGTGTCTAACCAAACTTTAGGATATAAAATGATGGGGAAGGATCCGTTTACAAATTTTTTTGAATTTTTTTTACAAATTACATTATGTTCTCCCGGGAGAACATAGTGTAGTTTGTAAGCAAAAAAGTTTGTAAATATAACCTGCCCCTAAAATGATATCTAGTATTAAGTGTTGCTCAATTCATACCATACTGAGTCCACTATAATAAATAAATAAATAAATAAAAAATCATACTCTTTTTTTTAGTATTGTACTATGGTAATAGTTACAATTCCACATCCACCACAATCTGTTGCCATGTAAAATCTTTCCCTCAAAAATCAAAATGCCCTTTTGGACTAACGTGTAGGCTTTCCACCGTGTTTAAAAACCCGACCCGGCCATCGATCCGGCGGAGGTTAGGGGTCACGGGGTCATGGGTTAAACTGGGGGGGTCACAATGTCACTTTACTGACCCGGTTTTATACATTAAAAAAATTAAATATATATGCTATATGAAAATTTCAAAAAAATCAAACCGCCAATCATTAAAGATTCAAAATATACTTAACATAATTCAATCAATTACATCTACAAATCAATATTCACAAGCTAATCATACTATCAAAGTATAAAACACATATTCTAATGGAGTTAATAAAAAGTTATATCATCAAACTCAAGCCCTTCTTGTTCTTCTCATCCACCTACAATAGTATGTAAAAAGAGATCCCTTACCAAATAGATAATAGAGGAGGGAAAGAGGCGACACGACAAATTAACGGTGGGAAAAGAAGAACCAGTACAGTGGAGGAGATCACTGGAACAGGAATACTGAGTCTGTGTCAGGGAGAGAAGATCGAAAGAGAAGAAGAAGAATGATTCATATTACAGATCTAGTTCTACATCTATGCAGCAATGAGTTTTTGTTATTTTTCTTTGTTTTACACATCAAATGACGTCATTTTGTGTATAATTTTCTTTTAAAAAAAATGCAGTGACCCCTTTGACCCGGGAGTCAAGGGTTCAACCGGGGGGTTTTGGGGGTTAGAGGGGTCAACTTGCAAGTAGGATCTAACTACTAACCCAAACTCTTAGAGAGAGGGAGTCAGTGACCCGGAGGGGTCAATCCCGGAATGGGGCGGGATTTTAAAACACTGCTTTCCAAGGCATGTTTTAGTCTTTGGTCATCGCTTGCCAACCAACATAACGCTGTTGAAGTTCATACTTCTCTTTGGGTCAAAACATATGCAAGTATGTTGTTGCCTTATCGTCACAAAGGGACACATTAATATGAGAACGTGTGATCGACAAAGGGTAGGCGTGAACTCGGATATCAGAAAAATAAATTTTGTTAAGAGATTGCAAAATCCTTTTACTCTTCTGATTAAATGGTAATTAGTTTCATAAACAGTTCAAAATTATTTGAAGATATAAAAATATCCTATGCTTAAAAAACATCGTGACACTGTAACAACATTCTGTTTTGCTCTTAATTTAATGAATAAATACTAGCAATTAATAATGCAGCGGAACTTCTTTTTTACAGGAAAACTGACTGTTCAATTAAAAGTAAGGATTTTCCGTTCCGGAGCGTAAAAAAAAAAAAAAAAAAAATTGCATCAAAATGATTGAAATTAAAGTTTTATTCTCTTTAGATAATCATATAAACTTTTATGGTTTGGAAATATTATCTTTTATTTATTTTTTATTCTTTTCTTTATATGATTTTTTTACATTTTCCTATGAATCGTAAGGCTATAAAAATAGAATTTTATAAAATGAAATAATCCGATTTTGATTAATACCCGGTTACAATATTTTCCCTCATCAAGTTTTCTCTATTAATTAATTCGAGGTCTAATGAGAAACTCTGTTCTATAAGTAGAGGTCGACAGAAGTGGAATTGAACTATTGTTTATGGTGTTTCCACAAAAAAAAAAAACAAAAAAAAAACCATTGTTTATGATTAATTTACATTAAGTTTTCTTCCCAAAAATTGTAGGATTGTAATGTAAACCACAACCACAATATATATAATAATTAAAATTAGATGAGATTATGTATAAAAAAAAATTAGAAGGGACTGGTGAATTGACATATAGACGACTGTTATGAAATATAATTTTTAATAATTTTAAAATCCATACGGGCTGAATGTAGATGGTTATCAGATAAATAGATATTTCCTTGACCGTCCAATAAAATTATTTGAACTTGCACTAATTCTATGTAATGAAGAAAAACTGAGAGAAATTGCTATCATGAAAAAAAATTAAAATTTGATTAAAATCAATCCATATAAGATCATTATTTATTATAATTGCTGCACTAACGAGGAGAAAAAAGAATTGTTATCACAATATTAGTTTTGCAAGGTATTTAAACTAAGTAATTAATTTAATTAAATGTGGATCTTAGTGAAGCATGTATAGAAGCATACTGGCACTGGTAGGGCCGTTGACATTCCATGAAAGTAACATTATATGCTGCTTCTTCGATATTACACACAGAATTTTGTGGATCATAAATTGTCTTACAAAAAATTAAATTTATTGTTTTTTTTGGAGAATAATTAAATTTATTGTTAGGTCTAATATAAAACGTTGAGGTCAACCTAATTTAAAGTTGTGTGCAAATGATTTTACATTAGCAACTTGAACACAAACTACTTGATCAGGATCAGTTGAAGATAGACCCACTTGGTTTTTCTTTAGTAATTTTTAAGAATCTTAATAATGCAACAAACTAAGTTATGGTCAAGCAGTTTGAGTATAACCCTGCTCAGTTGCTTGCTTGTTTTGAGCTGTCTATAGCATCTTGCATTTTAATTAAACTATGATCAATTGAACTCTCATTCTTTGCTAAGTATATTGTTAATTAATGCTAAACATTCTTGATGAACTAAACTTACATATACAAATTCCATATCTTGACCTTATTAGAAAGAAATAACTAAGCCGCCCGTGAAGGATTGATTTTTTTTTTTTTTTTTTATCAATTAGCATAAGTTATTTCCGATATTAGGAGAGATCAGTTGAGACTAATGTAAATTAAAATTAATCTTATAATATTTAATAATTTTTTTTAAATGACTTTCTTACAAAATCTATCACTCGATTGAAAGTTTCTATTATATTAACCATACTCATAATTTCACAATTGAGACTTGATATAAATTAAATTCTATTTGCAATTAATACATGCAAAGCTTTCGAGATTATTCAAAATAATTTTTTTTTTGGTAACATCAAATTAAGTTATTGAATGGTGTTTACAAGGGAATCTCTGATAAAGGGAAAGGAATCTATGATGACTTGTATTATGTGAAGGATATTTCATAGTCGTAACTATGAAGAGAAGCCCATAGTGTACATGTTATTGGATAATGTCCAAGTTTTCATTTGATCAGAATTTATACATTTCATTTCATCCATGAATATCTTTGTATTATGTATAGATAAAAACTGATATATATATTGAGGAAGAATCTGTTTACAAATTTCTTTTACAAATTATACTAAATATGACTGATCATACATTTTTGATTGAAGTATGACAGGTCATATGTAGTGAAGTTTGTAAAAATTTATAAACAAAAAATTTGTAAATATAATATTCTCCATATATATTTGGTGAGATAGAAATTTGCTATATGATGATACTATATATTCATATAACTATTTTCCTGATCAACTAATCAATTGCCGGCCACATATTTTATCAAATCCTTCTTAATAATAATAATAATAATAATCTATTTCTAAGTTCAACTTTGTGTGCACAAGGGCTGAGGCTTAGACCTTGTTTTGATATTTGTTGGATTAGAGTCTACGTGTCCTCTATATTACGAAAACATTAGTATACGTATGTAGTAGGATGGATGTTTAGGGAACTGTTGGTCAAAGTGGAAAATCAATATGGAAAATTCAGGCCAATGCTAAAAAATAATGTAAAAAAAAAAAATGTACATTTTTTATGTGTAAATGTCATTAATGGGCGAATCCTCTTTTCTTTTTATTAGCTACTAGAGTCGGGTGTTTATCTAATTTATTGGTTTTCGTGTTTAAGTGACGAAATTAATAAGTTAATAAAAAAAAGTAATCAATCAAAGTTCAACCCATGTAATGCATATTTTTTTCAACCAGTATTTGTCATTCTTGTTTTTTTACTCCACCAGATCTAGGACGAGAAATAGTTCTGTTTTCTATGCCAAAGTCTTAGCTGGTTTATAAAAAGACTGTCAAAGAATCATTATATATACATGCGGGTTTGACTAAAATACACATTTACAATATAAAACAAGATAAAATGTGTGGACGCTACTTATATAAATATACATTGCTTTGAGAAACCGACACTAATAATTTGTAGAAGGGAGAAAAAGAAAATAACTCAAAAGTTGTTGGTGTACATTCTCTACTAAGTTTTTAATTAACAGCCAATCCTTTTTTACTTTTTTTTTTAGGTACAATAAAGCCAAGCCAATTTGTTCCAGAATAGGACCGTATACTTGTATACATACATATATATATATATATATATGCTAGCTACCGTCATATCTCATATATCTAACTAATATTTTAACTAAACTGTTGGACTAATTTAGTGGTCCAGAAGGACCAAAAGTTAAATATTCAGAGACACACAGCTTATAAAACATTATTAAGTAATAGCAAATGTAATGAACATCTCTCACATATCGTGAATAATTAAAGTAGTATATGTATATCCACACATTGCCGGCCCTTAATTAATTATAGAATTAAGATAGTGCAGTTGATCCTTAAATGCTGGATTGTTTTTCTTCCATGCAGCTGCAGGCTGCAGCAGGAATGGCTCTTCAAATGTTGGAATGACTGAAAATTTGGAGACTCATTTTTATTAGCAAGTTTCAATTGTTGGACTAAAGTATTAGTGCTGATCATGCCTTTAGTATAGCTGGATATTCCTTGACCGCTCAACTAGTAACAATATATATATATATATAGAGGTGAGTTTAACGGGACACATTCACTTTTATGTGAGTATCGTGAAAAAAAACTTTTACAAGAAAAAACATTTACTTTTATGTGAGTATCGTGAAAAAAAAACTTTTACAATAAAAATAAAAATATTTGTCCATATATATATATATATATATGAGAAAAGATTTCTTATGTTACAATGAAGAGAAATCAACTTCCGATTAACTCGAAACTACATGTGATTCATTCCCACTATCAATTTTTCTCTCTCCTCATTTTTCTCTTTCGTCTACTGTTTTTGGTTCGTGGAAGATAAATTTTTCCTTCTACAAAGAAAAATCTAATCCATATATATATATGAGAAAAGTTACACTTACAATCTATTTTTGTTTACAACCTTTTATAATCATATATTAACCGTTGATTTCCGTCAATCAATGATTATTATTTTCGCAAATCAAACTCATTATTTAATTATTAATTCGCAATAAATGATAATCGTTGATTGACGAAAATCAACAGTTAAGATATGATTATAAGACTTTGTAAACGAAAATAGATTGTAAGTATAATCTTTCTATATATATATAATCATTTCTCTGGCTGATTGACGTCCAACAATTAATCTTGATTATTGATTTCCCATATTTAGTGTTTTCACTCACCTTTATATGATTATGATTTTCAAAATTTAATTAGTGAATATCAAGCAGCCGGATAAATGACGAACCCATATATATATATATAACAGAAATTTCTACTACCTCATTCTATTTTTCTTTCTGCACTTCTGATTGAATGATAAGGGAAAATCATAATTGATAAGTGACAATACACAGTAACAAATTAGCTCCACATCATATTTTAACTCAAAATTTTATTAATTTACTTAATTGTGTAACTTGAAATCAAAATTAATTAACATCAATATTTACTTTTCTCCTCCAATTTTCACACAGCCTTATAGATACCTGGCAACAACCGATTGAACCTACATTAACTTAAAAAATACTCAGAATATACATGCACCTTTCATCTTATTGCTTATAATATTTTTTTATATGAGGTGCATGCAAGGAAGTCTAACTCTCATTTCACAAATAGTAAGTTTTAATTTAAAATGTAATTAAGATGACCCTTGAGATAGTACGTTTTCCGAGATCTATGATCATGAATATTGGGTTACAGTGGTAAAACGATACTAAGCAAATTTGAGGACCCACACATAATCACCATTGTCAAGGCTAGATGATCAAAGCATGTGGTGAACTTTGACTGGTATAGGTGTTTTTTTTGACATTTTTCACAGACAAATCTTCAATTCTACAGCAACCGAGTTCCATGTAGCAAAATGCATCTCCAATCTCTTTTATAAACGTCGGAAGCACCAAAATCCGTCTCGATCGATTTGCAAGGATAGGGGTGGGAATATCTATGTACGCAAATATAATTTTACAGTTTTGCAAAAGGCTATTTCCGATATATATATATATATATATATATATATATATATATATATATATATATATATATATATATATATATATATATATATATATATATATATATGGCAAAAATATTTCTACAGCAACTTTAGATAAGCTTATCTACAGCTGCCATTTTTAACTATATTCTCCCGGGAGAATATAGTTATAACGTTAAAGTTACTCTCTTTTTTTCTCTCCTCATTTACTTTTTAGAACTTTTTTGCTGACGTGGAGAGAGAGAAAAGAGCAACTTTAACGTTATAACTATATTCTCCCGGGAGAATATAGTTAAAAATGGCAGCTGTAGATAAGCTTATCTAAAGTTGCTGTAGAAATGTTTACCCCTATATATATATATATATATATATATATATATAGGGGAGGGATCTTTTGAATCTAGAGTAAGACTTACAACTCTTACTCTCCATCTCAACCGTTGATTTCCGTCTATCTAACGGTTATCCATAACAATTAATTATTTATTTATTTCAAATAAATAATAACAGTTAGATTGACAGAAATCAACGGTTGAGATGGAGAGTAAGAGTTGGAAGTCTTACTCTAGAGTCAAAAGATCTCTCCCTATATATATATATATATATATATATATATATATGAGGTATGATCATTTGATATCAGTGTCAAATTTTAAATTTGATACTTCATCTGATAGCCGTTAGATAAAAAAAAAATCAACGATTCTGATTTGTAAGCATTTGACACCATTGATCTTTTTTGATCTAACGGCTATAAGATGAGGTGTCAAATTTAAAATTTGACACTGGTGTCAAAGGATCCTACCTCATATATATATATATATATATATATATATATATATTGAAGGGTAGGATCTTCTTACATCGAGTGTAATAATAATAAATCTTACATTAAATTTCAATCGTTGATTTTCGTACATAAGATAGTAATTCATTAATAATTAATAATTATTTAATAAGTATAATCTAATAAATTATAGTTGTTTGATGCACAAAAATTAACAATTAAAATTCAACTTAAGACTTATTATTCTTACAGTTGATACTGTCCCATATATTAATGTATAGAGAATTCTTGTTTCTGCTTGAAGTTTATATATATGGACTATTGACATTTCAATGATTGACGTGCAAAGGAAAACCTCTCTCTTTGAATTTCAGATTAAATAATTGTAGTCAATATCTGAAGGCTTTAGTATATAAGAAGCCAGGTTCATAGAGAAAATATGTCGCGATACAAAGCTGTAATATTGAAAGCTATTTTCGAAAAGATCATACAGTTATGGAAGATCATAATAGTAACATATTGGAGTCTAACGGTGATGAAGAGATTGGTAGCAAGAAGGTGACTTTTTCTTTACTCTATATCTTTTGAGTGAACGAGTTTCTTTTCTTAAGAGCTTTCTAGCCTTTTAGAATTACATATATCAATTATTCCATATGCATATTTAGTTCTGGATGTATGTATTCTGTAATTAGCAGTTTCTAGTTTTACTTTTTACACAACCACACGTGGTAAGAGTGAACGATATTTGTAATTTTAGGAATTGTGCATGCATGTTAGCTTTCTTTCATAGGATCATTGAATTTTGATCTATAATTAAACCTCAAAATTCAAAAAGAGAGTATGGAAATATGTTTGGAAGATGATTCTCCTTTTCCCACCCATTAAATGAGTACATGGTCATATTTCCCATTATTGAGTCAAATATCTCATACGCTGAAGATGTGCTAATGAAGATCCTTGTAAAGTTCCATTAATGGGTATTCTAGAAGATTGAGAATATATTGATATGTTCTCATTAAACATGAATTAGAGTTAGTTTGAGTTGTAAGTGTCTTTATTTGGGCGTAGGAAATAGAATCATTCACCTCAAATGTTTCAATTAAATGGATTTGCGGAAAGGAATGGGATGGAGATGAATGTAATAGAATATGATTAATTAGTTACCATTATTTGGAGTTTTTAAAATTAGAAGAAAAGAAATGGAATATGATGGAGTATATATCGTCAAATAAAAAATATATATATTCTCCCAAATTTATGATTTATTATGGATGTTTATACATTTTATCATAATATCAGCCATTAACTTTTTTTTTTTTAATCAATAGTTAAAATTCGTAATTTTTTTTTCATCTAAAGGGAGAATACATATAAAGCACCAAATGTCTCCCTTTCTTTGTTTCCGTACATCCCTAACCTCATTAGCAATGAAAGTCAATCATAATTGTTCAGTGAGAAAATGGTTGTATACATGCATGTTGTCGACAATGCCTATAAGAAAAGTCGTAGTTTAGTTCAAAATCATGTGACATAGCTAGCTCACTCACTATATATTATATTTGCGCATGCATACCATATTGCTCGGTATGAATCTTCCAGCAGACAGGTCAAAGTCAATGTATTTATAGACTCAAAATACCCCGCGTGAAAAAGTATTCCCTTGCCCTTCTCATGTTTAATGTTTCCCTAGTTATAATTCAATAATTTTGTCCCATTGGGAAAATATATTCAGCTAATTCTTCTCTCTTCGTTTTCACCAAGGAATCATTTTGCTTTTTTCTTACCAACAAGGATAAAAAAAAGGAACCAATTTTATTTAAGTGAAGATTTTTTTTTTTTTTAAAAATGGGATATTTATTGTAGACCTTTCAAGCTAAAGTTATGTTAGAATATGCTTCAACCCCACCCTTTTTTTCAACGCAAGATTATAAGTTAATCAATTGCTTCTTTCCCATCATGCGTTAAATTTCAAATCAAATCTCAACCCTAGCTAGTTCTCCTACCAATCCTCATTGAGGAACACTCAGAATTTTCATTTCCTTCATCTCTTTTCCCCTTGCTAATTATATATATATAGTCTTGTCTCTTATGTGTTACATATAATTAACATGCAGGATCAAAAGCTCGAATCAACTAAGGGTGAAATGGGAGAGGTTAGAGAAGAAAACGAGAGGTTGAAGTTCTTATTGGCACGGCTTGTAAATGATTACCAATCACTACAAACGAACTTCTTTGACATCCTTCAACAAGATCATAAACCAGGAGAGGCTACAAATGCTACAAATATAGCAACTATCCATGAAGAAAGTGAACTTGTCTCACTTTCTCTTGGTTTATCATCCAAAGACCAGCCTACCATGGATGAGAAAAAGGGAAACAATAGAACTGAAAATAGAGAAGATGATCAAGAGGATATGGATAAAGGACTTGCACTTGGGTTAGATATCAGATTTAACCCTGTGGTTCATACTGAAGCTGCAACGATTCCCAGCTCTGAAAGTAGCTTTGATGAGGAAGGGAAGGAAGAAGAACCAACTGAGATATGGCCACCCAGTAAAGTTCTTAAGACAACAAAAACTGGAGATAAAAGTGAAGCTTCTCAACATACTCAGCTCAAGAAGACTAGGGTTTCTATTAGAGCCAGATGTGATTCTCAAACGGTTAGTAATATGTTTTATGCAGAATATAATGCTTATTCTTGAAAATATAGGATTTAAATTAAAAGAAACTAAACCCTAAATATCCCTAAGTTATGAAGGTGCAACTTAGTAAAAGAACAAAATTGCAATCAGATTAACAATATTGTTCTTTAAAACCTTCTTAAATTTTCATACAGATGAATGATGGGTGCCAGTGGAGAAAATATGGACAAAAAATAGCAAAAGGAAATCCATGCCCCCGAGCCTACTATCGATGCACTGTTTCTCCATCTTGTCCTGTGAGAAAACAGGTATGAATTCTTCAATATTGTTTGATTAGTTAGTAAAATAGGTAAGGTAGATTTATCAGGTTTGAATGGTTATAGTTTTGTTAACAATTTTTATTTTATTTTTAAAATTGATTTTTATGACTTGGAAACTGAAATTGGAAACCAATTATAAGATTTTAAAGAATATAATATATAGTAATTAACCTTATTGATTTGCTTTCAATTTTTCAGGTGCAAAGATTTGCTGAGGATATGTCTATATTGATAACCACCTATGAAGGAACCCACAATCACCCACTTCCTATTTCAGCCACTGCTATGGCATCCACAACTTCTGCTGCTGCTTCCATGCTTCAATCTCCCTCATTGATTTCACAACAAGGACTAGTGAATTCAGATATAGCCCCCATTATCAATTCTAGTAGTGGTGCTTATAACCCTAATGCTATAAACTTCTCATCTTACCAAATTTCAAGGCCACATCAATTCTACTTCCCCAATTCTTCTATTTCAACCTTGAATTCTCACCCCACAATCACTCTGGACCTTACTGCACCACCAACTTCCTCTCATTCTGGAAATCTTACATCAGCCTTCTCTCATAACATACCAAAACATTCATCAACAAACCTTAATTTTTCCTCAAGTTTCTCTCCTCTACAATCTAGCATGGCACAGTCACCTTGGAGCAGTACTTATAGTGGTTATTTATTCAACTCTGGAACACTAACCCAAAATAGAAACCAAGTTGGTTACATGTTAAACACTGGAAAGCAACCATTTCAAGGGCATCTCCATCAACCTATTTACATGAGCAACAATGCCATTTCTCAACAACAGTCTTCACCGGATTCAATTGTTGCTGCAACCAAGGCGATAGCAACCAACCCAAAATTTCAATCAGCATTAGCCACTGCTCTCACAGCATATGTTGGCAATGGAGCTGGTGGTGATAGGTTAAGAGAAAATCATCATGTTCCTGAGGGTTCATCACTGAACTTGAAGCTAAGTGATGGAGATGTGTCCTACGCTTCTAACCAAAATAACATAGGATATGCATCATCAAGGTACTTGAATATGTCTTCCTCTTCTCTTAACGCTCAAGAAGGAAACTCCATCATTTTTCCACAACCACCACTGTCTAAAAGTTCCTCCGGTTCGTCTTCTAGTAGAAACAACCAACTCTTGGAGCAATGGAAGTGAAACAACTTAAACCATTAATCCAGACAGAGGATTCATCAAGAATCACTAAATGAGAGCTTGACATAATCTACAAAGGACACATATGAATGTTACATTTCAAGTTTTCCAGGTTTTGTTTTAGACATGTGATGCAAGGAAGGGCATTATTGCCGCATTGATTAGCAGTTTTGACGGCTGTTTGACTCTCAATTCACAAAATTCCATGGAGATTATGGCGCAGTGTGATACCTATTTCCCTTTGTATAATGAAGTTGTTATTTTTCCAATATCATTTATTATTATCATTATTTTGTTATTATAATTATTGTTATTATAATATAATAGACAACATTGTAATTATTATTCTATAAAATTTGTTAATAGTTATGTAGCTTAAGAAGTTTTTATTTTTCTTTCACATGGGAAAGGACAACGATTATAATTTCCGCATTTGATTTGATGTAATGAAAATGCTGCTCCGCCCAACTATATTCACCGAATTCAATCTGTGTTAATATCGTGAAGATATATTTCTTAGAGAACCTATGTTATGTTCTCAGTTCTCACTGCAAAGATACTAATAAAATAGGTACTTAGTTCAATGGCTAAGCAGAGTCCTTTTGTTTTTGAGTCAAATATAATGACCAAGAACCAAGAATCTAAATCTAATGCGCTTATTTTGGCACAAAATGACTTTTAAGGAAAATATTTTCCAAATGCTAGTCAATGTACCATTGCATATTAGTCCATAAGCAAAAATGGGCCATTGGGCTTCTGTGTGAATTTGGGCCTCCTCAGTTTGCTGCAGGAGGTGTACGTTGATGTCAAGATCTGAGGTAAGACACGATCAAACCAGTATACCGCTTTAAAGGATGAAAAACAATTAGCAGTTAACAAATGGTTCAACCAGCATTTGCCACACGTCCTATAAAAACACTTGGCATTGCTAGCAACCCCCACGAGTCATTAAAAAAAAAAAAAATAGACATAACCGCATTTCCAATATAGAATTATAGATCACAGAAAAATAAAACTCCAACGGGGATTGGAATCCATTGGCATTCACAGACTGATAGGTATGTATGTCATGTTCAATCTTTTGCAATTTATTTATCCCTTTCTGGTTTCTAATCATTTATCCTGTAGTTCATGCATTACAATTTAGAAGCATTATATGAAGAAGTTTAGAACTACACAACGCTTGTTTATTGACTTTTGCTGTTGGCATAATCAGTTTCATGTTTACGTTATCCTAGGATAAACAAATTCTTCACCACATATTGTGATTTGAATTCATAAACCATTTAAATACACAATCATTTTTTATTTCGCCATAGCAATCAAACATCAGATTAGGAGGAAATGACAGTTATGGTTTATCATGATATATGATAAAGGAGACGAGTAATTTTGACTTCCAGTTCATCTTGAGGATGAACATGATCAGAGAGTTGCTAAGAGGAATCTTGCAGGGTTATTACACCCAGAGACCTTCCCATATGAGTAAAATCTTCCAACCAAATAAAATGTAATACATATAGCCTTCACATGAAACCATGGAATCAAGTCATCTAAGGTTTTCAATCGAATGTCATTTCATCTTCATGAGGGTGACTAAGATTTGAGAGAAGAATGAACCATAATGGTAATAGTATATGTTAAATCTTCACATTTCAAAAGAAACTTTTGATGTCACACACACTCATGAAACCGCATGCACACGTACGCGCACACGGAGATATATATCTCCGTCTACAATTCAGCAATATCATGAAAATTGTTGAAACATAAATTAATACCAAAATGTGCCTTTAGTTCCAAATATGGCGCAAGCACAAGAGGTCAGACCAAGCACCGCAGTTTCAAAGTTCGATACCTACTTCGAAACCGTACAATCCAGAAAGAAATTATCACAGACATTGCAGGAGACATTGACAGATGCATTTGCAAAGATTCCTGTTTCTTCTTTTCCAGGAGTTCCTGGAGGAAAAGGTAAGGGGATTAATTATATAAAGGCAGTCCATCACTATCACCTTATGATATTAATGTGAGTCAAAGATCTCCACGGCCAAAAGCAGTAACCTGTAAACTACTTTGGCAGTGATTGAAATTCCAGCAGACACACCTGTTGGTGAAGCAGTTAAGATTCTATCTGAAAACAACATTTTAGCTGCTCCAGTTAAAGTCCCAGATGCAGGAACTAGTTCGGATTGGAGAGACAGGTACCTTGGCATCATAGATTATTCAGCTATCATTCTCTGGGTGCTGGAGAGTGCAGAACTTGCAGCAGTTGCCTTATCAGCCGGTACAGCAACAGCTGCTGGAGTTGGCGCAGGAACTATAGGTGCTTTGGGAGCATTAGCATTGGGAGTGACAGGTCCTGCTGCAATTGCTGGGCTAACTGCTGCTGCAGTAGGTGCTGCAGTGGCAGGTGGAGTTGCTGCAGATAAAGGGATGGCTAAAGATGCTCCGCAAGTGGCTGATAACCTGGGAGAAGACTTTTACAAAGTAATACTGCAAGAAGAACCCTTCAAGTCAACAACGGTAAGAATGATAATGTCAGAAGATGGTTCTGCAGTTAACAGCAAGTTCTTGTCTTTTATGCTGCAGTAAGCTTTTTGTGTCTTGGTATAAGCATTTTCCTTCCTTGGTTGGGAAGAAATCTTTCAAGTTATGATACCTCCCTAATACAGGAGGCCAGTGCCAGCTGATCCAGGGTAGTTAGCTATTTATTTGATTTTTATTGTGTTGGTTGTCAATCATATCCATTTCACAGAAAAATGGTGGCTGTGTGCTCCTGCATAATCCATTTGGGATTTTCTTCTTCTTCTTTTTTTGTAGTAGGTCAGCTAAATCCTTTTCTTAGCTCCACACTAAAAAGAAAGAAAGATGGATTTATATTGATTTTTCACTTCAGGTGCAGTCAATACTTAAATCATATCGATGGGCACCTTTTGTTCCAGTTGCAAGAAATAGCGCCATGTTGACTGTCCTGCTGCTTCTCTCAAAGTATAGGCTGAGGAATGTACCTGTGATTGAACCAGGTAAACCTGACATTATCAACTTCATTACTCAGTCTGCAGTTGTCCAAGGTCTTGAGGGATGCAAAGGAAGAGATTGGTTTGACTGCATTGCAGAAAGACCTATATCTGATATGGGACTTCCATTTATGTCTACTGATGAGGTAAGAATTGGTGTTTTCAATTTTCAGCTTCCCTCAGCTTGAAGGTTTGAAAACTTATTACTTCTTCTTGTCCAGGTTATTAGCATCCAGAGCAATGAATTGATTCTTGAAGCTTTCAAGCAAATGAGGGATAATCAAATTGGTGGTCTTCCTGTAGTAGAGGGGCCAAAGAAGAGAATTATTGGAAACTTAAGCATAAGAGACATCAGACACTTGCTGCTGAGGCCTGAGCTTTTCTCCAATTTTAGGTAAGAAAAAGTAAAAAATTACGAACCTGCGTGGTATATCTTTGACAACAATTAGCATGACATATATGCCAATCTGTAAACAACGCCTAAATCAGATGGTTTTTGGAGATTAAACAATAAAACTCTTTTGGAGAGAAACATATAAAAAGGGAAGACATATATACAACTCTTTGGTAAAAATGAAAAAATAAAATAAAATAAATAAATCAAACAAATGAGAATATGATTGTCCACTTAATATACATGTGAGTGTAAATGTGTGTATGGGATGACTTTTTTTTAACGAAAACAAACAATGGGTACAACTCTGGCTATCACACAAGCTAGTAAGAGAACTGATTACTCAACTGCAGTGTTCTCCTTCACCATCCCTTTATTTTGACTTTCAGGAATCTCACTGTGATGGATTTCATGAACAAAATTGTCTCCACATCCCAAGAAACTGGAAAAGTTACTCGGCCCATAACATGCAAGCCTGACTCGACACTGCAGAGCGTGATCCATACTCTTGCATCTCAGTCTATTCACAGGATTTATGCAGTAGATGGACAGAACGAAGTAGTCGGAGTCATTACACTGAGAGATGTAATCTCCTGCTTCATCACCGAACCTTCTTACCACTTTGATGATTACTACGGATTTGCGGTGAAAGAGATGTTGAATCAGTGATTTCCTTGCAAGTTTAAATAAATAGGAACACTCAAAATGTAACAAACTTTTATGTTATCAGAGAAAACATTTCATTTAAAGTTTTTCTACCAAAGCAATTCTCATGCAACTTCTATCATGCTAAAGCCTGAGAGTTTGTCCAATCCTTTATCTGTGATCATCCCTCTTATCCTTTCTACTTCCCTCCATTTTCCCAGCCCAGCATATATGTTAGACAAGATCACTAGAGGAGCTGGGTTTTCTGGATCTATATCTAGGAGCTTCATGACCATTTCTTCCCCAAGATTGGAATCAAGGTAGCACCTACATGCACCAAGCAAAGAAGCAAAAACAGATGCAGGAGGCTCTAATAGTTCTTGCACCAGGTCTCGAGCTTCACCCAACCGACCAGATCGTCCTAAAAGATCAACCATGCACCCAAAATGCTCAGGCTTTGGCTGCACGCCATACTCTCTTCTCATCATTCTGAAAACATGTAATCCTCTGTCAACCTGACCGGTGTGGCTGCAAGCAGATAGGACAGTAACAAATGTAGCACTGTTTGGTTGAACCATTTCTGCCAGCATTTCACCAAAGATTTCAAAGGCAGACTCGTAGTCTCCATTTCTTCCATACCCCCCTATCATTGCATTCCAAAATGCCGGATCATCCGGTTTTGTAACAAACTGATCAAAAACTCCTCGTGCCCAAGAAGCATGCCCACATTTCATGTACATGTCAACCAGAGCAGTTGCCAAAAAATCATCCCTATTAATATCAGTTCTTATAGTATACCCATGTATCTCTTTTCCATGCCGTAATACACATGAATCTGCACACGCTGACAAAAGACTAGTGAGAGTTTTCAAACACGGAGTCACACCAGCAGACTGCATTTTCCTGAAGTACTTAAAAGCTTCCACACACACCCCTTGTTGTGCAAACCCACTGATCATGGAGTTCCAAGTAGCTGAATCAGGTTGCAGTCCTTCAGAGTCCAGCGTTTGAAACATATCAACAGCTCTCTCACACTGTGCATTCAACATCATTCCCGAAATCATGGAGTTCCAGGTGATCAAGTTCCTCCTGTCCCCTTCCACCGCCGTGAAGACATCAAAAGCAGAATGCCAACAGCCACACTTGGAATACATGTCCACAAGTGCAGTCAACACCATAACATCATCACCTGCTTCATGTTTCACAATAAGCCCATGAACTTGCCTACCAAACCGAATACACGAGAGACTAGCACATGCAGAAAGAACACACACCAACGTCACCGAATTGGGTTGGTGCTCCAAACATTCTTTCTGCCTCATCATGTCCTTAAACACATCCAAAGCCAGACGAGGAACTCCATTCTGCAATAACCCTGACATGAAAGCATTGTAACTCACCACATTCTTTACAAGCAAATTTTCAAACACCTTAGTTGCCGAAACCATCTCTCCACAATTTGAATACGCAGTGATAAGCGAGGTGGCAACATATACATCCGATTCAACCCCCAACTTAAACGCGCAGCAATGCGTCTGCGCAACGTGGTTAGTATACACATCACAAGCAGAGAGTAAACACGCAATGGTGACCGAGTTGGGCCTCAAAGTCCCCAACCCAATTCGCCTGAACACCCCAAGAGCTTCTCCGCAACGCCCGTTTCGCGAGAACCCTGAAAGCGCGGCGTTGAACGAAGCGACGTTTGGTTGAGGCATATCGTCGAACACCTTGAGGGCATCGTGGAAATAGCGACGGTTCATAGCGTACATTGATGTGAGGGCTGTGGAAGCATAAGGGTCGGATTGGAAACCGGTTTTGAGGAGAAGGGCATGCAGGATTTGGCCCTGGGAAGGGGAACGAAGCTTGGCACATGCTTTAAGGAGAGAGGGGAATGTGAAGGTGAAGGAGTGAGCAGAGTGGGAGGAAGAGTGGAGCTGAGAATATAGGTGAAGAGCTTCTTTGTATAACCCATCTGCGACTAGTTTTTTTAGTGTTATAATATATCTCGTCATGGAATGCTACACTTTTGGCTCATGTCACTCTGTTTATATTACATTTGTTTGTCAAAGTCAAATACAACGACACCGACAATAAGGTACTATTTTGTTCATTGTTGCGTCTATGAATCACTGCACTTCAAAATTTTTGGTGTGTCGTTTACTCAGACAGACTCAAAAAAATGTTCAAAAGTTAAACTTGGATTGTATTTTGAGTTTTAACTATTAAATTTATTAAATTATTATTATTATTTTATTGAATTTAATATAAATATTTTGGATATCTTATGTTTTTTTGCAAAATTGATGGGTATTATGAGTTTAGCTTTATTATTTTGTTAAATTATTGAATATTAAATATAATATACACTACGTAAATTAAAAATATTATATAATATCAAAACGTGTCTTAACTTGTTAAAAGTATCGTGTTGTGTTGTATCTCGTGTTGTGTATCGATGTCAGTACAACTTAGGTTGCGTTACATGTTACGTTTTTTTTTTTCAAATGATATGTGATGTTTGAGTTAAGAAAAAGGGAAAAATATTTCTGCAGTTAATGCAGATAAATTATTTATATTTATTCTCAAAATGACGTCGTTTTGGTATTGAAATCTTAAAAAATTATAAATATAAAGACTATTATAATCCTGAAATAAATTAAAATTACAAAATCACCATGATTTCCGCTCCAAAACGACATTGTATTGGGCTTACTGCAAATAACTTATCTCCACAACAATTATTCCAATAATTACATATCCGATTTGACCTATGGACGAATACGAAAGCATACGTTTCATGCTTTTTTGGGTAATAGCAATGAGATTCCTCAATATCATGCTAAGAATAGCTAGGATTTCCAGAAGAAGATGCCATTCGTTTGATGAGAAATAAAAAGGAATATCGAAAATTCGAGTGGCTGAAGCTGAAGCGGCTACTTTCGAAGTAAAAGTGAACTAGAAAAAATGAAAAATGGTATGAAGCTTTTATTCGTGAAACGGAATTGTGAATGAATTCACAACCAACTTGTTTTTTGTGAAACGATTCACGATAGATATTTTTAGACTTTCATGCTAAACAATATTATTGTAGAGTCAATTAATAAGAAGGCTATTTTATTAATATTTCGCTACTTTAAAGTGGAAGGTTTTATTTTAAAGAAAAACAAAGAGTAACAATTGTAGATAAAAAGTTAATAGTTAATATTAATCAAATATCCTTTGACTGATTATACATCCAAAAATGACATTTCATTTGGACTACATCAAAGTATTTGACCTTGAACCACATTCACCATCCTTTGTGTTCTATCCCACACATGTTGATCAGGACAGTCTCCTCTCTAAGCTTCGGAGAGAGTATGATCTTGCCTTAAAAGATATAAGAAAATTATTCACTTATCTTAACTCAATAACTCAAATTTTTAAGAAAGTTGGTTTGTGTCATACTATTAGAACCTCAACCAAGAGGTCTAGATTTTGATTCTCACACCCTCATTTTTTTCATAAAAAATGAAATTAAGCACAAGGTAGTCGCAAAGATAGGAAAAAATTGAAAGCAGAGTTCGTGAAATTTCATAAGCATAACTAAATCTTCTCAATATTTCTCTGTTTTTGTCTCCTACCTTATGTGCTATGATTCCTTGCTCAGTTAGAAATATAAAATAAAAGCATTCATCTGACCTTCACTTAATTGTTTAAATTTTTGGGAGACGTGGTTGCTTATGCCGTCCTTCATTCTTGTAATAATCTTATATTAAATATTGTATAATTTTTTAGCACGTACAGTAAATCTATACATTATTCACTTTTTAAACCCGAAATACTTCGTGTGAGGAAACATATTAGAAATATAAAATTGCCTTCACGTAACTTCTTCAATTTTTGGGAGAGTTGTTGTATGGAAGAATTTTAAGTACAAAACTTCTAATATTTACCGTGGGAAAAAGTGTGTGTCATTTTAAAAGATGTAAAGTTGTGTTATTTTAAAAAAGAGAAAGAGATAGATAAAGGAGGAAAGAAAGTTGACAAAAAAAAAAGTGTGGATCCCACCTCTTTGTGAGAACGAAAGAATATAAGCTGTATCATTTAAAAAGATAAATATTTTCCCTTTTACCGTGATGGAAAATTAACCACTTAAAATTGTTGTTATGTATTATTTATGAGGGATGATATACTTACAACTTAAAAGTTTTATAACCTCTTACCACCAAATTTTAACCATTGATTTTCGTCAATCTAACTGTTATAATTTATTGAAAATTAATAATTAATTAATATGTATGACCTAATAAATTATAACAGTTATATTGATGGAAATGAAATGTTAAGATTTTGTGATAAGAGGTGGTAAAACTTTTAGGCCGTAAGTATATCCGTCCTTGTTGTATATTGGCTTATATCACCATTCCAAGTTATTTTCGATCATGGTAAATATTTTGTCAAGACTTTATTTCTTAGGAATTCTTCCTAAAATATTCTTTCAGTAGATAGGCGTATGTGGGTGGAAATAAGTTCTTTGTGTTATTATCAAGTTCAACAATTTCCAATTCTAAGCGTCTTTTTGCTTGGCAATTTTAGTTTATGCAGATGGAAGCATATGTTTGGACATATTACAAAATCAGTGGAGCCCAATTTATGATGTAGCTGCAATACTTACCTCATTATGATTCTCTATTTTTGAACTTGCTTAAAAACTGTTAATGTTGAAATTGGTTTGAGTGTACCCCATCCACAAATTTGTCTCTTACTTATGAATCTTGGTAGCAATGATTTACTTGAGTCATTGTTATTTGTTATGCTTAGTTAAGATACGTATTGTATATGGCTTACAACGTAAGTGGTAGAGCTCCTTAAAGGGTTGTAGCTGTTAATGTGTCGCCTGTGCTTTGCTCTGGATAAGTTCTTCAAATAACCATTGTGTTTTGTAGCCCTTGACTATGTGTTTGTTCAAACTTATAATGTACATGATGCGCGGTATTTACAGTACCATTTATAATACTAGAAAATGCAGGCCTTATTTAAGAAACTATATATTTACAGTACCATTTATTCTTTATGGTCAAATAACTTACGAACTGTTGACAGCAAGTTTACAATTTAGTATTGAGGTTTCCACTCGCCTCTTGAACCTGCACTGAGTACTGCATATTCCAGTGAATATCCTCTATTGAAGGGCGATTACAGGGAACCTTGCTGAGACAATTGATGGTGATCTGAACTGCAGTCCTCAATGATTCATATACATAAGTTCCACGGAGGGAAGGATCGATTGATCCCCTTAGTGTTGGCGATGCAGCTTCTGATAAACCTCTCTCCAGCTAAACATGATAGAGAGAAAATTAAATTAAAGATAGGAAAAACAAGTCCAATAGTAGTACATGCTTATGGTTCTTCAATGGGGTTAAAATATATAATTGTGTAAGAATGGTAAATCTTTATGATTTTGGTAAGCATTTAGTCTAAAGATATTGGACTAAGAATAAAATGTCATGCATACCTCATTCTTCAGCTCCTCTACTTCACTGGAAGATGTAATTATTTTGCCAGTGATAATTTCAAGTAGAGTAACACCCAACTGATAGATATCTTCCTTTTCTGCATCATTGGTACCATTATGATTGGGGGCACTTTGTTCTTTAAGTGTGCTGTCAAGACCTCCCTAAAATTTTACAAAAGCATATTTCATTGAGGTTAGAGACTTAAAGTGAGGTACTGAATGCATATACTACTGAGAGAATCAGTCTAACCTTGGAAGTGAATGGAATGCTGTATCCACTAACTTTTGCATTGAGACTATCATCCAACAGAATGTTTTCAATCTTTATATTGTTGCCAAATATGCCAGGATTAACTCCAGTGTGTAAGAACTGGATTCCTCTTGCAATGCCTGTGATGATTGTCATTCTCTGTGGCCATTTCAGCATTTCCTTTTTTCTCCTATCTGTTAAAATGAAATTTCGTGTTACATATTTTGGTTATTCAAATCTTAGCTTTTGAAGTTAATTCAAATCTTTACATTTACCTGTAAGATGATCCCTCAACGACACGTTTGGGATGTGTTCAAATACAATGAATATTGTGCTTGTCGTTTGGGGATGGTCCTGATAAGTAATGACAGTGTGTCCTAGAACACTCACCAAATGCCTATGCCTTAAATAGGGTAATACCTTCAAGTTCTGAATGCTGTTTTTGGACAAACTCTTTTGCTTTAGTTTTACTCTATTAACTATAACCATTGAGCCATCTATGAGCCAGCCCTTATATAGCTGTGTAAATACAAGAGCAAATACCATTCAACAAGTTACAAAATAAAAATAAAAATGCCATTCAACATGGTCTTGTGGGTTCCATCTCATTAGAGAGGGCCCATTATTAAACCAATGAACACATAATATGTAAAATTCTATTACCTGATCCTGTGATCCTTCTCCTATTAGATTTGATGGGTCGAAGTTGTTTGTTGTATCTTCAATTTCTTCTGATGTAAAAATTCTGTATGATGGGAATCCAAGTGCACCTAGTCTCATTGGCTGGGGAACATGTCCTATTTCGACAGGAAAAAAAATAAAATATATATATATATATATATATATATATATATATATATATATTTAATGCATGGCTTAAATGAAGGACTAAGAATTTTAAGAAAAGTGTAAACCGCCACTGGAGGAATGAGAACTATGATCTAAATTTAGCATGTCCACGATTTATCATATCATCACATTTGAAAAAAAATAAAAATGAAACCATAATTATGGCCTTACTTTCATCAATATATGGTCTTGGATACGCACGGACAGAAAATTTATCAGAAATTGATGTGTCTAAATTACTATCTGCTCTTTCAGCTTTGGACTTCCTCAAGTTGAACAGAATGAGTAGAACCAGAAGCCCTGCAATTCCTACAACACCTCCAATAATACCAAGTAGTAGGCCTATTTGCATATGCGACTCCTCCTCCTTTTTTCTAACTGGTGGCTTAACGGCTAAGACCTCCAATTGCTTGCAATATGAAGATGGATGTTGATCACTTAAGCTTCTGGTTGAAAAACAATTCCCAGAATACAGTATTGTTCTATTTGAGGACTTTGAACCAAAACAGGATGGCAATTTTCCTACTAGGAAATTGTGTGAGATATCAACAAATGATAGAGCAGAATTACATGATATATTCACAGAAAGGGAACCGGTTAGTTTGTTTGCAGCCATGTTTAGGTACTGGAGGAGTGGAAGAGAGAAAACAAATGATGGGATGTTACCAAATATTTCATTGGAAGAGATGTCAAATAGCTCAAGTTTATCAACTTGCACTAGTTGGGGAGGAATTTGACATCTCAGAGAATTGTTTTTCAAGATTATCCTCACAAGATACTTGTCAATTGAAGGGAACTCAGGACCCAATTTGTTGCCACCCAAATTGAGCTCTCGAAGAGAAGCTAGTCTTCTAAGATCAGGAACACTCCCATTGAACAGATTATCAGCTAAAACAAGACTCCTGAGATCTTTCAGAGAGGAGATTGATGATGGGATTTCACCATAAATGAAATTTGAGCTAATGTTCAGCACTTCAAGAGACCAGAACCGGTTAATCTTGGATGGTAAAGGACCCCACAAACCAAGGGACACCAATGACAACACCTTCAAGTTTGAAAGCTTTGTCAAGACAGTAAAGAAAGAATCAATGGAGAATCTTTCTGAAAGAGTTTCAGCTGAATTCCAAGAAACTGGTTGGATTCTGTGAGAAGATGAAGTGCTCTTGTTTCCAATGATAGTTAATTCGGTTACATGACCATTGGAGCAAACAATCTTGAGAGAAGGTGAGGGAGGGAGGTAGCAGAAGTTGGTCCAGTTGGTCCATCCTTGCAGAACTTGAGGATATTCAAGAAGCTTCTGAACTTGAAGAAGAATTCTATTCTCACTTGTTGTTAGCTGTGCACTGGGAATTGGAGTAAGCAGCACAAGAATGATTGCAACGATTGCAGGAAACAAGTAATTTAAAGAAACCAAGAAATTCTTCATATTCTGAGGCTAAAACTCCTGTAGTAAGACAAAGAATGGTGGGTGAGTTTCAAAAAGAAAACTATAAATTGCAGAGTTAAATATGAATTGAAACATGCCGCTGAGAAGCAAAATTGTAACAGCAGCAGTTATTGCTCAAAAGATACTATGATTAGCATCCTTAGGCCATGATTATTATTATTATTATTTCTTTGTTTTAGTAATGCAGAATACAATGACTTACATTGAAAAGCTAATAAGCAGAAAAGTTCATTTGCATTGTATAATGATTTCAAGAAAATATTTTGTTTGTGAGTAAATGCAAATAGCTAGAATCAAATTTTACTTTTATCCCTTTTCATGCCAAGGTCTAGTATATGCGAGTTGATTTATGTATTTTTGAGTGACATAAATGAAGTATTTATCAATTGAAATCTAATGTAACTGTGTAATTATGGTTGAGGAAATTTTTTTGGAATAGTAGAAAAATGAGATAGATAGAAAAATGATTGGAAAGATAGATAAAGTGAGATAGGTAGAAAAATGTAAAAAAAAGTTGTTTGGTGGGGAAAAACTTTAATGGAAAAATTAGGTAATTTTATGAAATCAACAGTGCATTAAAAGTCAGATAATTGATTTTCCAAAAAATCCTACCTTCAAATTGGGTTTCTACGGATATCTATATTTCTCATAAATCCAGACAAATTAAATAGATGAGTTTTTGGTGGAAAATATTGAAACAAACATAGTGTTATGGTATTTGGTATAATTATGGACCATTCCGTGCTATAATTTTTAAGTAGGACAATCAAATCACTATTTATTAATTTATATTTTTATAAAAAATACTATTTAATTGGTATAAAGGTATTTATGTCTTTAACAAAATATAACAAATTTAATTAATAGTAAATAATAATTTATTTACTTGTCCAAATAAGAATTTTTGTTTTCTTATGTTTATTTACCTCATTGCAATGAAATTAGTAATTAACTACCATTTTTTTTTCTTTTACGGAGATGGACGATTCGTAACTTCATGCACAACAAAGGAGATTTATTTATTTATTATATTTTCATTAATCACATAAAATTAATATTATAATACATTAAATTTTATAAAAATAGATAGTTACATATCTATTTTTTTTAATTTAAAGAAGTTGTGATTTTTAATAGCTTTTATATTTTTTATACAGTCTAATTATTACTATTGGATACATAAAATAACATTAGAGTTTGAAAATATTTCCTAATTATCTTTATGGTGGTACATGACACCTCTAACTGAAAGTATTTAAATTCTCCAAATGAACTTTAAACAATAACATATCGATGAATGTTTTTCTCATTTTTGTATTATGAAGTGAAAAAGTTATTCCTTCCATTAAATTATCAAATTCCAGCATCATGTAAGGCTTTTTTAATTTTTTTAATTTTTTTTAGTACAAACTTTTGGAATTTTTAGTTATTGTGAGTTTGTGTCGGCAGAGTGCTACTCCAAAGTGAGGGCATAGAGAAGTTAAAAGGCCCAGGTTGCCACTTGCCATACCCATTATTGGTTAAGTGCCTGACACATTCTTTAATGTGCTATGAATCAGTTTCACCTAATCCTTTTCTTTGTCTTGATCCCAGCGTTAGAGAAGTTAATTCGCTGATGCATTTCAGTGTAGGACATCCTGCCATAAAGATTGAAGTTCAGTCTAGCAAATTCGTGTCTGGCCCTCTTAGGTAGATTGTATTATGAAATTTTGTCATCTTTCTACGACTTGCTTCTCAAAATCTATTTTTCCAAAACAAAGCCAGCACCCATTCTAATGATCAAATAGTAGCACTAGTTAATTCTTTCAATATGAACATGGTTGAGGTTTGCCTCAATAGCTCAATGATTCCAGCTAGTTACTATCACAACCGGTCTCATAGTTATACATTTAGGCAGTTTTGATATCAGAACACCCATTTGTGGCTTGCCCAAAAGTTTGCCTTCAATGTGGAAAAGACCTATAGATTTATATGCAGGAGAATGTTAGAAATAAAATTTAAGTGCAAGTGAAATGTCCTAAATTGATTAGAATCCAAGTGAGAATTATACAAGTGCAAAAGGTTCATACATAGGAACACATCTTCAGTAAGTTCGTCGTTGGTACATCTTCGTTTGAAAAATCGACACATGTATTATTATTTTTTATTTTACACTCTCTCTAATTTATATTCGTTCGCTGCACCGAAAAAACGGTGCTACCGATGCACATTAGAAAATTCCTATATATAGACTCATTTTCTTAAGTTTTTGGTTGAAACGTGGTATCAAATCCACTTATCGTGGTCTATGGATTAGGAGATATCCCTTGCAAGGATTTTATTTAATATAATAATAGTATTGAAGTTTGAATTTATAGCCTCATATAAATTATTTAAATTTCTTACCACTAAATCAATTCTAGTGATATTCCTGGCAAGAATTTTAAGCCCTGTACCATTCTTAAAGATGAATACATAATTTTGGATTTTAAGAAAATTATCATACTTGATCTAAAAATCTTGCTAGATTTTAAATATTAGGGTCATTTCACAACTCTTAATAAGACAAGCTTCTTTTGGAGCATTTTTTTTTAATTAACTATGTTTGTATATATATGACGAATGCGCAGGGGATTAAAGATAGTTGTTCAAAAATAACACTTAATTTTGCCAAGTGTTCACACTTTAAAAAACACTTGATCGAATATGCGATATTTGAATATAACTTCGTTTAATTAAAATCAAATAACATTGAATCATTGTGGTGAATACATATTTTACTTATATAAGACCTTTCATGAGTACAAATGTCACTGACTTTGTCGACTAATAATTAGTGTATGGTAAGAAAATAACAAGCAAATACAATTCTTCAATCGTTTGGAGTTTGAAAATATATGTCATTTTGCTACCTAATATGCGTAAGCCTTACGTTTTCTACGAATGCGAAGGGTATCAGAATTTTTGAACTTTTGATTTTTTTTTTTTCTATTGATTTTCTACATATTCATTTTCATTTGTAGCTCTATAGTGGTTTGAGAAAAAACCGGAATAAATATTGTGTTTGGTTTTTTCATCCTTTACCTTTTAAATTCTGCATATTTTGTTTGATTTTCTACATATTCATTTTTATTTGTAGGTCACTTACATGAATTATTGTTCCACCTTATAAGGTCCATGCTGTAGTATCTTGTTTTGTTCTACACCTTTCTCATTTGTCTCATCATTGTAATATATAATAGGATGACTTCGTTAACAGACCATACTGTGCATAATTACCAAGCAGATGCGAGGATTCTTCCAGCTTAATTATTAATCTCAAGTTCAAATTTTAAGTAGTCAAGTTGTCAGCTCGAATCGGATAATCAATAAAACTGTGAAAAAATAAAATAAAAATAAAGATAAATAAACAAATAATTGTGGCATACTATACGTTTAACGAAGACTTAGAAATATGACGTATCATTAAATGTTTACCATCACGAATCAAACTCATAAATCTTCTTGTTAACACTGTTTTTTGTGTTGTTATTGATAAATGCCTTCTTGATCCAAATACTCTATTTTCCTCCATGTTTCTTCCAGTTGGGCTTCGAGATTACAGCATCACTTCCAGTTGGCTATATTGGGTCTTCGGCCGACATTAAAAATTATTTTTGGGCCTTTTGTCTGCTCTCATCTCCACCAATTCCATGAAGAATTTAATATTTTGAACATCTATCGTTATTATCATGTTTCAAACAACATTTATCAAAATGTGTTATTTTTGTGCGTGTGATACTGTGATATGAGACATTCCCACCTTCGTAACCCATTAGTAAAAAGGAATTACGTTCAGAACTAATGCTAATTATTATAAAAAGTTGTTTGTATTAATGTTTTCGAACGAGGTGACATTTTTTTTTCTACCAACAAAGATAGAGTGTGTTTGTAAACATAATTTTGGATGATCGTAATTTATAAAATTAAGTAATTAATGATTGAATATCTTTATTTTAAAAAATAGAAATATTGTTATAGAAAAGATGATGTTAATATGTACCTTGAAACACATTTTAAAAACAGAACAGAAACTAACCAAAGTTGTGGTTTCAAAATGGATCCAAAGTAAAGATCCGTAATATAATTGATGTATTGTTGGCATTTGGCAAAATTATTATAATTTGAAGTTTGGAAATAAATATTGGGAAGAACATGTTCACCCAAGGAAGCATTGACAATCAGTAATTTGTTAATATATATTATTTTTTCATTAGAAAAAGAGGAGGATCAAATTTTTGAAACCTCGTAGGAGGAATCTATGACGCTGCTTCACATCCATACTTAGGTAGTCTTTCTCTTCCTTCCATATGCTCTGTCTGTCACTGTTTCCTCCCTTCAACCAAAAGCGGAAACTTTGCTCCAGAAACATCACCTTCCCTTTATAACACATTTCAACATCTCTTCTTTCTCTGACTTCACTCTATCCCAATCTCAATCTCAATCTCATAACATTCATCCATTTCCTCACTTGTTTCTCTTTCTCTCTCTTGTTTTGTTTCGTAGTTTCAGCAATGGAGGCTTAGGGTTCCTGCTTCTGCTTTTTGAGGTGATGGGTTTGATCCTGTTTCCTTTCTTTTGTATTCCTCCTTGGCTTCACTTGGGTGGGGCTTTTTTATTTTATTTTATTTTTTTTAAAGAAAAAAGGGTGGGGGGTTGAGTATGCTGATTTTAGTGTTATTTTTAAGGAAAGTGTGAAGTAGACTCTTGGTTGGTGCTGTATAGAATTGATTGCAATTCCAGGACTTCTATTTCAGTTTCTTTTGACTTCTAGTTCTAGTTCTTGTCGGTATTGGAAAATAGGCAGTGGGATTTTATCATGGATTTTTCAATTCCTTTATGGCATTTTTCTCTGCATAAATGCCCATTCATGTTTCCATTACTACACTTCAACTTTTAGATGAATATATGTTAGGCTATTCATCAAAAGAGGTTTTTTTTTTTGTTTTTTTATTAATAAATTTATGTTTGGTTATTTGATTTTGTTTAACATCTAATTACATGTAATTGATGGTCAGTTGTATATAAATCTTGCAGATTTTGATGTAGTTCTGTGTTTTCTGAAGCATTGATCTTTGCTGTGATGGGGAAAGGAAGAAGTCCTGGGAAATGGATCAGGAACTTACTCTCGGGGAAGAAATCATCATCAAAGTCTAATTCATCAAAGAAGAATGTTATTTTAGTAAGTATTTTGGTGGTTGACATCCATTTGTGTTTACCATTTGTTTTAATTATTGTCTCTGTTATAAAAGAAACTATGGAAGGCAGAAAATCTCACTATTGGCTGTGAGTATTTAGACTTTTGAAATATGCAAGTTGTAATTGTTATTTGTATTTGTGCATAAAGAAACCTTCAAGTGACAAGGATGTGCTGGGGTCTTCTGAGATATCCGTGTCTGATCCAAATGTGGATTCTTTGCTGATATCCGCGCCAATTTGTGGAGCTAATGCAACTATAGGAGTGCTTTCAGAAAAGGAAGTGGTTAGTAGGTCATCACATGATAGGGTTATTCTTTCAACTGGAGATGAAGAGGCTCATGCACCAGCTGTTGCTAATGTTGGATCTCAAGAAGATCTTGAGCAACTCAGGCTTACAGAAGCAGCTATAAAAGTTCAGGCGGCTTGTAGAGGCCATCAGGTAATCACTCCTTTATGATTATACAATTCTGTTAAACTAGCTGATATGTCTTAGTTTATTTGAAAGACATCATGGGCATTCCATATATGAATGCATTGGAAATGTTTACACTGTACAGATACCGATGCAACAGCTGTTATTACTGTTTTATTCAGTTGTAGAAAAAGAGGAAAATATAGGTATTTAATCTATAGTTATTGTCTGTCCAGTGTTTTATTAATGCATTGTTATTTGAGATTCTCTCATGTCATGGTATATTTGATCAAGAATTGCTGTACTCATTGATTATCAATTTGTGTAAGCTATCATGTGCAAGTTTCCAAAGGATTGATTCTTCATCTAGAAGTTTCTTTTTATATAAGATTAGTGAATGCTTAAACTGATTCCTGCATAACTTCATTGAAGGCTCGTCGAACATTTCAAACAGTCAAAGGTATCGTACAACTGCAAGCTTTTATTCGTGGCCACTTGATTAGAAGACAAGCTGTTTCTGCTTTATACTGTGTTAAGGGAATAGTTAAATTTCAAGCATTGGCTCGTGGTTACAATGTTAGGCGTTCTGATATTGGGCTCGCAGTCCTGAAAATTCGTAAGGTAAAAGTTCATGAACTAATTTAATCAATGCAATGATCTGCCTATTATTCATTCTCCCTGACTTTCTGGATGGCAATGTTGGAGGTTTATCATTTAACCGGTGTCAAAAGTTGTTTTCCATCATACAATTGACATGTTCTAGTGATTTATAGAACATATTCCATGGCATGGATGAAATGGTGCATGTCGTCTATTGTGTTCCCCCTGCCCTTCTATTGCTTCACTAACTGCTTCTTCAATATATTTTTGTCAGGATACTCAAAGTTCAAATTCTATTGAGGTAGTTACATCTACTCAGGCAGAGAAGCTGTCAGAAAGTGTGTTTGTTCACAAGGTAGGAACTGCTAATGTAATGCTTATATAGAGGATAAATAGATTCTTTTAGGTACTTCTAATGTCCAAAATATAACTTATTTCATTCAATTCAATTATAACTATAAGATATTAATATCAGCTAATAATTTTACTGTCCATGGAAGTTTTCTTCCTCTGATTATGTGTGAGCTTAGTGCTCTTTACTTGACCTATGCAGAGCTATTTTTTAGGATACCTGTAGTTGTACTTATTGCCTTAAAAGAGGATAAAATTGTCTCAACTTTTGGGCTCCTGATTTTGTCTCTTGTTATATGTCCTATGGGATTGATGTGTTCAACTTGTTTTGGTTATATTTCTAGGTTCATATCTTTTTTGACACCACATTTTATATTCACTGTATGCTTAAACTGAAGTTTCTCCTTCATGTAATATCCAATGTATTCTCAAACTGCCTGTCTTATCCATGCATTGTGGAAAATGACATTAATGTGCACCGATAGTTCCGGCATTTGTTAATGTTGAATGACAAGTTGTTTTTTGGTGTCTGAACCAGTGAATCCCATGCCATGAGTGTTGATTGTAAGTTCATAACTCTTAGCATTTTTTGGTCAATTACCTGTTTTACTTCACAGACCCTTTTAAGGTTTATGAATATGAACGGTATAACAAAGGTTGTGAACAAATGGTGTGTTTTCTTTTATTGTTCCCTTTTAGCTCTTATTTTTTTGAAACTAAGTTGTCTCGTAATATAATTTTGATTTTGATTAAAACTCGTTGCATACTTTATCCATTTCAGCTTCTGGCTTCATCGTCCTATGCAGTTCCTCTATCTCTCACTTGTGATCCCGTAGAACCTAATTTGGCTTGGAAATGGCTTGACCTCTGGTCAAGGTCACACTTTTGGGCACCACTTCCTGAACTGAAGAAGAAACTTGACTCAGTGCCTGATGAGAAAAGTGGCAGTTACCAAACAGTTGAAAGGGGACAAGTTAAAAGAAATACTCGGAAATCTCCTGCTGTGAAAGCTGACGATGGCTCAATTTCAGGTTCTAACAAATATAAACAGCGTCCAAAAAAGGACTCAAACCACCCATTGCTTTCAGCTCAGGAACAACCACAAAAGGAAATCGAGAAAACTAGTCTTAAAAAAACTCGCATGCAAAATGTTTCAGACAGATGTGAGGATGTTAATGAGAAAAGAAAACATAGCAATAGAAAAATTTCAGATCATACTATCACTGATGTTTCAGAGCAGGTCCCCAGTGCCTCTTCAGAGAAAATGAAAGATTTAACGGTGCATAAGTCAAAAGGGTCTGATCCTGAGAAAGATCTTGGACAGCAAGCAAAAGGGGAGAATGATAATGAGCCACATAATGATCCTATTGCTGTCTTGCAGACTAGTGTGGAGAATGGAAGAGATGAAAGAATTCAAGGAGTCAGTAAGGACTTGAACGGTGGTGACAATTGTATCAGCAACAATTGCCAAAGAAGGGCTTCACTACCTGCTAATTTTAATGATCAGGATAATGAGTTACATAACACACCAAGAGTGCCCAGTTATATGGCTCCTACTGAATCTGCCAAAGCTAAGCTTAAAGGACAAGGTTCCCCAAGATTTGCTACTGATTTGGTTGACAAAAACAGTATAACCAGGCGGCATTCACTTTCATCTTCGCTTAATGGAAGGTCAGGTTCATTTTCCCCAAGAGCAGAAAGACTCATAACCATGAGCAGCAGAGGAGTTATAAGGACTGATAGATCTCTGTCATCTTCAAGGGATGGGACTGGTAAGCTTTTTTGATTTTGCACTTTTTTTTATCAAAATAGTGTAGTAAGGTCTGGAGCTCTCTTTACTAACTTAGCTCAAATTTCCACAAAATCTCATAAATTCTTACAAATCACAATAAAAATGCATTTTATTTAAAAGGCATAAATGATTCACTTACATCAAAATAATATTAACATCGTTTTTATCCCAAACTAGTTGAGATAAGAAGTCTTACACTTATTCTTGACCATTGATCCACTTATATCCAATGATTCACATAACTAAAAATTAGAACCAATACATATCCAATGATCCACTTATATCCAAGATTGAGAGTGTAACATACATACATACATGGTTCCCTTAAAATTGGTAATATCTGGCTAATTTCAGTAAAAGCGCTGAAATCCATGTTAAATCAAGCATAAGATGTGAGGATTTCACACACATGAAATATTAGTGTACTCTTGATTGTTATTTTAGTGTTTCCATTCATCACTGTGTTCTATGGATATCAATTTCAGAGAAGTTGACCCAACCTCAGTGGAGAAGGTGATTTTGCATAATTTCATCTTCAAGGGATGGGACTGGTAAGCTTTTATGATTTTGCACTTTTTATGATAAAAATAGTGTAGTACGGTCTGGATCTCTCTTTACTAACTTGGCTCAAATTTCCACAAAATCTTATAAATTCCTACAAATCACAATAAAAATGCATTTTATTCAATAGGCATAAATGATTCACTTACATCAATATAATATTAACGTCACTTTTATCCCAAAACTAATTTGGGTATTTTATATATATGAAATAAATGATTCACTTTAAATTGGTAATATCTGGCGTGAATTTCATTAAAAGCACTCAAATCCATGTTCAATCAAGCATTAAGATGTGAGGATTTTACACACCAAATATTAGTGTGCTCTTGATTGTTATTTAAGGTTTAGTGTTTCCATTCATAACTGTGCTCTATGGATATTATCAATTTCAGAGAAGTTGATCCAACCTCAGTGGAGAAGGTGATTTTGCATAATCTCTCAGAACAAGGATACTTCAAGGAGGTAAAAAGTAAAAGAGTAAAAAAATATGCAGACTTACATTACAGCCTTTCTTTACTCATCATCATCATTATGATTTGTGGTCATAGATACAGAAGAAGGTTTTTTTTTTTTAATTGTGATCAGAATCTGGTATCAAATTTCTTTTAGTAGGAGAACTTTGTTGGGTATATATTTACTGATCTAAGCTTATGTACTGGTTTTTTAATCCTCTGTGATGTATTGTTCAAACAATTGTTTCAAGGAGTGTCATATTTTCAGAATTTGAGAAAGGTTAATGTTATGGAATGTAATGTTCTGTCACCAGAGGTAAAATCTAAATACGGAGTTAGACCAAGCTTATCGAAGCAGAGTTTGATTCCACACCTGAAGAATTATCAGGAGGGCAGTGCAATTCTTATGAGCATTCAAAAGAATTTAAAGTGACTTTGCATTACCTATTAACTAAATATGGCCACGTCACGCGCACTTATAGTGATCTAGGCAAGTTGCATTTACTGAGAATTTTGGTGTTAAAAATAATATGAACTTCTGTATAGGGGGATAATTGGCTCTTAATCGTGGAGCATAACAAACATTTATGGGATTCCCACATAGGTTCTCAAGAGTAAAGTAACAAATGTATTTAGACATGATAAATCTTAAATAAAAGAAGCAACTCATCTAGACTTTATTGTATCTAGATATATCATTATATTTGCTTACTTAAAAGACCTTTACATATCTGCCACCAAGCACGCTGATTAATTGGTAAGAGATTGTTTTGAATTTTGATAGGAAGATTTTTGTTGCTGTCTTGAATTGAACTAATCAAATTATCAATAAATCGATGTATAATATCAAAAGAAAAAAAATCCTTACGTCTCCCTATAATTAGTGTGTCAAAATGAGCTTAATTTGATGGGCCAACTCGAGTAGAAAAAATGTGAGTTGGATTATTAAAGTTTTAAAAAAATAATTTGGCCAAACTTGAATTAGTCGGTTTAGGCTGGCTTGGAAATAATTATTATAAACATTAAAATTTTCTTTTTTAAGTTCACCTTTTATTTCTTTTATAAACCCAATTAATCTGGCTTGAATTCTCTTAAGCCATATAAAAAGTGATTCTCCCATAAATTGTAATTACAAAAATAAATAAAATAGAGCGAATTGACACTCTTAACCGCAATCAAGCCACTGCATTTTTCAGATGATGTGTTATAGTAATTAAAAATAGACATGTGGTATCCTATAAACAAGAAGATGAAAGAAGCCCCAGTTAACAACGAAAGTGCCTGTGCGAGGTCAGAGGTGCATAAGTACGTGATTCTGTGCTCCCGTGTTCTACCCAACCTTTGATGTCATTGAGTCGTGATTGAACTGCAATCTAAATTCAGATACCTAGCTAGTTTCTTTTCTTTATCATCTTCTTAGAAGTAGCTATGTGCATTTTATTTGAAAGGGGTCTTTTATTTATTTATTTTTTGGGATTAATGTTTATTTTTTAAAGGACATAAAATCATGTTATTTTAATTAAAATTTTTGTGTTTTATGGTGAGAGAAAAAAAAAACCATGATGGGAGAAAGTGAGAAATTTTTTTAATTTAACTATTAAATAAATAATAATTATTATAATTAAAATAACTATGTTTTAAAAGGACAAATATTTTTTTGGTAAAAGTAATTGAGAGAAAAAATATGTTACAATATATATATATATTACTCTAATATCATCCATCACGGTGGGTTACTCAACTAGTACCATGCCACCTCCACCCATGGGATGAATGATCACCTAATAGGTCTATGTGCACATTGCTTACGCACCTGAGTAGTAGTCAAATTCCTTCAACAAGTTTACTTTATCCCTGTGTTACAAAAGTGAGTTTACTTAATTTCAAGGGTTTACTCAAGTAGTAATATGAGTCTTGTGGACAATTTAAATTGTCAAAATAGGCAGCGGTTTGAATTATTAAACCACTAGACTCGAGATTCATTTTATACTTGTATGTATGGGTCATTTTTCCCGCTAGATCATGGGAATACCGGAAACCTAACTCGTCCCAAAAAGGATAATTAGGATCATAGTACCCCCCCCCCCCAAAAAAAAAAAAATGAGTTGTATACTTTACTAAAAAATGTTTCCTTAGTTTAAAAAAAAAAAGTCAAATGACTGCGGATGAGTATCTTAATAAGTTTTTGTCACTAACTCTTTCAGTTGGGTTGGAATAAAATAAAAACACAACCGCGTATCTAAATATTATTGAGACGTTAAAATCGTAACTTTATTCTATAAGCTTACATGGCTGGTGGACCTTTTTTTTTTCTCTGAGTGCCTCATAAAGCCAGCCCTACTTGAATTTTGACGGCATAGCTGCATGTTGTCATTCACTGCATAGACTAGTACTACATGTATGATTGCTAGATGACTATATCTTATAGCTTGTGATTTGTTGCATCTTGATTTTCAATTAAAATGTGTAACGGAAGGTCAATAACGTACTCAATTGCTCATCATTGGGAAAAGTTTCGTTTGATGTTTTTCCTTTTCCAAAAATCATTCACCATTCCCATCTGCACCGGCAAACTAGATAACTTTCTACCACTCATGCAGCACGCGCGGCAAGCATGCAGAGATAAAAACCAAGTTACCAGGAATCCCTTTGCAAAGCTTTGATTTAAGAAAAGCATTAAGAGAGAAAAACATTGGATAATGGTGCAAAATGAAATACATGACAATATTATTAGGTGGTGTTTGGTTGGGAGCTTTTCAGCGGATATCTATCTTTCTCAAGTATGGCTTTTAGAAACACCATGTTTGTTTCAACGTTTTTCACCAAAAACCCATCTATCCAATTTGTCTGTATTTATGAGAAACATAGATATCCGCACTGTTTAGAAACCCAATTTGAAGGTGGGATTTTTCGAAAAACCGGTTATCTGGCTTTTAATGCACTGTTGATTTCATAAAGTTACCTAATTTTCCCAGTAAAGTTTTTTCCCACCAAACAACTTTTTTTTTTACATTTTTCTACCTATCTCACTTTATCTATCTTTCCAATCATTTCTCTATCTATCTCATTTCCCTACTATTCCAAAAAAATTTCCTAAACCAAACGCCCCCTTAGGGGTGAGCATGGTTCGACTCAAACATGTTTTCTTCTTGAACCGAACTGAATCGAATGAGATTAAATTGGTTTGGTTTAAAGAACCAAATTAAATATACTTTGCTTAAAATTGGTTCAGAAAAATACAATTCGATTCGGTTATTTTACATACTACATGGCATGACATGCACTTGAGAAATTGTACATTGTAACCTTGAAAGCTAATCATAATTACTAATTGTAGCGAAGTATATATATATTTAGTGCCTGCAGTTTCTTTTTTCTCTTTTCGTTTTTGTGCACATTCCTTTTGACATATTATTCAATCATGATATCTGAACACACTACCAAGTTGCTGTAAGCAACCCCACAATTTATTAGCTTACCAGTTGTGGAAGATGCCCCAAAAGAAAAGTGTGGTCCAGCTTATTGTTGCATTTTGCCCTGGCTGAGTTGGGGAAGCTAGACTTTATAGTGGCCCCTGGAATTCTGAAGCTTTTTAGTGTGTGTGTATATATACCAGATTCTTTTAAAAGAAAGGGGTTATTCTTTTGTTAGAAAAAAGAAGCTGAAAATGATAGGAAAGGGTGGAAAAAAAAAGTGAGAAAGATGTTGACTTTGGCCACTGGCCTTATCTTGTCCATCATCCACATTGTCCACCTTCTAGTCCAGGTTCACTATGTATAACTATATTATATTTCGTATAAATGCAACCACAGCATAATATAACTGATTGAAGCCGTCACGTATAGTATAGTATATTTAATATGTGAAGCTTTCGTCATAGTACCAATCTTCCAACCACCAAGCAAAGATCAGAAATATAGGCATCTGGTGTTCCCTAGAGTTCCCTTTAACATTTCATTAAGGACTCAATTTCTCTTCCTTCTTATTGAAGTGTTTGGGGGAACTCCCGGAATCACTGGTGAATAATGGTCATGTGTCAAGGTTTGGAACGTATACATGTTATTTTCTACTTTAATTTATCTTTTGCTGATTAAAGTCCTTCTGCTGACAAATTAATATTGATATGAAGCTGAAATCAAGGTTTGTTTTAGAGTCCCTGCACTAAATCTTTGATGAAGGAACTAATTGGTTATGGTGTAATATATTTTTGAAAAGCAAATAAAATATTGTTTGTTTTTCTTTCCTTCTGGTTTATGTTGCCATATCTATATTTTAAGAAATCTCAGTAGTTTTGACCGATATGAAGTAAAGGAAAATAAAGAATCTCTGAGATTGCACAAGAAAGGAAGCTAGCTTAATTATAGAGGTTGCATATATGTTTCAAATTGGTTGCTTTGTTAGCTAAGTAATCCGCTGGATGGTGTTAAATGAAAAAAAATAGGGTGAATAAAAATCATATAGTAGAAACTGTTTCCGTCCCATCTCTTGTTTTATATAAATGAGAAAAATAAAATTAGAGAAAATTTCCCACGATATTTTAAGATGACATGTTGAGATAGATATATAATTGTGTAATCTGGAAATTATTTCTCTCCATCATATATATCTTTGTTTTTTTGTTTTTTTTTTTTTGGGGGGGGGGGGGAATTATTGTGGATAAGAGCAACATTATTATTATTATTATTTCATTCCTCTCACCCTCTCTAAACAGGCTCATAGAATGCTAAGGAACTCATTAGATTGAAAGAAGTTTCACAAAATATTAAGGGACTGATGAGCATGGATACAAACTTTATCATTTGGTTGTTACAACTTAAGAGTTCTGTTAAGCGAATTAAGTAGTCACAACTAAAGAAATTTTCCAAATAGTATGACTGAAAATTATTGAAACACAAGGGGTTTACTTGCTAAGGAAGGTTGTGGAAGAAAAAGTGAAGGGACTAAAAAAGCGTGGTATCGTGAGTGAAAAATAGTATGACTGAAAATTATTGTGTTTGCTCTCTTGGTATTGCATTTTCATTTTGGTTTCACACCAAATTAGTAATGGGAAGTTTACAATGGATGAAATGTAAATATCAATTGTTTCAGGAATGACATGTCACCATTAACTTTGTATGAATTGTTGATATATTCTCGGAAGGTCATGCGATATGATGATAAGATCCAAATCCTAGTCGCTTCACTTTCATTCCTTTCTCTTTGATGTATCTTATCAAAGAATCAATAATGATTCACTCTTTATTTAAACTC